GGAGGGCTGCAGGAAGAGAAGAACTCTCAGCCTCTTAGAAGCTGAAGGAAATTGCCAAGTGAACAAAAACCTAAGGCAAGGAGATCCAAAAGAAAAGGTCCAGGTGATATATGGTGTGGAACTGGCCTCCAGAGGGGAATGACTTCTCCCTGAGCACAGCACTCAGCAGGAAACCCTCAGACTGCAGGGTAATATCAGCCTGCCTTGTACAGTCTGCTTTAAATATAAACTGTGTCTTCTTGTTGTTTTTTTTTTTTTATTATTTATTTCTCTGTCTGATTACTTGGATTCCAATTCATTTATATGCTTCAGAAAATCAAATGACATTCCAGGAGTCTAAAAAACATACCAGAGAGAGTCGTGCTTCACCTGCTTGTAGTTCCTATTCTTTACAACTTCAGTACAAATAAGTGAGGGGAAGAAATTCCTCTATGAGAGCAGAGGATCGTTTTCCAGAAAGAGATCTTTTGGGAATGGGTAGGAAGGTGTGCACAGTCCCATGAGACCCACAGCAGCTCCTGGTGCTTGGCTCCTCACGACCCAAACTTGAAGCAGCAGAGCACACCCACAGCAGCAGGACATCACTGTCCACAGTAACAATCCTGCACAAGACTTTGCCTTAAGCTATGAAAAAAAAAAATCACACTTCTGCTTTAACATTTTGTCTGAAAAAGACCTGAAGTAACTCGGTGGGAAAAGAAGCAACCACAGATATAAATGACACTTGTTAATGGATAAATTATACTTACAAAAGCCAAGAAATTAAAAACTCCTGCTCCAAATGTACTATAACACAGTATTTTTTGTACTTATGGTAATTCAAACTAGAAACTCTCAAGCATGGCTATTGAGGATTTTAGGTGGAATATTATGCAAAATGCACACTTATTACTCAGATGTGTTTTCTACTGTGTGGGCTATCATGTAACTCCTATGGACATGTGCAGAATAATCAAAAACTCCTTGACAACTGGTGTTCTAAACCACTTGGAGCACCTAAAAGCTGATGACTACTTATAGAAAACATAGAGTTTCTGTGGGAAATGCTACTTTGCATTTCCTGACTTGCCCAAATGTAAAATATATCAACTGAATGATGTCCATGAGCCACTTGATAGCACAGAGAGGTAACTGGATGGGAAAACCAGAGGTAAAATAGACCAGAAACATCCCTGGAAGTGCTCCAGGCCAGGCTGGAGGGAACTTTGAGCAACCTGGTCTAGTGGAAGGTGCCCCTGCCCATGACAGGGGGTTGGAACTGGATGATCTCTAAGGTCTCTTCCAAGCTAAACCATTCTATGATTCAAATTCTGAAGAAGCACTGAAAAACCTACACAAACCTCTGACAGGGCACTTGCTTGAAAAATGCCATGATTACAACTAAGTGATTTCATTACTCCAATTTCCAAGATCTTCTCTCAGAAAACAGCTGAATTCAAAGAGCTACACATGTGCTTTTTCTGCCCCTCAGGTTGTGGTGGTTCTCTCCACAGTGTGGGAGAACAGTTCTGCTTTGCTTCACCAGCTGCTGTTTTCAGGGTGGGATGGAGAATCCTCAGCCAAAGCCTTCGGTGAAATTCAGGCCAAAAAAAGAAACGGCAGGATATTAAGGCAAAAGTAAACTTTCAGGAGAACAGTCATTGAGTTTGACCAAAACAGTTCCAGTTCTAAGGAAAAAAAAGAAAGACCTTTAGCCTTATCCTAATCTTCTTCCTTCCTTGAAGCATCTGGTACAGATTTGCCTCACGCCACAATAGTTTTAAGAAAAAATAACCCAAAATCTAACTCAGAGCAATTCCTGGCTGAAGAAGAGAGACAAAGAAGTATTTAGTTATAGCCATATTTTCAGTATTACAGCTTTCAGTACAGCATCCTGTCAATGTTGACACAGAAGCAGACCATTTTCAGTACTGAACAAGGACCATGGAAGCTTTATTTTTTTATACAGATTGTTTCAAAGGCTTCTTGTTGCCTTGTTCATGTATTGCACAGACCATCTCCTCCACAAGCAATTGTGCAACCTCTCTGTGGCAACAAAGCCAATTCCTTGGTGCCCCAATATTACTTTCCCAGCTACTTATGGCTGCCTGAGTATAATTCACCAGCTGGAGACAGAAAGGAATTACTACCATGAAGTTCTGCTCTCTAGGTCACATTTTGAGAGTCTGTGCTGCAGAAAAAATAATTAAGTGAAGATACATCCACCTCTGGTTCTGAGCTGCTCTTATTAAAGTTTAAAAACGCTCTGCAGTCAAACATTGCCACCTGTTCTTTCATTTTAATTTTAAAAATTCTGAATCCCTTTAATGTAAGCTTGAAAATGCTTAAATTCTGGAAATATGTGCATTCACCAACCACAACAATTACTATCATATTAAATGTATGAAGATGTATGAAAGAATGGTACAAAGATTAAAGGGTATTATAAAGCCAAAAATATATATGCATGTATATTATGTACTACAACTCTATGTTTTCAAACCACTGTCTCCACTATGTCTAGAGAAGGCACACATTTCAATTAATAATACATTCAGGCTTGATTTTCAGTTGTAACTTTCAGGAGACTTTACCCTTTCAGGCATGATATTGTAGCAGTCCTACTGAACTTCAGCTTTCATTAGAAGCCATCAATCAACTTTCCTTCAGTAAAAACACATGTTCAGTGCAGACCACAAGAAATTTTTAAACAACAAAAGAAAGTTCTATCTCATATATATATATATATATATATATATTCATAGCCATAGAAAGATGAATCAAATATTGGCATGTATTTATCATTTAAGTAAAAATGGCTTTTTTTTTTTACATCCAACTTTAGGTCCAAAACCATTTCCCTTTTCTCCCAGCACTCTGAGCTCACACTTCATCTCAGGGCTTTAGATTTCCTAAGCTCTACCAATCCAACCACTTACCCTTTAAACTCTGAAAAACTACCTTAGTGGTCCTGTCTCCTAAATGCTTCTCCACTTCCAGGGAAGCATTCCTTGTCCCTTACTATTCCAGTGAAGGCCACCATCTGACATGTAGTTTTTATAAACAGGGTGCTTTGAACTTACAGCAACAGATGTGCTTGATTTTAAAATGTTGTATTTACTTAAACCCACCTACACTTATCATGTTGCAAGTTTTCCTTTTTCTTTCAAATGCTTCTTATTAATTTTTTCCCCCTCAGCTTTTTGCCTGATTAAGTTCTCTGCGGTGAAGCTCATGGAGACAAGACCTTCTGGTTAACACTGACAGACAGTTGTTTCCATTTCCAAATCCTCTAGATTTTTATTGGCTCATTAAATATGTATACTTTGAATGAGATTTAAATGATCCTGCTATATAAATCACTAAATCATCTTTTTTTTTTTTCCTTTTGATTCTCTCAAAGAAAATTGACTACTGCCATCTCCTGGTCACACGTTTTCAGCTGACACACAGACACAGTTGGACTGTGCCCAAATTCCTTGTGTTACAGTATAGGGAAATGTATAGGGAAATAACAGACATGCACTAAGTTGTGCCACTTCAGTTCTGTCAGCTTTTCCACTAATTGTCCACAGATAATTTTTTACATTATTCATAACTTTCTTCATATGCAAACCATGGTTTTGAAATGAGGTTCCAACAACACTGGCCTAGGGCTTTTCTTACTGCTTATTATAAATATTTGAAGCAAAATAATTCCCTCAGAATTCTAATTCGAAGAGATGTTTTTTTAAAAAAAAAAAAATTAAATGGAAGAAGTTCAAAGAATTACTTTTGAAAAGGCTTGAAGGAAGAATTTGTCTGTGCTAGGGTGGAGCAATTATAATTGCATATATTGTAGACATGCAAGTTTTTAGATTCCTGTTCTTAGCATGTAAGATTAAAACTGCTACATACCTCACTGCAGCACCTCCACAAAGTTCTTATCTGCTGAAACAATTAAACATGGCAGTAATGTGCACAGTTTATGCTATTCCAAACTGACTTGAACCACAATAAACAAAAGATATTCTCTCCCTCTCTTTCATCATCCTTAACATCTTAACAAACACTGTTAAGTAATCTCCAAAAATAGCACAGATAATGCCCAGTGTCCTTCACTAAAGAAAATCATTATGTGTTACACACCAGCTTGAAGCCCATCTCAAACCAGGTCCTTTTAACATTGAAAATCTGTGTTTTTTTCCCACATTTGCATGGTCTTAACTTACTACTACTTTTCAGTTCTTGTGTAGCACCCCTGCATTTTCTGAAGTGTAGCAAACACTCCCTTCTATCACAACATCATGAATATCTCATTTGCTGAACAGCATTCTGTAAAGCAATTAAGATTCAGTTGACTACACAAGATGCACATTGTAATGCTCCTGGCAAGCACAAATTTAAATAAATACTTAATTACAAGGATTTTGATGACTTACATACAAATACATTTAATAGAATCACAGAATCCCAGGATGGTTTGGGTTGGAAGGGACCTTAAAGATCATCCAGTCCCACCCCCTGCCATGGGCAGGGACACCTTCGACCATCCCAGGTTGCTCCAAGCCCTGTCCAACCTGGCCTTGGACACTTCCAGGGATGGGGCAGCCACAGCTTCTCTGGAAAACCTGTGCCAGGGCCTCACCACCCTCACAGGGAAGAATTTCTTCCCAATATCCAACCTAACCCTGACCTCTGTCAGTGTGAAGCCATCCCCCCTTGTCCTGTCACTCCAGGCCCTTGACCAAAGTCCCTCTCCAGCTCTCCTGGAGATCCTTTAGGTACTGGAAGGTGCTCTAAGGTCTCCTTGGAGCCTTCTCCAGGTTGAATTTCCAATCCTTTGAGTGCACCCCAACAATATCATATCTATGTACACATGTACACACTATGTACGCACAAATGCTTGGAAGTTTTGGAAATTTTGTAGTAATAAAAACCAGATTTTAAAAAATCAGAACTTTATTATACATCAGTATACAACAATATTTAAAAGTGATGTGCTTATCTGAGAGAACTGTTTGCTTATTGACATCATTTACCTTCTTGTTGCATCTCTTCAGACATCCTTCTCACAAGGATAACTCGTGGTCTCACAGTCTCAACCTGTGCAGCTCCTTGGCTTTCCTCCTGTGTATCACACATTAAAACCACATTACAAATCTGACTTTCGATGTAAAAGCACAGCAGAATTACATGGAGCTTCAAGAAACATCCAAAGAGGTTTTTAAAGATTCATTAAAGGATATGCACTTGTTCTCCTTCCTTTTGACTTCAAAAGAATTCAGCTCTCAATCAGCCTATTGCAATGTTATTCCCTCTGGACAAACATCCTGGGAGCAGTAGGTATGGATGGCAAAGTGCCATTTAGACCTGAAGACACAGGAGACCCTCAATTTTTACTCAAAGCATGTGGTGGAAAGAACACACTATTTCCCTGGCTTTCTTCAATATCCAGGACTTCTCCCTAGGTATTATTCTCCTGACTAACAAGAGAAGTTTGAAAGGGAAAAGAAAAATATCAATTGGTTGGAAAACCCAGGCCAAGTCTAAAATTTATTTCCTTGGCCTAGTTTTTAAAACCATTTTCTATTCTCGTTGAAATGCTCTCCAGGACCCAGGTCTGCAACAATGCTGTAGGGAAAGGTTTTAGAAGCAACAAATGCTTTGCATATTAAAAAGGGAGACATTTGTCAAGTTTGCTTGTTATCTTATGTGTTAACTGGAACAGGAATTGTGTCCCGAGGACATTCCATTACAAGTAGACAGGAAATATAAGAAGTGCAAAACACAGTCATGGAGTTCTAGAATCACAGAATGGTGTGGGCTGGAAGGGACCTTAAAAATCATCCTGTTCCAACCCCCTGCCATGGGCAGGGACACCTTCCACTATCCCAGGTTGCTCCAAGGCCCTTCAAACCTGGCCTTGAACCCTTCCAGGGATGGGGCAGCCACAGCTTCTCTGGGCAACTTGTGCCAGGGCCTCACCACCCTCACAGCCAAGAATTTCTTTCTAAGATCCCATCTAATCCTGCCCTCTGTCAGTTCAAAACCAGTGCCCCTTGTTCTGTCACCATCTGCCTACCTAGAAGAATTAAGCGTTTTCTTAAGACAGACAAAATTGATTTCATCAGTTATGCTGTTGATTCCATGGATGAATATAAGGGTTTTTTTTATGAAGCCTTAAGGAGGAACACAAGAAAGACCATATGTGTTTGCATATCACACAGCATGTGGAGCCTATGGAAAGAACTGCTCTATGACTTCAGGGAAAATCATATGCCCTGAGAAGCAGTGGCACTGCTGTTCTCTTGAAGACCTCATGACACAGCACCAGGGGTATTTTGCTCCCCCCCCTCCAAAAGCTAAAAAGGAATAAGAAGCTAAAAAGGGAAGAAAAGGAAAGAGAAAGAAAGGCAAGAGAAACCCTCCACTGTTTGTGGAGGCCATGAGCCAAACAGCCAAAAGTATTAATGAAAAGAAGAAAATTTTTATGTCTGGCAAACATGGTGCCAACTCTGTGATCAGGGCTTCCCATTTTTTTCAGTTAACACCTGCCTCTGATGGTATCAGGAATCTCAGCAGTGAGGACATTGCTTCTCATGTATTTAAGAACCATTTAAGCCAACGGGGTAAAAACCAGAAGCAATAAAAAGAAAAACTATTCAGTGTCACCACTGACTGGGGTACCTCTGTTGTCCAATTCTGTTCATCATTTAAAGTGCACAAGATGAGAAAGTGTTGAGATTATTTTCTGAAAGCAGAAAGGTCTCATGGAAAGGTGATTGAAAGCCACCAATGCTACAGAACATTAAATGCCAGCAGCACAACAGGATCCTCATGGGTCCATTTCAAGTGTGGGGGGTTTTTTTTGTTGTTTTCTTTTGAATTTTTAATAGGATGAACCAAAAACCAGTTTAAACTGAACTGAGGTGCAAACATTAGTTGGGAGATAACATATTCATAACCTACAATTATGCATTCCTGAAGATTAAAAAAGCCATGTCTTTTGAAATACTAAAAAATGAAAGCTAATGAGAATAACACAGTGCCAATCCCACCTAAAAAATGTGGATTGTATAAAAACATTCATACTTATAAAGGCGTATCATGAAAATATTTTGCAACCAAATGATTCCCTAAGATTTTAACAATGCATTTGGGGCTTCAGATGATTTAGATTTACCACCTTTGGAATGTTTAGCCACGCAAATATGACTTCAATGTTCCTGTCCCTCCCATGATCAAAATGATTTATTTAGAATAGAAGAGCTCAGCTTCCTCCCAGTCGTTCTCCTGCTTCTTAGAGCTGAGAGCAGGGGGGCAAAGTGGCCACAAATAACAGTCAATTCCTGTATTGTTGCACAAGAATGGACAGAAGGGGTCAAACTGAAGATGCATTTAGTCTGGCTTTCTGTCTGACAGTGGTTAAAAGCATATATAAATCTAAAAAAAAAAAATAATCTAATGCTAGAAATGGAGGAGCGGCCAAGGAATTTGGGTAGATAAGAGAATTCCTATATGACTTAAACTGTTTGTTTTGGAGTGAGTGACCACACAGATTTCATGACTAAAAGGCATTTGCTCATGCCCTACATGAAAATTCAAGTGCTCTTTCTGCTGGTCAAAATCTGATCTACACACCAGTGCCAGGGAGCAACCAAGTGGTACAGAGATGATCCCTGACATAAGGATCCTGTTTGGACAGACTGCAGGAACCACCCAAGCTTTGCCACAACAAACCCCAACATCCAGGAAGATCATTCCCAGCTAAATCAGGACAAAGCTCTACCAAGGCTGGCTGGACCCTGCCTGAAATAGTGTATTTTCTTCAGGTCTCTCAGCAAACTTTGCTCCTGAATAGATTTGTCTCCTGGCTTTGTGTGTAGGTGATACAGTTTAACTTCAGTGAAGGCAAACACTGCCTGGAGATGGAAAACAAGATGAGAAGCAACTGATGTGAGAGTCAGTGACTAACCTGGGAGGAAATCTTTCAAGAAATTTAAAGTGATTATTTTCCTTAAACATTGCACACAATGAATGAATCATTCTGAAAGCCTGAGGAGCTCTTGCTCTCCTAAGCTGGTATTATGTTCCCAGAAAATCTGATTCCTACAGGCAGGTGACAAAGCAGATCCAGCCGTGGAGCAGAACACAGATGCCATCCCTAATTGAAAGGAGGGGAAAGGTTCATCATTGTCACATGGCAGAGAGATGCTGTCAAAACAAGCTTTCAAATCATCTGGTACAGGGATCATTTTTTTCTTTCAGAGAAGGATGTAGAGATCTAGTAGAGGATCTCATGGAAAACAGCTCTGCCCCATCCAGGAGGGATGTTTATTGTGATTATCACTTACTGGTATGGTCACACCAGAGGAAAGCTAAAAGGTGAGCCTGGAAGAAACACTGACCTGGAATCTTACATCAGGAATAAACACACACAGGAAGAGGTTGTTTTGTTGGGGGGGAAAAAGACCAAACCTAACAAAACCACACAAAGTTAAGGGGTTTGGTTGCTTGGTTTGAAGGGAGGGTGAGTTTTACATGCCAGCAGGCAAAAAAAAAGGCCACACTAAGGGTTCAGATGCAAGAAAAAGTTTCTAAAGGTAAGATAATGTATAACTATCTACATATAAAGTGTTAGCCAATATATAACTATCTGTATATTTTCTGTGAAAGACACTGTGTCAGATCACCTCAGATTTCTTGCATAGGTAAGGCTATGTACATGGGCAATCTTACACACAGTAAATTATTATTTCCCTGTACCCAAACAAGCAAAAATCAATCCTAACCCCATCAGCTGAGTATAAGATGCAGGTATCACTGTATTCTTTACCACAGCTAATGGGGCTAAAAGAAGGAAACACGTTTTATCCCCTCTGTCCCCATTACTTCTAGCCAGTGAGACAATAACAAGGATATGAGCTTCACCCCAACACACACAGCAGTCACAAAATCCAGTTTTGTCCATGAACAGTCATTCCAAGAATTGGAATGGTGATCTCAAAGTGAAAGAAGTGTGACATTTAAAATCCTCTTTGAAGATGCAACAGTTCATGTGATACATTTAAGGACTGCTCAGACACCAATGGCATCAAGGCTCAAAATCATAAACCCAAACGTGGCAATGTGGGTTATAACGTGGCAGGGTCAGGTGAATAAATGATACTTTAGGTTATTTTATACAGAACACCAGGGAAGGGCAGAATTTATCCATGAAAACAGCAACCATGGTAATACATAATTACATTCAAACAGCCTGTGAAGCTTCACATATTAGGGAGCAGTCTGCCACCTCATTTTTAGCTTTTGCCACTTGTTATTTGAATTTATCCCTAGTTACCAAGTAAACCATCATCTCTAGGTAACAGCACATACTAATAAAAAAAAATTAGCTGTCTAGGTTTGAAGCAGAGATCAATAGGATGTTCCTCTACCTTTAAGTGTTCTGAGGAACATTATCCTTTACTGCCTTTCCAACCTTGCCCCTATTAGGACAAATGAAGCTCCCCAAATGCTGAATCAGTGGGTTATAACTTCTGAGGCCAAATCTCTCATTGTTGCTTCCTCTCCCATAAACCCATGATGTTTTTCTTCTGTATGTGAAGCTCTGTGCCCCTAAAACACTGGAATACCCCATCTGAACTGAGTATCAGATCAGGATTAGATCCTGTGAGAGCAGTGAAGCTGTGAGGAAGTGCAGAAAAGGTAAAAAGAGAAGGTCTGAGCCTGGCAGAAAGGGTATTGTAAGGATTTGCCACAGGGAACACAATCATTTTTATTACACACATGTAGTTCTGACTTCAATTTCTCAGCTGAACGTGTCACTTAAAATGCAGCAGTTCTGTGATGTCAGGCACGACAGTGGAATAGGAAAATCTGTTTTCCAAGGTTGCTCCTTCTGACTAGTCCCAGAAGGAATCCTTTCAGCTCACCTGGGACAGATCCTCCGAGAGAGATGTCACTGTGCAGCCTGGTTGGGCTGCTCCCAGAGCAGGATTTGGAGCTGGCTGTGATTCCAGCTCAGCCAAAAGCATCGGACCATGACTTGTATCTGCATCTCCAAGAATTTCTGCTGAGAGAAAAAAGTTCCTTGATGAGCCAGAGCACTAATTTCCTGGTCAAATGCTGTGGCAGAACGTGCAGCCTCTCAAAATGCAACAGTGCAACATGCAGTGTTAAAGAGAGTGATTTCCTCCTTACATGGCCTGTTGTACATCCCTTAAACTGTTCTTGTGGGGGAAAAAAAAGAAATAAGGGTCTGTGGAAATTGAAAAAATAAATCAGTTTTATCATCTGTAGATTTCTAATGTGGCAGCATTTCTGAGAGTTTCAGAGCTGTACAGTTCATCATACCTTGTATGCTTAATGAGCTTTATCACACTTACTGGAAAGAGACTGGAAAGGATTCTTCAGGAAATTATTAAAAGAAATCTGTATATAGTCTATTTTAAAGGGATAATTTGCTCTCTAATCCAGCATTTATCATGCTTTTGCAGCCTGCAAGTATGTAAAGCATCTTTATGAAAAATGTACTGACAGCTCCTGAACTAACTTTAGCCTTCTGCTCTCATACAGAGCCAAGGAGAATTTTAAGCCTAATTAACTATAATCATTGCTTAATTAACTGTAATTATTGTTCACTTTAAGACTGCATGTGCCACATTTCATTTGCATGTTGGTTTTTATGTCTGTGACTTTAAGCACTGAAAACAAGGATTTATAAATGAAGGACTGATCAGGAAGATGCTGTTGGGTATCCACATGAGCAACACCTGCTCCATCCTATAAATGGACATCATGTTTTCATAACACAAATAAAAACTGGGCACAAAACTGAAAATAACCCAGACACGAGGCACACAACCCCCAAATTTTTTACAGATACATCTGTGAGCAACTCATTCTGAGAAAGAAACTGAGTATCCACTGCAAGGTTCTACGAACAGAGAGGCACAGCCTGAAATATGTGAACTTTGACACCCACTGGTGTAACAATAATTTAATTGTAGCCCTAAAAATAATTGTCCAATAAAATGATGGGCCTCCATTGCAGCTGTTGTGGCCATCAGGAAATAGGGGATTTGACTGGCAACCTCACATACCAGTGGTCAGATCAAAAAGATTTGGAAGGAAAGTGGAAACAATCAGGGATCATTCCTTCCCCCCTCCATCCCACCCTCCCTCCAAGAACAGATTGTTTCCTATTCAGTGTTGACTTCACTAACAAAAGGACTTGGAAACAAGATTTTCTGTTCCTCCCTGATATGGAAACACTCTTGCCTTGAAAGCAGACCTGAGCTTTTACACAATGATGTTTCCTTAGCAATGCAATGAATACTGTGCTCTGTTCGGAGGTGGGGGGAGAGAGAAGCTGAACTGTAAATCATCAGAATGCAACAAAACCCAGTGTGGGATTATTACAGATTGTGTAAAAGCACAGGGCAATTCCCCTATGGTAGTTAGTCCAGGGCACTTGTCTCCTCTCAAAAAGATACTAAAATAAAAAAACTACTATGAGATTTTGAGAAATGAGCTTAAAAAATCAGCAGAGAAACACATTGTTTGTAGATTATCATCAAATGCAGGAGCTGGTTTTGTTTTGGAAAGTGTTAAGATATTTACAGGACAGTCAAAGGGCACACTAAATTAAATAAAATAAATTTAAAAAAAAGAAAATATATAGAGGAGATAGAAACATGCCATGCTAGATACAGCTATGGACAGTCTGGGTAAGGAGAAGATATCCCTAGAGACAAGTTCTCCCACTAACAGGCATCTTCTAACTCCATGGTCCTGAGCACTGTTAGAGACTTCAAGAACCACGGAATCACAGAAGGGTTTGGGTTGGAAGGGACATTAAAGATCATCCAGTTCTACCCCCTGCCATGGGCAGGGACACCTTCCACTATCCCAGGTTGCTCCAAGCCCTGTCCAACCTGGCCTTGAACACTTCCAGGGATGGGGCAGCCACACCTTCTCTGGGCAACCTGTGCCAGGGCCTCATCACCCTCTGAGTAAAGAATTTCTTCCTCACATCTAATCTAAATCTCTCATCTTTTGGCTTAAAACTGTTCCCCTTTGTCCCATCACTATCTGCAAATGATCTAAATCACTGATTTATTCCTTTATCACAGTGTCCTCAGTGCTGACTGTCCTCCAGCAACAGAGCTAAACAAGTGACTTGGAGAAATGTCTTACCCCGGGGAGCCCGATGTAACCAATCTCCAAGCAACAAACCACTTTAAAGTAAATGTTTAACAACGTATAATGTACCAGAATGTATTTTCAATGTATTTCAACATGTATTTCAACATGTAGTTGGTCCAAAACATTTGGTCACAGCTACTTTAAAAGATTACTCTCTGTGCAACCAGTTCAAATGTTTAATCACTTCAAAACCAAGCAAATATTCTTATTTCTCCAAGATTATTTTTGCCACGTGTCGAACACATTCAATACCAATCCCCTTCCTGGTGGTCAAGGGTTAATAATGTGAGATCTGCTTCCTTTGTCAGATCTGTAAATGTGAAAATTAAAAAGACAGAAAACCAGCTGTTTGATCACTTTAATTTACACAATTTCTGATGAATCAGTGCAACCAAGTTTGTGTTGCAACAGCTTAATAATTATTTCAGTCTAGTTTAAACATATTTAAAACCACAGTCAACAAAGAGTTTCTGCATGCTTGCAGCTGTTAAATTAAACAAGCATGGATGTACATTTTCAGATAACAATGGAGACACTGGGATAAAAAAAAATCAGCTAGAGGAAGGATGAACCACTGGCTTCAGCACTGGTTTCGACTGAAAAGAACTAAAAGTCTCTGGTTCACCACAGCAACTTATCCCTGCACTGCCTTGTACAAGCCATTATGTGTGTTCCTCAGCTATCCATGTGGGAAAATACCAAATATTAATTTCCCTATCATTATAGGAATAGATGAAGCTGAAATATATTGCTATTTATGAGACACTGCAGCATCACCAGGATGGAGTGATAAAAGCCAAGAGGAGCAGTGCTGTGTTAAGGGGAGAGAGAGAAGCAGCTTGAACTGCTGGTGTTAATACCTGTCCAGTGGAAACCACCTGCATTAGTGCTCAAAATGGGTTTTTCAGGACTGAATTTGACTTAAAAGAATAAAATACATACTTCACAAGTTAACTTTTTCATAGGCAAGTGGGTATTTGCCATGATTTTTGTTCAATTTGTTAAAGATTGCAGAGAAGAGCAAACACAGGGCTTGAATTAAATCCGGTTCTCAGAAAAGGGATGCTAATAATTTCATTGTAGGAATTGCCTGTAAATTTTGGATTTTGAACACACTGTCTGAAATTATTTCAGATTCTGTTATAGAAAACCCTCAGAATCCACAAAAAGAAGAATTAACAGTGTAATGTACCTCCAATTTGGGTGAGCTGCCCTGGGGACGCAGGATGGAATCCCCGGCATGGTCTGTTCCCAGAGCTCTGAGCAGCTGGATGGTCCAGATAAAGGGAATGTCCCAGCAGGATTCTCTCTTCTGCTCTGGTCAACCTTGGTCTTTGACCTTCACTGAGCTCCCCAACGCTGCCATCAGAGTCCTACAGAGGACACCAACATCGGAACAGCAGGTATAAAAAAACCCCAATGTGTATCTTCCAAACCCAGGCATTGTTTCCTAATTACAACAACCCTTAAAACACATATAAACTTAAGTCTATTTGAATAAAGAAAACAAACCCAGGAGATACCATCTGAGTTTGAAATTAAGATCTGCATTTATCAGTACTGGACAGAAGAAGGTCACTTGCAGCCAAACACCATTTATTCTGTTAGTGATATCCCAACACGATCAAAACCTAAGTTATATTTTTAGCACATGAAGCCTTTAATGTTATAGATTTGGCCATTGCTGACTGCCTGACCTTGAAACATTGGCAGCATCTAAAAGCTATTGACTCTCTGCTGTACTGCATGTCAGATAAAAGGTTCAATTTTTAAGTAGGTTTGGAGGGCACTTAAGACAGGGATGGTTCTCTGGATCCTGACTTTCGAAGGTGCATGGAAAAAACAACCTGCTTCCATGCAGGAAAACAGGTTGAATATACACAGGTGTGCACAGTATCATTCCAAGGCAATATTAGTAACACACAGGGGAATATTGTTTCTCTCATAAAAGAGAAGGGACCCCTGCACACACCTTGCCAGAATCTGGGGGGAGTTTATTAGTGCCTTCCATGGACAGACTGAGTGGTCCATGACTATGGGAAAGGGGAAAAGCAAATTAGAGATGCATTTGTAATTGGCAGTGCTGATGAGAAAATGTCACTGCAATTACAGCCAGACTCGGAGCTGACACTGTAGAAAGCTTTTCACTGAGTCCATCCACCAGAGCTCATTAGCAAAATAAAGAAAGACAAAGGAGCAGTTAAGGAAGTGAGTCAAGTCAGTAATTATTTAGACTAAACTGACCAAGACAGAAGGAAGAAACTGCATGTGCATCAGGAAAAGCACAAAAAGCAAGAGCTGCTGTAAATAAAGGTGTTCATGGACCATACTGCAGCATTCAAAGTTCACTTCCTTCCAACATTCCTCCAGCTACGTCAGTCAGAATAAACACCCAGTCCAAATTACTGTTTTCCACACAGAAAGGAATTAGATGTATAACAAAAAAAAATTGTGATGCAGATAGTTCTATTTTTCTGTTAGTCTTTTTTTTATTATGCCAACTGAACAGGGATATTTTGAGGTTCTGTTACAAGACCAGCATCAACACCACGTGCAAAGTGCATTTAAACATTCGGTGAGTTCTTCTTCACACCTCCCTAAAACACTCCTATGGCTGTTAAGTGCAGTGTCCTTGTACTGTCAAAGATTCCACCTATACTGCTTTAGTGACAGGAAATTCCCTGGCACTCAGTGTGACAGGACAAATTTGATACAAAAATGGGAATAGTCACATACATACCTTGAAAACTTGGTACATGTGGTGTTATGTACAGTTTGTTTACAATAATATTTCAGTGTTTTTAAAAGATTTTACACAAGAAGAAGGCCAACAGAAGTTGGATCACTTCCAGCAGGGAATGAAGTGTATGAACCTGTTCTACAGCCAACAGGAAGGATAATCTTGCAATATTTTACCTACTTGTGAGTAGGAAAGCACCACTTCAAAACTACTGTACTGGAAAGCAAAGGACAGTAAGTTACCTCCAAATGATCTATTCCCTCTTGTGGAGAAACAGGTGCTTGATTTAATTTGGCTAAAAGAGTCAGGACAGGATCCCTCTGAAATCCTTTATCCAGTCTCCTCACAACTTGCCCTTCACTCGGAGGATCATAATCCTAAAACAAAGAAACAAAACCCACATAATACATGATCCAAAACTGGGTTTTGTAGGAACTTGGATCATTCTTACTTTAGTTCACGACTAATCTTGCTTTTTTTTTTTTACAGGAAGATCAGTTGTAACTGAAAAATTGTGTCATGAAAATTCGGGCATTTAAAAATAAGCAAACAGATGACACACTGCTTTCTCCTTTAACCACAGACATGCACAGTCTTTATTTGATGCAAAAGATTGCAATAGTTAGGGAAGAACAAGGTCCTTTAGGCCTCCAAAGATCAGGGAAACAGTTAAATCCTCACACACACCAGTTGCTAGCAATGGTCTGGCTGCAGAGCTGCTCTCACCAAGCAATTTAGTTCCTCCACCAAACAGAGGATGGAGGACTCTTGGAAGGATCCAGGGGACAAAGAGAGGGAAGAACATCTTAGCAAACAAATGTTATTCTGATGAAGAGAACTGTAAGTTCACCTGATATCAAGAGACTTAAGCCCAGAGTTTAAGAGAGGAAGTGTGGCAGACAGAGGAGGCTTTAAAGACTTGCAAGTTCTGGGCACAGTCTCACAACTACAGTTGGTTTTTTTGGGGTGTCCTGTGCTGAGGGAGTTGGACTTGATCCTTGTGGGTCCCTTTCAACTCAGGATATTCTCTGATTCTATGGCATGAATGAAAACATGGATATTAAATGGGAAAACGTGCACAGGCAGAGTATGGCCACGTATGCGTAGAAATGTTCAGGAAGGAGAGGCAGGGAGAAGAGAGGTGGACTCCTACTCTGGGACGTTTAAATTTGCCTTATGGAGCTTGGAAGGGACCTCTGGAGATTGTCTGGTCCATCCCAGCTGCTCAAGGCAGTTCTTTCAGCTTGGTTACCCCCAAAGTAAAAACATTTTTCATATTTAAAAGGAATTTTCTGAATTTCAACCTGTGTCCACTGCCTCCTGTCTTTCACCAGGCACCAGGTAGAAGAGTCTGGCTCTGTCTTCCTTCCCTCACTCCACCAGGTATTTATCCACACTGGTAAGATCCCCTCAGAGCTTTCTCTCTTCCAGGCTGAGCCATCTGAGCTCTCTCAGTATGGCAGATGCACCAATCCCTGAATCATTTTTGCAGAGCTTTACTGGACTCACTCCATTAAATGTCCTGGTGCCAGGAGCTGCTCCTCCTTGGGAGCAGGACATGGCATTTCTCCTTGTTGAACTTAATTGTTAACTATCATTTATATCACAGCTCTGTCCTACCAAGCAGTACACAAAGTCTGAGAGGGAAATCAAAGCATTTGAGGGAAAGTGTTAAAATAGAAAAGGAATGGAGAACATCTTGACTTGGGAGGCTTCCAGGACAAGGGACTAAAGCAGATATCAGATAAGGAACTATACTGATGTTTTAAGCAGCTTTAACTCCAGCCTCAGCAAACCCACTTGAATAATTTAATCACACAAGCAATTAAAAGATGGCTCAAAGCTGGAACAGCTCAGAGCATAACAATGTTCTATTCTGTTTAAGATGTCTTAAAACTAAAAGCAACAAAAGAAACAAAAATGTATGTTAGCTATCTCTCACCTAAAGAAATACATAAATCCAACTTTTTAAAATATAAATTAGTTTGTATAATGTCATCTTTTTGCCTTTGATGTTCTGAAATTCTAACACTCTTTTCGAGTGTAGAGCTTGGAAGTGCAAATTTAAGGAGTTGGTAAGTGAAAATGTTTAAAGCACATCCAGTGAATAAAGATGCCCAAGGTGGAATCCACATTAACTCCGTTTCCTTAGGAAACATTTCCTTACCATCTCATTGGCATCTCGTAAAGTGCTGGATAAGCTCTCAGTGAGGTTTGGAAGAGACAGTCCTCCTTCTGCTAAGAATGAAAAATATTTTGTGTTACAGCTACTAAAAAACATGAATGTTTTTACATGGAAAAAACAAGACCACATTCTTTAATAATTACAACACTGTGCTTCAGTAAATTTGGAAATTCCTACTGCTGGATGTGTTATAAAGACATGTTTTCATATTTCTTACACTTTGCTTACAGTAAGAACTTAGTACCACATGGTACTTAAGCATGACAAGTCCCAATTATTTTCCAAGTTGATCTCATGACAAAAGAGCAGATTGAATCTTTTTTTTTCATTGATAAACAGCAGCATTTTGTTCAGAGACGAGAAAAAGAACAACGAACTCTTCAATCTTCATGAACTGAAAGTTAAGGGCCAGGTTAATGCCTGCAGCTTTATCGGAAAATGTATGAAATATAACTTCAGGAGACTGGAAGAGTTTATAAAGAATAAAAATTAATTCAAATTCTAATTTCCACAGATGTATCCAGTTGGTTACCTCCTGCAGCCAGCATTTGTCCATAGCTGAAGAGCACCTCCCCTTCTGAGATGGGTCTGTCTGTAGTTTCAGTTTCTGTGGGGGTGATGCTGCTTTCCTGTGTGGACACTCCAGAACTAACCGTAGGCACAGGGGATGGAACCTGGGGGTTGCTTGGAAGTGCTTCCAGGGGCCTCGCTGAGGGCTGTGGGGATGGTAAAATCAAGGCCTCTGGTTCCTCATCATTAGCCACTGACATCTCACTGCAAGGTGAGAACATGCACTCCATGAATACACCAAACCACTCTGAACAACACAGACTGAAGTCCTAATTCAACACTGACAAGAAATTAATTCCCAAGTATTTTTTTCAAATGAAGGAACACAGCATTTCACAGAATAGCCTGAGAACCAACACGGCTAAAGAATATTATTAACAAATTTCTGGTTCTAACTAAAAATTACCAGGTGTATTCCCAATGAGGCAAGAGAAAAAATAAATGCTAATAACACAATATTTCGTTTTCACTACATGTATTACTGGCAGGTGTAGCAATACAAGTTTACTATGGACAGCATTCAGCAGGACAATGAATAAGGACTGATAAACCCCGAGAAAGGTTATGATTCCACATTTTTTGTCCAAAATACAATACAAGCAATTAAAAAAGAAAATAGAATTCTGGCTTATCTCATTGCCTCCTGACACACAGATAAAGCATTTCTTTCTACTGGCTTTTTGAGGATACATGTAGAAAGAATATACATATTCATGTTTTTCAGAAAACTGTGCAGCCTGTTCAACTCACACGGCCTTGGGACGGAAGGGCTCCTCAGCCAAAGGACTGGGGTTCTCCTCTTCCAGAGGAAGTTCAGCACCATCCCACGGGTTTGGAGGCTTTGGACTTTCCATTTTGGCAGCGTGGGAGCCCCCCTCCGAGGCAGGAGGGCTGGGTGTGGTTGCCGTGGGTGTATTGACAGGGGTAACCACGGGTGTGCCAACACGGCCCGTGGCTGCTGGAATCCCAACTCCTGCAGGTGTGAAGCCAAATTCCAGATCAGAAAGGAAAGCAGGAAGCAAATCTCAGATCTAGGCAGTTCTACCAAGCACTTGTAGTTTTTTGTGATACCTTTTGATAGCTAGGGAGACAAGACTAGATTAAGAATAGCTTCTTTTAATTACAGTGCTGGCACCTGAAGAATTTAGAGTAAAACCTCAATTTCTTACTTCCTTTAATAAGGGAGACTGCTCTGCATTTTAAAAACATTCTCCATTTACTTGAAAAGTGTGCATTTGACTTAATTAACATTAGAAATGCAGGAAAGAGCAAAAGACAGCTATTTTTCTGATGTGAAAAATTGTGGAGGGGTTGGGAGGGGTGGAAATGACACAGACCAAAGAAATCTGCATTAAGTTTGAAAATAGAACTGTTACCAAATAAAAAAATGTTTGCTTTTTATATAAATTAGCCCATATTTTCTGTACTACATGAGTTCCCACTTGTATTATAGCCTCAAGAATATTTATCCTGAGAGATAACACGACTTTGAAGAGGAAAATTAAAGGCAGTAGATTAAAGCATATTTGCTGCTTCTAAACTTCAATTATTATTTTCAATACCTGTTTCTTTACGTTTTTCACTCTCATGAACATCCCCACTCATTTCTGTGGGAGATGGGGATGACTCTGGAGTTTTGACTGGGGGCAGTTCCTTTTCTGAAGGTGGTGTTGGTGGTGGTGTGGCCTGGGGGGTTGGCAGTAGTGTAGGCACAGGAGACTCCTGAGGGGAAGAAAAAATCATAACCACAGTTGTTATCTCCAGGCAGAATTCCTGCCTTCCAAGTATCCCCAGAGAGAGCTGAGGAAGAGAGAGAAAGGCAGGTTTTCACAGAACAGGAACAGTTGTTGCTTAGATACATCTTCATGGATCTAACTCCTCCATCTAAACAGAAAGGTGCGCTGGGTTAAATGGCGTGACTGGAGAAAATAAATTAAAGCCTTTATAAATTAAATTAAAATCATTAGAATGATTACACTGGGAAATCATTATGTGTGGAATAGAACAGACTATTTCAGTTGGGAGGGACCTACAGTGATCATCTGGTCCAACTGCCAGAGCACTCCAGGGCTGACCAAAATTTAAAGTGTGTTGTTAAGGGCATTGCCCAAAAGCCTCAGAAACACTGACAGGTCTGTGGTATCAACCACCTCTCTAGGAAGGTTTGACCACCCTCTTGGTAAAGAAATGCTCCCTAATGTCCAGTCTAAATATGAATCATATTATCCTATGAAGTTTAATAAAGCATTTGATACAATGCTAAGCAAGAAAATATTTCCTGACGCGGATAAAATTGAGTGATACAGTAATTTTATGGTAAGAAAAATCAGCTAAAAGGAAGATTACAAACAAAGGAACAGACAAGACAGGAAAGCACCAAAATAAGCACAAATGTAATTGTGATGTTCCTTTTAAAGATGACAGCAATGGACACAAATCTGACAAGTATGATGGTTGTCATTTAAGCTGCTATGGAGGAATATGATGGACCTTTCCAGAGTTTTTCCAGCTTTGTTCTCTGACATTTCATAAAGAAACCAAGACAATGAGGTTATAGGAAGACTTCCAGTATAGTTTCTGAAGAATAAGTCCTCAGATTTTTATTAGAATCTCTCATGGAAAGTGCAACATGCCAACATATTTGGCAGCTCACATTGTGACACCAAAGAATTAAAGAACAGTTGCAGTTCTAGACAGGAAACTTCACAGTGGGAAGGGACAGATCAAGATGCATCAACTACATATTCAAAAACTTCTGCTATAAGCTGAGCAAAAATGGAAAAAGAAGCATTAAAAAAACCCCTCATGATAGCACAAGCTAAAGGATAGCTACCAGCTACAAATATGGAAAGGCTTTAAAAAACATAATTGGCCACCTGAGATTCCAATAAAGGCAGGAGAGTATCACCACTACAGCACAAGGCACTGAGGAAACCCCATCTTACACACCACATTATTATTAAAAATGTCTATTAGCATATCAGTGTTACCTGTGCTCCAGACCAACCTAAATTAGAAAACATCAAAGCTGCCTATAAGGAAGAGTCAAAAAATGGTCCCCACATGGATGATTGATTTATTTAGGCTAATTAAACAAAGGCCAAAAAGGACAAAACTAATCTCTTGGAGTGGGCAACACATATGGAATAAGGAAAAAACAACCATTTCAGGATCATGAATAATTCACAATCCTAAGGGTATTTCAGTTGAAGCTGGTACAGCAACAAAAGGGCCATTAGTAAATGTAGAATAGACAATAGAAAAGGTTTCCAAGGACCAGAATAACAGGTTACAAGGAACATCTTGGACATCAGGCCCTCCTGACTCTGTAATGGAGTGGGGAAGAGATGCAGGAGGGCTGTATTTCAGCCCACAGCAGTGAACTGATCACTTCTGACTACAGAATAACCTGTTTGTCCCTTCCAGCAGGCACCAGGTGGTATTTCAGCCTAAATGCACTGAGCAAAGCAAAATGACTGATCCCACTTCAACAAAGCCTCCAACAGTTGGATTTCTAAGCACAGCCATTTCCACATGCATCCCAAAGACATTACACAACACCAGACTGCAGCACAGCCACGTTGGTATCAAAATAAGAGCCAGCTGTCATCTGATTATCAAAGGGAACACAGGAAATTATCCTCTATTACAGGAAGCTCTACTAATCAATTAAGCATTTACTGAAAACTACTGAGCTCAAAACTCAGAAAGAATTAATAGCCATTTTAACAGATATGAAAGAATGGCTGCAAGCCCATAAGACAAAAATATCACTCTCAGCTTCCTTTTCTTCTTAGATGAAGAAATTAGTTTCTTTATATTTCGTTTGATGCAAGTGAGCAGCACATTTATTTTTGTTGAAAATAACATGATCTGTCTTTTGACAATGTGAAATTAAGTACCAAGTCCTTTCCTTAGAAATTAGTTTTGTGTTCACCCTTAAAGTAAATAAATAAATAAATAAATCCAGAATGTTGCAGCAGCACAAGGGAATTGATTTTGCTTTCTCTTCAATTTCTTTTTTCAAAAGTGAAATAGAAACCCAGAATGGTTTGGCTTGGAAGGGATCTTAAAGACAATCCTGTTCTACCCCCTGCCATGGGCATGGACACCTTCCACTATCCCAGGTTGCTCCAAGCCCTGTCCAACCTGGCCTGGAACACTTCCAGGGATGGGGCAGCCACAGCTTCTCTGGAAAACCTGTGCCAGGGCCTCACCACCCTCACAGCCAAGAATTCCTTCCCAATATCCAATCTAACCCTGTCCTCTGGCAGTGGGAAGCCATTCCCCCTTGTCCTGTCACTCCAGGCCCTTGTCCAAAGTCCCTCTCGGGCTCTCTTGGAGCCCCTTTAGGCACTGGAAGGGGCTCTCAGGTCTCCCTGGAGCCTTCTCTTCTCCAGGCTGAACACCCCCAGCTCTCTCAGCCTGTCTCCAGAGCAGAGGGGCTCCAGCTCTTTGAGGACCTCTGGACTGGCTCCATGTCCATATCCTTCCTGTGCTGAGGACTCCAGGCCTGGACACAGCACTGCCAGGTGGGTGTCAACAGAGCACAGTAGAGGGGCAAATGGGTTTAATCTTGTTGCTTGCTGGGGTATAATAAGGAATTATTAAAAATAGGCAAACAATGCACATTCAGTTCATCCATCCTTTCCTGTCATCATGCCATGAAGGAATTATCCCTTAGAACTTCTGTAGGAAGGCTTAGGTAAAATGGACACTTACCACCTTAGTCACTGTGCTTGGAAGAACATTTGGAGCAGGAACTGCTCTCTGAGCCTGATTGTCACCCAGCATGGTTGCAATTGTTTCACTGAGAGCCTCATTTACAAAATGATTTATCATTTCTGAGTCCACAGGGACACCAGCATTGACGAAGAGCTGAAATCCGCCTCCACCTGCAACTTCAACTGAAAATGAAGGAACACAAAACTCACGTCCAGGTCCCACCTCCTAAAATGCATGTTCTGTACTGCAGCCACTCATTTTATTCTCCATGAGCTTTTAAACATTCCTTTGAAAAAAGTGATTTTTTTTTTTTACTTTAAAGATAAACAAGAGTAGAGAAACAGTTCCTGATCCTAAAAGAAGGCAACAGCAAAGAGCAGTGACATCACAGGAGAAATGTATTTCCCTCCACTCTCACACATTTTCAAAGTGGGGGGTGATTTCTGACATATCTATTAACAAAAGAAAGGCAAACAAACATTACAGGCTTAGCAAAATGCCAAGTCTGATTTAGATGGCCAACAACAGAAGGTGATTTGTGCAGTGGGGTGATTTATGCCTTCTTTTCCTTTTTTTTTCCAGATAATTTATTTCAGCGACCTTATAACACAACATAAATTAAAGTGTGCACTGCTGCTTTTTACAGTTTCACTGGTTCAGCATTATCCACCCTTAGGCTCAGGCAACAGCTACCTACACAGCTTGTGAAAATTAGCCAAAAATTGAGATATCCCATCTGCTCAGAACAGTAACTCCCACTCACCAATGTCAGGGGTTACAACCTCCTCGTCTCCACTCTCCGAGGTGCTGACACTGGACACTGTTTCCTTCTGAGCTGGGCACATCCCACTGATAATTTTTGCCATTATTTCCTGCTCCACCCTGGCAGAATAAAATCTTTTTAACTATCAGCAAACACCAAGACACCTAAAAGCACACAAAGGAGCATCCTTGACGTGAAATGCAGGGCAGCTCAAAGGAAAAGGAAGAAGGGAACAGAGGCGAGAAGAAAGGGAAGGATAATTAGGGAATCATTCCTCCTTCCATATATATTCTTTTGCCACTTTGTTACATTGCAACTCACCAATTTATCAGCCTGTTTTCAATGGTTTCTCTCCTTTGAATCAGTTCATCCAAAACATCAGCAGGCTGCTGAGGAGCAGAAGCCACCGGAGGAAACAAAGGACCGCTGTATTTTGGTGAGGCAACTTTAAACTGGCCATTAAGCTCCAGAAGAGGCTCAGAGAACTCTGGAATTTCATCCCTCTCCTCTTCCTGATCCTAATAAATAAGTAGTAAATTAAGTTATGGTGCATTTCTGCAAGGCAATGTCATTGAGGTAGCTGTCAGGTTTTTTTCTTTAAGAAACACTTGCAGATGTGTCACAGCACACAAACCACGTTCTCCCTCCTCAGTGTGTCCTAGTTAATTGATACAACTCTAAGCTTAGCAAATCATAAATCTGTGGAGGTATAAAGTTATAGGAACTGCTAAGTAAAACATGATTTGGCTCCTATTTCCTGCCTGTGCTGCACAGGGCAGAGAGCCAGTGGTAATGCTAACACTTGAAAAATGTACTTGTGACATAAGTCAAGTTTCTTTAATGTACACACCAGAAACGTTCCTCCTCTAAACACAAAACTTCAGGAGACTTTCTACAATTACTAGTTGGGTTAGGGCTTTTTTGTTTTGTTTGGGTTTTGGTGCTCTGGTTGCTTTTTTTTAAATGAATTAAACTTGTTTGTTAAAGCTTCCTGTCTGAAAAGACACATTCCCAAAAGTTAATGAGCATTTGGTCTGTCAAAACTCTAATAAACTTGAAGACCAGACATTAATATTTTACACATATGTTACATGTGTGTTTACACTTTCATTAACTCCAGCTGCTGAAAGTTAAAAGGCATTTCTGGGTAATAATTCACAAAATCCTCACAGACATCCTGATTTTAATGATAATATGCTATTTCTAAAAAGTTACAGAAGTTACTTGGTGTGTGTTACAACGTTTGGCTGTTCCCAAAGATGCCTCCCTCCTTTTTCCCTGGATACACAGCACCAAGTCCCAAAAAGCAGTCACTAATCCATCAGACTGTAATGCCTCCTGATGGATGAGAACCTGCATCCTTCACTTGTAATATTAAAAGCAAATGTCTTTAATGGTAATTTGATTCTCTAAGAAGAAAATTTGGCCTGGCAGAAAGAGATGAAGAGCTGGGCCCTAAATTACCAGTGAGAAGTATGTGATGGTGCATAAAAGAGCTCCCTGTAAATCCACAGTTACTAAGATTAATCTCCAACACAGTGAAAGGAGAAAAAAAAAGTCTTCTTTTCCTTTACATAAATTAAACTTACTTTTAACCCATAAAATAAAGAAAAACCAACAAAAAACACCAAACATGCTATATATTATCTATGAATAAAAGAACAAATCACTGAAACCAGAAAGAATAGAGAAGGGGAAATAAAAAGACAGTGACATTTTCCTGTCTCCTTCCTCAACCCAGCATTAATAATTCTCTCCTACCTTAATATACTTTAAAACTGCAAAGTCAGAGAGGTCCCTGATGGGTATTACAACAAAGAGCAGGATCCTTCTGGATCTTTATATAGGGATAATTCTTCAAAGAAGCAAGAATATGTATATTCTTGAAGAATATGTATATTGGGTGGCAAACAAAGATCTCTAAACCATTCTGGGTAAAGAAATAACCAGTTTAGTTCAACTCAGAAAGCACTGGGTGCCTTGCAAGCTGATAAGCAGTTCATGCTGTCAGGATATATGTACTCAGAACCATAATTCATTCTGACAGCAAATGTAAAGATGTCTTTGTCCAGCATTTCATTATGCATTTTCTTCTGCCTGCTTTACTCTATAAATTTTCTTTGATGTTGCCTGTTTAATACTTCTGAGAGTATGCAAAATACAAACATCTGGATTAAATAAACCAAGTACATACAATAAATCTTACATATATTTAGTAACTCTGACAAACTTTTGCAGTCCTCCTGCATTTCTAAAATATTTGATATTTAATAGTGCACAAATCCACAATAATGCACAAATCCAGAGGAAAATTGTATTCATTTTGGGGTGATATATCATCTCTGCTGAAATAAAAAAATAGTGTAACAGTCAGTATTTAATTATACAGATTGAACTTGAACATATATCACCTTGTAGACCAATCTTGAATAATCTGCACTTAATTCTGCATTTTGCTTCCCTGAAGACTGTTGAAAATACCTATCACGACTCCCAATCAAAATATGGCATAAATTAGAAGGTCTTTCAGATATGATTGGAATATTAATCACTGTACTTTATTATAAAGTATCAAGCTGAAATTCTATTTCCCAAATTACACTGAAATAACTTTAAAAAAAAGTTTGTAATGATTAGTGGTATAGATTAGTTTTGTTCCATTACCAAACACGTATATGCAGAGTCTTTTATCAAAGCCTCTCAAAACTTAGGTCATGGATTTCTTGATGGATTTCTAAAGCAATTCTCACAGGCAAGGCCAGGCTGCATTGCAGGTGTCACCTGGGATCTTTTGTCTGAAGAGTCACACGTGTAAAAACATTCCCTGTGGGAAACCAGGGCTGAGGAAAATGCATTTACTCTGAGCCCTGTAGGTTCTAAATATTGAGTGCTGTTGAAACTGGAAGCAGAAATTCTGAGAAACAAGTCACCACCTTGCACTTAGGGCGTGTTCAGAGAGAGCAAAAAGGGTCTCCAATCCTAAATCCCACTAAATGTGCTAAAGGTCCCCCAGGATGTGGCTGCTCACAAGAGTTGACACAATAAATCTGAGAGTCCATTCTTGGCTCATGTGAGCAGAGCAAGGTCCTCACTCTGAAAAAATCCCAGAATGGTTTGGCTTGGAAGGGATCTTAAAGATCATCCAGTTCTACCCCCTGCCATAAGGCAGGGACACCTTCCACTAGATCAGGTTGCTCAGAGCCTCATCCAGCCAGGCCCTGAACACTTCCAGGGATGGGGCAGCCACAGCTTCTCTGGGCAACCTGTGCCAGGGCCTCACCACCCTCACAACCAAGAATTTCCTCCTAATCCAGCCCTGCCCTCTGCCAGTTTAAAGCTGAAAAGGCAAGTTCATGCAAGGAAACTGTGCAGAAAGTGTAAACCTACTTTGTTGTAGGTGCAACCATTGATCAAAAATAAAGAAATCAAAGCTGTTTTCGGCTTTGTTCCGTAAATTTTCTTACTGTGAAGTAAGAGCACCCAATTTAACTATTTTGGAAGATGGAGCTCTGGGTCTTTAAACACAAGATAGAGAGGTAGCAATGGAGGGGGTTGTGTTAGACAGGCTGGGGCACAGTGCAGAGTGCTCAAGACTGTTAAATGAGTGTTCAATTATGTGCCAAAGGCCCAAAACAGGAGCATAAAGGAACAACAACAGGTGGGAGAACAACCCAATAGACAACCAAGCACCAGACATGGGTTATTCCAAGAGCCACCACAGGAGAGGGCCCAGCCCCAGGGCCCAGCAGTGACACCCAGCAAGATGAGCCCAAGGAATGACTCTCCACGGCACCTTTCTTAAGGTGGGACAGGTGCATTTGGATGAGCTGATGACACTATGGACTATTCCAGGATGCAGGGAATAGGTATTTTGGGATGGAACAGCACTTTTTATGAGGTGTTTACAGTGAGGAAAAGGAGATGTGGAAAGAAGAGAGGGTTTGATTGGAAGGGACCTTAAGGATCATCCCATTCCATCCCCCTGCCATGGGCAGAGACACCTTCCACTAGACCAGGTTGCTCCAAGCCCTGTCCAACCTGGCCTGGAACACTTCCAGGGGAGAAAAAAACAGGAAAAGATAAAAACCCCAAAAGATATTTCACACAAATACTTATCCTCCTCAGTTCTAAGAGAATTAAGTTTTCATAATAAAAGGGAGAGGGGGGAAGACAACAATGAGCTGTTTTTCCACACAGCATTTTATGCACATTTTTTCATGAATCTGAAGCCTCTTTTATAACAATAACTTTGCTTTCTTTTGATGTCTTAAATACCCCTGCCACTCCAGAGATTGATTTTATGCTTCCACATTGTGTTTGCCTTGCACATTTTTAAGAACGTTGTCCGTGTGGTCACAGGCCAAACATATGTTTCACTTGGAACATTTTTTGGTATTGTGGTTAAAATATATCTCATTGCCAAAAATAAGAGATAAAAGCAATCCAGGAAAAAGATGAAAAAAGAAAAGATGAATAACTATTATTCACATAATAAAAATTTAACATTGCAGTATTTTTTGTTAGTTCATAAAATGATTTCTTGAATAGCTTTCCTCTTTAGTTTCATAAATTAAAGTTTTTAATGCAAACAGAAGAACAATGTCCACACAGATTTAACTCCTCTCCTCCAACAACATCAGTAACTTTGAAACTATAAGTGAATAAAGCATTTGCACAGTTGTGATAGACAAACCACCAATTTAGGCTGTTTTAACCAACTGATGATGTTAAATGATGAATTCATCTTAAAAATGATCTACCATACTGACCTGTAGGCTACAGGGTTAATATTCAATGTACACCCTAATCCTGGGATCCAGAACATAAAGAAGAGGTAAAAAGAAAACATTTGGGGGTAGATTTTGAAATGCACACAGCAAGTCTTGCTCACTGAAGTGAAACACAGGCTGGTTCACCAACCTTGAGGGTTTGTCAGCCCCTACTCTAACATGAGGTCAGCTGATTAAAAGAGGACTTGCTACCTAAAAAAATTAAACTGTGAAAGAGTATCTCAAATAAACCAGAAACAACGATGTTGTTAAATTTTGGAAATTCCTAATGAGATCTATGAGATGAGCAGTACATGAGTACAGAGAATGACAGAACAGGCAAAGCTGGAAGGGACCCACAAGGATCATCCAGTCCCACTCCTGGCCCTGCACAGGACTCTCCCAAAGAGTCACATCATGTCCCTGAGAGCATTGTCCAAATACTTGAACTCTGTCAGGTCTGGTGCTGTGACTTCTTCTCACTGTTTGTCCTTTCTCTCATGAAGTTACAATGTTTGACTGAAATGAGATATTGCTAAAGCATTTTAGGACCTCAAAAGCACGTGCAAATTGCTCTATACTGAAATTTTCTAAAAGGAACCCTCAGAAAATATGTTCATTCTTTAAAAGAGAGGTCACCTTACTTTAAAATATGTAAGAGAATCTTATACAGCATCACTGAATGGTTTGGGTTGGAAGGCATCTCAAAGACCATCTCATTCCAACCCCTGCCATGGGCAGGGACACCTTCCACTAGACCAGGTTGCTCCAAGCCATTGAACACTTCCAGGGATCCATCCAGGGGCAGCCACAGCTTCTCTGGGCAACCTGTGCCAGGGCCTCACCACCCTCACAGCCAACAATTTCTTCCCAATATCCCAACTAACCCTGTCCTCTGGCAGTGGGAAGCCATTCCCCTCTTGTCCTGTCACTCCAGGCCCTTGTCCCAAATCCCTCTCCAGCTTTCTTGGAGCCCCTTTAGGCACTGGAAAGTGCTCTAAGGTCTCCCTGAAGCCTTCTCTTCTCCAGGCTGAACAACCACAGCTCTTTCAGCCTGTCAACATATTCATTACCTTCAGAGTTTTAAATTGTGATATCCAAGTGCTGTAATCACTGCTGATTTTAGAGAACTACTTATATTTCTAGTGGATTCTAACATATCCAAAATAATTTTAGCTTTTTACTCTAATTCTTCAAAAGCTACTCTACTTTACCAACACACAGTAATTTCTAATATTCTTTATAGCACTGTAAACAGGTATAGTATTGCTCACAGTGTGTACTTTTAAAGCTGCTAGGACTGTTTACTTTGTTTTCAGATATGATAGAATGACATAAAACAAATACACATTTTTTTAAAAGAAAGGACCCTTTTGCAATGTGATTACCTCCATGACATCAGTGACATCAATGAAATTAGTTCCTGGAAACTTTGTGTCTTCCTCTTCGCTGTGTATATCTTCTGGGGTCTTGTAAAGACAGATTGCAATTGTTAGGTATCTCATACAGGAGGGGAAAATGCATTAGCAGAAAAAACTTCATGACAAGAATGCAATTAAATCACCACTCACTGTCAGCAGTCTGAATTGAGAGAAAATGCTTTATCCACCTTACAAGTCAGGAGGAATTTCTTTGCACAGCATAAGGAGAGATTATTAGAACAACTTCTTGCATGCTGACAACTAAAACCTGCTGTTACCAAACCTAATGGAATATTTCAGGATCAAAAGCTGTAGGGCAATAGTCTCTAAGTGTCTTAAGCAATTTACTTATGTACGATTTCTGTGGTGTTATTTAATAATCAGACAATCACAGAATGTTTTGGGTTGGAAGGGACATTAAAGACAATCTCCTTCCACCCACCTGCCATGGGCAGGGACACCTTCCACTAGACCAGGTTGATCTAAGTCCTGTCCAACCTGACCTTGGACACTTCCAGGGATGGGGCAGCCACAGTTTCTCTGGGCAACCTGTGCCAGGGCCTCACCACCCTCACAGCCAAAAATTTCTTCCCAACATTCCACCTAAACCCACCCTCTGTCAGTTTGAAGCCATTCCCTTCCTCTGTCACCCCATGGTAAATAGTCCCTCTCCATGTTTCTTGTGGGCTCCCTTCAGGCACTGGAAGGCTGCACTAAGTCACCCCAGAGCTTTCTCCTCTCCAGGCTGAACAATCCCAATTCCCTCAGCCTTTCCTCATAGCAGAGGTGCTCCATCCCTCTAATCATCTTGGGGTGATGGAGTAATATAGTTTTAAAATAATAACCACTATTTCAGTCCACAATCTCTGTCTTGTTCAGTGAACACCTTGACCACAGGACTCTAGAGGACCCAACTCCTGAAGTCAGAATAGCAACTAACACACAGGGCAAACAAAATGTACAATAATCATACAGAACCCATCCCTGCAGCACCGTGCCTTCACACTGCCCAGTCTGTCCTTATTGTTCAGCAGGCAGCAGTCACCCTTAGACTTGTACAAAAACCTTCATTGCTGCTTAGATTAGTTTAAAAACACTTCTGAAAAGCTCCATGGAAAGAAAATGGACTGGCCAGCTCCACACACCACGGGCTCCCAGGACACAAAATGCCATGAACCACCAGAGAACAGCCAAGGAGCAGATGGAGGAATGAGGAACATCCTCAGCCTTCACATCAGAACACTGAAGCCAGTGTAAACCAGACAGACATGGGCCAACAGGGATTATAATTCTTAACAGGGCACAGAAACACTGCTTTTATTAAGAATTTTACTATGGTGATTATTTAATCTTGGAAGAACAGTGTCTTGCTGCAATTTCTCATTTTCTTAAAACAAATACCTTACACAATAAACTCTTTAGAATAATTACTCCATTTTTCCTGGAACTGTCTCATTTCTCTAACTAAAACAAGACAATGAGATAACTTAGCAGTAATTCAACATATTTTCTTTTTTGAACAAATCTGGATTCACAGACAATCAATACCTGTATTACAGCATCCACAGGAGGAAGTGCAGGTTCAGAGTCTGGAAGAACATGGTTTACACTCTCACTTGAAGCACTGTCAATGTTCACATTTGGTAACACCTGGGAAAGATGAAAAAAAGAAAAGCATGAATATAAAAATCTATGTATTAGCTTGGCTGTTATCACTGAACTTTATAGATACTTCCAGTTGCTACTGAACTACTAAACTTCAGAGATCTCCCCTTTTCTGGTGCCTGGACCTGGTATCACCTTGGTTCTGAAAAACAAAACCCTGTAAAAAACTCAGGGCAGAAATATTCACATGTTTTCTTGCAGTATCTGATTTTTCCTGTTCTTTAATTCCCTGACACTTTGCCTTGCCTGTGACAGAAGGTGAGTGTACCTGTTATTTATAACTTATTATTTATATGGGAGATGTGTGTTTGACTTGAGATTTGTTTGCACTGTGTAGGTTGGTTATTGGCTTCACACTGTCCCACATCTGGTACAGTAAAACAAAGGGAAAACTGTATTACAATATAAAAACAGGTCACTGCAGCATCAAAATGGATTGTGTGTCTGTTAAGAACAAAGATTTAAATGCTGGCTTAATTCCTCAGGGAAAAGAAAAATCACATTAAGCATTTAAGAACTGGGTGAACTAACAGCAAAATGTGGGTGGAATAGTGACACAGCAAAGGAACAAACCACACAATACTCTACCTGTGTTTAACTCTGAGGCCCATGAATCATTTGAATCTGAAAGGTGTGTGGGGGATGTGTACAGTCTCAACAATTTGAGCCCCAAATAATGAACACATAAGAAACATTCACTTCCTTGACAACAGACTCATGTTAAAAATTAAAACAACAAACTCCAACCCACCAGGTAAGGACTGCAGGGGTTGATTAATCTGCAGTGAAATCCTTGGGTTGACAATCATGCTTGAAACAGAAATCTTAAAGGCCAAAGCAGTCATCCAAGAAAACTGACATTTATATTTATACTTTTTTTGATTCCAAGTTTGTTCTGGCTGAAAAATCTCATTAAAAAAAAGAAAATGTGACACAGATCTATTTTTACACACACCCTGCCTAGGTGACAGAGGGAAGAAACAGTTTTCTATTTTGGTGAAATAATAAAGATAATTGATAAAATATGAGTGAATATATTAGCACAGCATGAGAACTTCCTGCTCCCTCCATTCTTTATGTTTCTATTGCTTGCTGAAAACCATCTACGGATGTCAAAGAGCACTAGTGGTGGCTCAGACTGACTTTAATTAGCATTCATTAAAATAAACAAACAAATAATCATCACTCTTGACAAGTACCTGCACAGAGAGCTGAGGTGGATCCTTTTTCTCTGATCTCATCTCTATCACAGCTATGTTTGGTTTTTTTATCTCAACTGGAGGTTTTGGCACTTGAGGGAGGGAGGTTGTAACTGTGACAGGGTGTGGTTTGTCTACAATGATCCCAGCAGGCTGCAGGGATGTGCTGCTCTGGGTCTGACCTAAGGACAGTTGAAAAACAATTAAAAATACATATAAATCTCCAAAGTCAGTCAATTCGTAAATTAATTAAAATTAATTTCTACCTGTCTGTGTTTCATGTTAGACTGAGATCCTCTGTTGCCAGACCAACTGAAAAGCCCCCTATTAACACTCTGGGGATTCACCAGGTAATTTGAAGGCTTTCCCAGCAGAAATTGTAAACTCAACAGTGCCATTTTTAAAAATTACTTTCTTGACTGTGGTGACACCTACTGCTGAAAATCAGAATTGTGTTTGCTGATCAAAAAGTACACACCATGTTTCCCCCACCTCACATTCTTGTAATCATATCCAAAATAAGATTACACTTGTAATACCATCCCACAAATTTTTGAGAGACCCTTTAAAAAACCACAATTCTCTTCTTTAATTGCCAATATAATACTAACCCTCCTCAAAACGAGGCCTGTAGAAAGGTTCTATTCAAGGTGCAAAAATACAGAACCTTTTAACAATGAATTTAGTGTGTTTGGCACAATCCTACTGAAACTGCTGGGCTGAAGTCATTGCAAATGTTGAATCCAAGGGCCAGTAATTCAGTTCCTGCTTATGTGGACACCAAACTTAAAGCCAGAATATGAACCCCAGGAATGGAAAGTGTGCAAGAAAAGGGACAGGTAAGAAATAAAACTGGGCCAATAAGCTCCAGTACCTGAAAGGAGCCTACAAGAAGGATAGAGAGGGACTTTTTATAAGAGAATGTAGTGACAGGACAAGAAGGAATGGCCTAAAACTGACTGAGAGTAGCTTTGGATTGGATATCAGGAAGAAATTCTTCCCTGTAAAGGCAGTGAGGCCCTGGCACAGGTTGTCCAGAGAAGCTGTGGATGCCCCAAGCCTGGAAGTGTCCAAGGCCAGGTTGGATGGAGCTCTGTGCAAACTGGTCCAGGTGTCCCTGCCCATGGAACAAGATGATCCTCAAGGTCCCTTCCAACCCAAACCCTTCTGTGGTTCTGTGAAAGAATTGCTCTATCAGGGTGTCACCAGACATCCAGAATAAAGTATGAGGAAAACCAGAACATTTTAAACTGATCCCCCAGATATCCTATGGGAAGGGCAGCTGCAAATCTCACGGACCAGGGCAAATCACAGAATGGTTTGGGCTGAAAGGGACCTTAGAGATCATCTAATTCCAACCCTCAAATCACTGATTTAAGAAGATACAAGTCATATTTCCATGAAGCAGCAGTAATTAACCTCCACACATCCTTCTCCAGGTTGATCCTACCTAGTGGAATAGCCATGGGAATGAGGTGACCTTCAAGGGGACCATAGGCAGGAGGCACATCTTGACTGGGACTGAAGAGATACTGATTTTCCTGGGCAAGAGCATACACAGGATGCTGTTTCCTGGGGCGGGTGATGACCTTCTGTGTGTGAGAAGAAGTCTGGGTTCTTGCTGACTTAACCTTTGTACCTGAAACAAGAGCAGATAAACTGCAGGTCATCAACACGTACAAACCCAGGGACATCCCACATTCTGCTAATTCAAGCCTTCCTGCTGAAGGAATTATAAATATTTACTGTGGGATGGAGGGAGTGAGGGAGGGAGTCAGGAAGGGCAGAATCTAGAAGTGCTAAGGGAGATGTCTCAGTATTGACAGCAATGAAGGAGTTAAAATTGCCATTTTCAAGCTGAATCTACCAGATAAAAGCACAGAAACATGAAAAGAACACAAGGATGGTAGTAGGATGAAATGAAATGTGTGATTTAGCTGCTAAGAAGAAATCCATGATTTAGGTTTTGAAATGCAGCCACAAGACTGACAGGTACTCAAAGGAACAGGTATAATCTACAAATTCCTGGTTTAACAACTCACTGCTACTGGCAAATCAAGCCATAAGTAATATCCATAATTCTTGACTTCCAGCATCAAGGAAGCACTGATTTCTCTGGTCCAGTTTTTAAAGTTTATTGTAAATAGCAGCCAGAAGTAATTTGTGTGTAAAAGTATCTTCAGCATATAGCAGAGGAGAGCATTTATTGCAAAGTGCATTTCTCACTACACAGTCATGCAAGACCTTATTCAGCCTAAATTTTTTGCAAACAGTGGTTATTATTAAGGAAATTATTAACTTTAATCTAAATGGATAAATTCCTCCCAAAAAGGACTCAACAATTGTGAATCAAACAGAAGTGCTTCTGCTGCTGCTTTGCAGGCGTCAGGAAAATGAATCTGGGAAGAGTCACGTTGGTAACCAGCTCCATCTCTCGTTACAGCCAAAAAAACATCATGTTACTCATCTGTTGTTTCTAACCACCACCTCCCTGTGTTCGTGGCCACTTAGCACCTGGCAACCGGCACTTTTTAGCTCTGTTCAACATTTAAGAGCCTCCTAATTAACTGAAGAATGAAAGTCAACGATTATAAAGTCCGGGGATGAAAAAGATTGATAATCTGACTTTTAACAAATGCAGACAAGCAAATAAGGCAATTCTCTCACAAAGTGGTGTTTTTGTACAGACAAATTATGGGTTATAAGCCTGGAAAGAAGAACAGCAAGTCATAACTCTTCAGTGAGAGGTCAGAAAGAAGAGGCTCTGAAAAGGCTTTGCTGTCCCGTTGGATAAGCAATGGGAAGAGAAATCACAATACAATGCTGTGGCCAAGGGGATAAAACCCTCAGATGTCTCAACAGGATGTCAGAGAGATGGAGCAGGAGGAGACTTCCATATATGATAACTCTGCATTCAGTACCAAGCCTGTACCTCTGTCAGTATTAAAACAGATTGGACATCAAAAGGCCTTTTTCATTTTTTAAGGAAAAATCACCTGGAAACTGAAGTAGCTGCAAACTGAAGCCAAAACCTCACTATAAATCAGATACTAAATTTGAAGTGTCCTATTTCCTTTCAAACCAGAAGGTGTCCAGCCATGGGAAGAGGCAACTCAGGGCAGAATTTCTGATGCCTTTAAATGCCTTTCTGCCCAGCACAGGTTAGCCAGAAAAACTGTTCTGCAGTCAGAGACAAATTACTGGAGTCAGGAACATAAACAGATCCAGTTCAGAGGCCTGTGATTTAGCAGAGGTCACACTACATGATCTCACAGTCCCCCTTGGCCTTGAACTTTTGAGCAAAAGCAGGAATTGGCAGTGTATCTGTAGTGCTGCCAACTTGTAAAAACAAGGTTCTCACAGTGGGAATGATGAAGTACTGTACATACACAGCACCTCATTTTAATTGCTTTCAACTTTTCATTTCCCCCCTCAAAAGTTTATTTGCACTGGGTAGAAACTAGACATTTAATTAAACTTAGCTTTAAAAAAACTAGTGTTTTACATCTACTTATCAGTTCACATTATGCAAGAAAACAACTCCAAGGTTTTTGGTTTTTTTTAAGAAATGATCTCTTACTCATAAAAGTGTTGGTTAATTTTTTTTTCCTAACTTCCCATAAGAAAGCAAGCATTAGTCACCACAGTTTATTTGCAAAGAAAATGGTTGAGAGTTATAAAATGACTGAAAAGAGACTCTCCAGATGGCCATTTCAGTCTTAAATAAACATCCTTATTCTAACACTAATTTAAACCAAGCTCAGTGGATCGCTCTGACAAAACAGGGCCATTTAATAAGTCTGGATTTTCCAGCCAATCAAACCCAAGGCCAAAGACTTCCAACTATTTCTAAGCCTTTATCACCTGGGACATCAAGGCCAGGAAGGGAATCTGCAGGTGCAGATCTGTGAGATTGGGTTCTTCCTTTCCTTTTTTTAAAGAACCTGGTGCTTTAAAGTGCTCACTCAACTCTGTTGCATTTTATTTACGCTCCTACTACAGAGGAGAACAGATCTGTTTCTAATTTTATTATTTATACTTCCCTGCCATAACAGGATCTTCACAAGAGCAGCAAAAGCATTTAACTGTTTCATCTTCATGAGACCCACGTGAAACACCAGCTATTACTGTTCCATTTCATTGACAAGGTGTAGGAAAGCACAGAAATTCAGCACCTTGAGCAACTGTCTTACTCAGAGTCAAGTAATGCCAGTATCAAACAAAGGCTGACCTCATTTTAAAGCCAATAAAATCAGAGAACTTGGAATCATATTCATTGGAGTGCTTTCTTTAAATTCTTCCTTTCTTCCCCTAGATAAGAATACAAGGGGGGGTGTCTTATTTTATTTACTGCCCCGATAGAGACAAAACCACAACTTTCCAGAAGTGCAGCCTGATGTGAAATAGAGAAACGGATTTTCTGGTGGCTTTATTCCTGCAAACACACGTTGCTGTGCTGCTGCTGAGTGACTTCATGGCTTGGAATGGGAAAAGGCTATCCAGAGTTCATCCTGTTTTCAGGCAAAAGAGCTTTAAACCGTGTTTGTCACACGCAGGAGCCGCTGGAAGATTGAAGGCACCATCGATCCAGTGCAGTTTTCTCTTTAATTTCTATTTGCCTCCAGCAGAAAACAAGCACAGGAGCAGCTTCTTACAACTGCACACAAGCTGTACCTTCACTTTTCACTGACACCACGGAATTAAACATGTTATTGGTAGAAAACTGGTAGTTTCAAAGCATCAAATAACCTATTTATTATAATTAGTTGGAGGAGGGGGCACTCTTTCTACTACTTTACAAGATACTGTTGCTGGAATGATGAAATTGGCCTCCCTGGAAAGGTTGTGACCTTCCATAAAGGACAAGAGGCCAATAAATATAGAAGAAAATTCATTTTGAACTCAGCAAAAGCAGAACTGCTGATTGAATATTTTTAAAGAAGTGTCTGTTCTCAATCCAAATCTTAGTGGTCACTGTGTTACTGTTGTTGCTACACTAAGTGCTTACCAGCACACATTTTGTTCAAACAAATCTGTGCAGAATAAATTAAATTATAGGTGCACAGCATAACCAGGAGTTGAAATGAGTGATGTATCATGCTGGTTTACCAATATGCCATTTTTCACAAAAAAAAAAAGAAATGTTTCAAGAGAGGTAAAATAAAATATACAAGCATCAAGACTATCAGTTTTCATGTAACCTGTTCTCACCTCTTAAAAAAAAAAGTAAGTCTTGAGGTTTTCTAGGTTTTTGCCAGGACTGTAACTCACATTTTCCAGGAGGGTTATGAGAATTGGGAATACTTTCTACCAGTAACACTTTTTCTTCAAGGATCACAACTGGGCTCCAGAGCAGAGGTCAGAGAAGTGCCAGGAAATGGCACGAAGAGCACGTGGGGCTAAACAACAGATTCTTGTCCTGTTTTGAGGATCTGCCACTGTGGATGAACATTGTGACCACAGAATGGTCTGGGTTGGAAGGGACCTTAAAGATCATCCACTTCCAACCCCCTGCCATGGGCAGGGACACCTTCCACTAGACCAGGTTGCTCAATAGTATTAAAATAATAATAATGTAAAAAAAAAACCCAACAAACCCAACCTCAAACCCAGCAGTGTTTGCCTTCAAAGCCATATCTGTGTTTTACACCACACATTTTAATGGCTCAAAACCAGGCTTTCATCAAGTGACTGCCTTCTGATGCTCATCTCTTGTATTTCATACAGAATAGAGCATTTTTACAGCTGCAATAAAAACTCAGGCAGCATTTTTAAAACGTGACATTTCAGATTGCATCAAGTATATTTTCCCTGCATGGGTAACAACAGTGCAAGTGCAAGAAGTGTGGAGGGAGCCAGCTCATATTTTCCCATTGATGCACATCCTATTAACTCCACTGTGCCCATAATCACTTTAATACCTTACACTGAACCCTCTCTCCCATCTCCACACTTTCTCTCCATCATTACCCTTTATCACATAATTTGCTCACTGTATCTTGCACTAATACCACACAAATTAGATTTCCTAACATATCAGTTAAAGATTAACCTCATCTTCTGTATTAAGAATCAGTTAAATTTTGAGAAGATAACTAAGAAATAAAACCGATCCAATTAAAACATTACTTTCTACTAACTCAAGATTAAGTTTATCTACACTTAGGTCAGATATCATATAGTCTCACTTTTTTATAATTTTTACACATTTTTAATAGGTTTGAAAATTGGTATCTTCTTATCTTAATACTTTGCCTACAAAACTAATGAATGAAATTCATTATTAATCCACTAATAATCTTTATCAATTAAATAGCCTTAACAAGCTCTTACAGAAAGGAGTTATACTCTGCTTTTAACCCTGATTGGACTCACAAAAGAAGCTGCCTGCATTTAGTGAACTTCACCAATGATTCTGATGACTTCTTTCAACATTTCCAAGTTAACAGATGTCATGTTCAAGCCCACAGATTTAATTTTTCATGTTTCAATTAATGTCTTAGAAGTGGGAAATTAACTCTCAGGCTTCCTTAATCTTTCAAATCTCAGTACCCTTCTGAACTCTGAATGAATTAAGCACATAAATGACATGACTGGATAAACCTGACATAAAGAATTCATCTCTCAGTGACCTTTATCAAAAGCTGAGTTCATTTTCCAACACACTCAGCTTTCAGATGTGATCACTTCTGGCAATTCAGCTCTTTAAGACTTGGACAACAACAGAGACATATTAATATACTTCTTAAATTTAGAAACAAGTATTTATTTGATAATCTAAAGTAAGTGAGATACACACTGGGCAAGTCTGAAAACTTATGGGCGTTTTTTAGTTTTGAAAAGAGCATCTTAAATAAAAATACAAACAGAAATGGATTATTTCAGTTGGACAGGACCTACAACAACCATCTAATGCTGATGGATTAGATAACCTGAGCAATTCAGGGCTGACCAAAAGTTAAAGCCTTGTATTTCTACACACATATATTTTATATAAAGACATATGTAGAAATAGATCTAGATATATAAATATAGAGATACAGATATAAATATATTATTTGTAAGAGCATTTTCCAAATGCCTCTTAAACACTGGCAAACCTGGGGCAGTGACCATCCCTCTAGAAAGCAACTGCAGTTGCTTAAGCTTTAAATTGAAGAGCAGGTGAACTACAATTAAATAGCTTCATTTATACAAGGAATTCCTAACAGGAAAACTGGGAAGGAGCACCTTGTTCACATCAAATGGTTACTCACCTTTAACACACTCTATCACCTTGGGCCTTGGAAGTTTGGATTTGGGAGAGGGAGAGTTGAACCTCAGATATGGGGCTTTTTTGAGGGTGCTGCGATGGCCCTGGTAAATTGGTTTCCCATAAACTCGACACAGATAATCTTCACTTAGTACCAGTGCATTTCCACTCCCAGGGCCCTGATGCACATCAAAAAGGAAAACAAAAAAAGCAGTTTACAATTCTTCACGTATGAAAATTTGAACAGGGCCACCACTTTCATTTCAAATTATTACAGTTACACACACAATTTGTCACGTCGATGCTGCTTTAACAGTTGTCACCAAAAGAGAAACCAACCACCTGGGGACTCACATCTGCCCTTCCTTCTCTCCTCTGCAAACCTTCAGGAAAATAAGTTCTAAGCCTCTGTTTCCTGGTGTTATCCTCCTCTTGCTTCTGCAATAACATAGCTGCACATAGATGCATCTTTGTCGAGCCACCTTGGATTTTTTGAGTTTTCGCTTTCATTTCTTTCTTGGCCTTCATGGCCTTGAGGTTTTGGGCTCTCTTGATCCATGAGAATTTTGGATCATATTTCCCATGTTCTGAATCATTTCTTGCCATTTCGGCCTAAAGATAAAACATAAAACACAGTAAATGGAGATTTTTTTATCTTCAAGGCTATCAGAAGAGTGTGGGGGTAACTCTGAAGCTCTGAGAAATGGTCTGTTTTCCATGTAACCCAGCAACTGGGACCAGTCATTTTCATTAAGAAACTAAAGTTCTAAAATAAAAGCAAATATTTTATTATAGCCTACTACGTGCTAGGAATAATAAGCAGTTTTCCCACGTTTTCAAGGTGTGAGCAAAACACTTCACTGTGGACACGAAAGAACAAGGCAAGGTGGAAAAACACAAGGCAAAAATCTGAACTCATTTTTCCAGCCATACCTGGATTTCTTCACTGATTGCCTGGATCCACTCATCCACGGTCCTCCTGATACGGATCTCTTCCAATATATCTCTGAAACAGAAGAAAGAACTATTTTAGGTTCAGTGCTTCTTAAACTGCACAGATTTGTTCCTGGGAAAGCAGTGACCTAAAAATGCTATAAAAAGGGAAATCCAGAACACAGACAGGAGGATTTTGCACCTCTGCATCCTCCAAAGGGACTAAACAAAGCCGTGATTTCCCAAATCCAAACCTGTTCTTACGGAATGCCTGCAAACCCCACTCCCTGCTGGGAAGTACTAACGTTACTACAAATATCTAGGAATCAGAGGCACCCATGTGTCAGCTCCTGCTTTGATCAAAACTGAAAAAACAAGGCTACAAAAACACTCCAACTCCAAAGACAAAAAGCAGATGATGAATTACTACATGCTCTTCAAGATAATGAGAGCAGATATTATGCCTGAAATAAAAAAAAATCTTTACATATATATAGAATAGTTACTTTCCTCAGGAAAATGCAAGTTTAAGTTGCATTTTAATAGGGAAACTTTCATTATGATTCAAGCAAAAATATTTAACACAACTAATGAAGCAAAAGTTCAAAAGTCAAAGATGTGCTGTAGGATGACTAATTCTGTAACATTTACAGGATTACAAATGATGAAAATAGTCTTGAATTTTCTTATTTGTTTGCAATGTTTGTATGGAAGCAGCTCAATGCCCCAAAGTCATGGCAAGCAGATGATAAAGCCTCAGAATTCAGACTCAGCAAGAAGTAACAGGCACCTGACAAAAATTCACTTCACATCACAAGGGTCAAACACCACCTGAAGTTCAAGAACCAGCTAATGATTGCTAAGAAGAGTCAATAAATACTTTTTCCATTACTTCTTCAATGCACAGATTTAAAAAAAAATGAGAAGAGAGGTGCTAAAAGGAGTTCACAGACAAGGAGCAGCCTCACAAGCACTGAATTTAAGGGTCTGACCTGGCTGCAGTCAAGCTGTTAATGAAGGAATATGTGGCATCTCCATCCTTTGCACGAGTGACAGCTTCCAGATTCTCCTCGAGGACTTTCTTATTGCTTTGAACTCCTCTCAAAGTCCTCTCAGCATCCCTCAGGATGGATTTGGGCACTTGGACGTTTTGAAGGATGGATGGTCTCTCGAGCAGAGCATGTTCAGGAGGATCAGGTGCAACAGTGGGACCTTTGGACTAAAATTGAAACAGAACCTCCAGTTTTTAATCAGAGATTGTAATTTCCTGTTAATCTGTGATCCTATCAATGCCATCACAGGGAATGCTACCAACCTGAATTACTCCAGAACGTTCAGCGTGTTGCAAATATATTTAGAAGTCAAGAAAACTGAAAGACACCCAAAAAACCCTCAAATGGCAAATGATGTAAAGCATGAGAAGCAATACTAATGAAGACCATAAGCATGTGAGAAGATGGCAATTAGGGACATGAAGCATCACATGCAAATCTCTCCATGTAACAGTAATTAAATATAATTAAAGCCTAATAAAAACCAACCTTCTCTCAATATTTGCACTTGTTTGGTATCACTCTACCCCAAGAAACACCAATCAATACTTCTAAGTTTTAACAACAAGATAAACCCCTCAACAGCCCTTGATCCTCTCCCACTTTCACTGATCTTCACTTTTCAGAAGGAACAACAAAGCCTTTTCCTTTGCAGAACCCTTTCACAGAGATAAAAATCGAGCATAAATTAGCTGCTAAATACAAAAGGAAGGGACACAAACACAGGAAACAAGTTCTCACATTCATTCTCACACTCCTGATGAAACCCAGAGGCCCCTGAGAACTTCATTTAACAACAAAAAAAAAATTAAAAAAGAGATAAATGTACATTAAAAAAAAAATCAAAACCAAAATACCCAAACTTGAGTAGACTCTGAAAGCATCAACTGAATGAACAGAAGAAAAAGACCTCCCAGATCACAACTCAGTTTTGGTTTTGAGGCTGTTCTTTTATCAAATCAGAATTAAACACAAGTTTCTGTTCTAACAGGTGTTTTGTCACAATGAACACAACAAAACAGAAACCAACACACTGATCCCATAGTCCTGGTTTTTCCTGGTGAGAAAAGGACAATATACCGAATTATTTATCAATTTTATATAGGCTTTCATTTTTAAATGAAACTTTTTGACAAATAGTAGCTCAGTAAGAGCTAAAATCTGTGAGAAAATGTAAGAATTACAGATTCATGTTCAATTGTAAAATGATGTGAAGTTGCCGGGTAGGCCCAGATCATGAAATGATAATTATCAGTCCACACTGTGTCCACTTGAGACAGCAGCTTTTTGCCTGACATTTGTATTATTCCCTCAAGGTACTTTCACTAAGATCTGATTTAGACAAGTCTAAGAACAAGTTAAATCAGTTAAATCTTACTTTGGGTAATGTAATCTATACATAACAGCAACATTTTAATAAACATACACAGTCATTGCAGTTATTTTATTGCAAACACATTCAAAACTGGATCAGTATCACGGTATTTAAAAAAAAAAAATTAAAAAAAAAATCAAGGTCTACCTTAATAAGATCATTCATGTCAGATTTCCATGAATTTGCTTCCTAAAAAGACAGAAGAAGAGCAGTTGAAACTTTAACCTAGAGACAGATCCGTCAGGGTCAAATCCCAAGCAGGTATTTGGTCAGTGTAACTGGGCACAGTGAATTCCCTGGGAAGCACTGAAAGGCTCTGCTCACTCCTGCTGGGTTAGAGCACCACCTTCTGTCCTCAGCTCATTCAGCCCTTGGCTTTATGGCAAAGCAAAGGCTCACTCACCCAAGCATTTATTATCTCACTCCACAAACTTCTAAATGATGAGAAGTCAACAGCTAAGTCCCTAATTGACCCAATTTCCATCTGCTGAAGTCACCTCTGTCTTCCCATTGACCTTTTTCATGAGAGAAAAGAGGTTTCAAACCATTTGTGTCACCTTTGTTTTCTTCCCCTGCCACTCCTTCTCCCATCTCATCCCGTTGTTGCCTGTACTAAGGTATGTTACTTGTTTAAGTTTTTAGCAACAGTGGAGAGCAAATATTTGCAACATAAATGGGGCACCTGCTCTGTTACTAATAGGAACAGTTAAACATTCAACCCACTAAATGCTACAAAACCTACACAAAAATGCATCATTTATGCTGTAAGATCTGAGGAGTGAAGTTACATTTTCTAAAGATCCAGCAACAGACAACTGGCATGGACTACAAAATATTTTTAGGGAAACAGGAAAGCTGAAACCAACAGAATCAGAGCTATCATGTTCCAAGCTAATTCAGAGACCCGAATTTACAAGAAGAGAGGACCCCAGCACACCTTTTTTCCACATGGAACCAGGTTAACAAACAGATAAAAGCCTCAATGTCAAAAAAACCATGTTGCCAGCACAGAACCAGGTTTTGTACCTCCAAAGGTACAAAATAATTGGCATAAGACACAAGGATGTGTGCCAGGCAATTCCTTGGAAACAGCACTCCTTACAAAGTGAAGTGGCAAAATGAGGAAAGAAGTGCTTAAGTGATCCCTTAAAGCTGACTGCAGATAAATGGATCACTGTTCTTTCCCAAATGGGAATGTTACATCACCTCTGGTATTACAGGCAGAGAGCAAGCAGAGAACAGGCACTGAAAATACCTGAAACCTTAAAATAAACAAGTAATAATTCCCTTTTTTTCTTTCTCACCTGTTTTATGTCTGGGACAATGGCAGGAAGAGCCTCTACAGTCCAGTCCATCATTCAGGCTCAAATTCCTTTCCCACACAAAAGGCTCCAATATTTCAAGTAATATTAAACAAATGTTGGTCTTTTTACAGGGGTGGAAGCAAAAGCAACACTTTTACTGAGACCAGACTTCTAAGTTTTTCTCCACATTTTTTATTCCCCTTATTGAAACTCCTGGTCATTCTAACATGGATTTTACCTGGAGCATGTTGTGCATTTCTCTTCTCAACTGGCCAAGATCTTGAAGTAAATCATCTGCTTTTTTCACTGTCTTCTCAATTGAACTGTAGCTTTCAAAAGCAGGGACTGGCTCTGTATGCAAAGCATTGTGCCTGATGGGAGAAACATTCCTGATTAAAACTCTCATGGCTCCTCATGTGGCCCAAGAAAGTAGCCAACTGTGAAACCAAGCATGAATTTAGAGAGTAAGAATACCAAACCTTCAGATAAAGTGGAATTTGCTTTTGCATCTGAACTTACAGAGAGATTATTGGGTTTTCTCTGCTTATCACTTAACAGCTTGAGCTGTATCCTTGTATTTTCAACAGTGAAACTACACTTCATTGAGCAATATTTAAACTTTGGATACCTCTCCATTTGAAGCAAATAACATTTTTGTCCACGCTATCATAGATCAGAGAGTATGTATGTAGCAGTTTCTCACTGTATTAGTGAAGTTATGACATTACATTATTGCCTGGGGAAAATATGTTTCAGACTGGATGGCTCAGAGCATTTTTCCACCCACTCTAAAGCTTAGGAATTCTTAGGTGGTTGCTGCTCCTTCCCACCAAAGTGTTTTCATGGAGCTCCCACAAGCAGGCAGTTCAGAGTCTCACTGACAATGGCACTTGGACACAAAGCCTGCCCAGCTGTGCCTGCACATCTGGCTGCCTGACACAACTCTCCAGGCTGCTACAATAAAAAAAACATCTACTCAGAGACAGAAAAACACTCCAAGTGCCACCCACTGACCTCTGAGAAAGATGTTATGAACTATCTTAGCAACAAGCCCTCAGCTACCTGCAGTACCACAGAAATCACAGAACTATGGAATATCCTGAGTTGGAAGGGACCCACAAGGATCATCAAAGTCCAGCTCCTGGCCCTGCACAGAAAAACCCCAAAAATCACACCCTGTGCCTGACACCATTGTCAAAACACTTCTTGAGCTCTGTCAGCCTTGGTGCTGTGACCACTTCCCTGGGCAGCTGTTCCAGTGCCCAATCAAGCGGGGGAAGAACCTTTTCCTGAGATCCATCCTAAACCTCCCCTGACTCAGCCTCCTGCCGTTCCCTCAGGTCCTATCAAAAGTAATGCAAAAGTAGCACAAAAATACTCCAGTGTTGTACTTCAAGCACAGCTTTGTCAAGCTCAAGGCCCACACCAGTGACTCTGTTACACCACCAATATCTAATACACCTCTCTCACTAAAACAAACAAAAACTCTTCCTCAATTTTGGATTGCTATGTTTATTTACCTGTCTCTCTCAGAATGCCAGCTCACTTCATTGCTGTTTAACGTTGTTTTCTTGGAATATTCATTTTGCCTCAGTGGCATTTCTTGAGTACTTGGAATATGCTCCAGAAGTTTCCTTTCACCTAAGGCAGAAAAAAAGAAAGTTACCTTTTTTCCAACATATTTAATACTTTCTTTTCCTTTCCAGATATTTTCACCACTATCTAATACTCACCAAGGATAGTAAAAATATTTTTTAAATTTAAAAATACAGATCTATTTCAGATAAGGCAGGTCACATAAAAGCACTCACACTGTGTTCCTAAGACTGCTTTAAATTAGCAAAACTAGAGTACAGATCAATGAAACTGGGGTGGCAGTGGACTGAGTCACAGAGAACAAATCTGAGCCATTATGGACAGAATGTTTCTTCCTTTGCCTCATTTCATTTATTCCTGGACCCAGTGAACAACAGAAATACATGACAGCTTTGTAACAGAGACAGAAGCAGCACCTGAGAAGGATCTGATACAGACACACACAGGCACTTTGTTAGAGCACAATGGTTGGATCCTTTAAATGTTCTTCCTCCACCTCAGATCCTCAAACAATGCTAAACAAAACCAACTATAAAAAGATGGTTATTTTTTTTGATTAAATGTCCAACCCTGAGTTTCATGCCACTAACCTGACCAAAAGCAGTGAAAGAAAATTCCTCCACGTTTGCTTTACACCTGTTTTCACTACAATAACACAGAGAGTTTGTGGATCCATGAAAAAAATCCAAAAGATTTCAATTCAACCAGTGATAATGACAAAGTTACTGAGTGGCTCCCAAGTTCTACATTATTCTGTCTAATCTTCTTAGAACCTGATAATGAATGGGCACTTGATCTTCCACGTGAGAAAACATTTCAGTGAGCAATCAGGTCGAGGTGCTGTAGGTTAGATCAGCACTGCCAACAAGTCTTTAATCAGTTATGAGTGACTTATTCACAAAACTAACCCTCTCCAAATGTATATTCCAAATATTCTCCATACTTGTATCTAAGTGTCACCAAACCAATAGCTCAGAACAGGTGAGGACCACACAAAGCACCCCCCAGGCCATCCTATTCAGGCCAGTGGAGGACAGGAGTGTCCTACAATACCTTCACTTGTAGCTTTGGGAATATTTTCCTTTTCCATCCCAGAGTTTTCTTTCTGTGAGATTCTCCCATTTTTTGATACAGGCTCTGGGGCACACCTGCGAGGAACTGGGGTCTTCAGAGGAGATGTTTGTGTAGGAATCCCATTACTTGGAAAGTGGCTTGAAAATGCTTCAGGGAACACAAGCAAAAGCAGTTATTTAAATGTTAACAATTTTCTTCATAGGAAAAGATATCAGAGAATCCCAGAATGGTTTGAGTTGGAAGGAGATGATCTTTAATGGCTCTTCCAACCCCCCTGCCATAGGCAGGGACACCTTCCACTAGACCAGGTTGCTCCAAGCCCCGTCCAACATAGTCTTGAACACTTCCAGGGATGGGGCAGCCACAGCTTCTCTGGAAAACCTGTGCCAGGGCCTCACCACCCTCACAGCCAAGAATTTCTTCCTAATATCCCTCTAACCCTGCCCTTTGACAGTTTGAAGCCATTCCCCCTTGTCCTCTCCCTCCATGCCCTTGGAGAATCCAGAAAAAAAAAACCTAGGAAGAAAAAAAAGCCATGCCAGCTTTATGAATTTTTCATAAAAACGCAAAACATCACAGAACTAGTTAAAAAAGTAAACAGGAAGAACATTTTGTATCTCTGAATGCTATTGTTAAGGGAGCAAAAAGCCCCAAACCTAATTATAATATGAACTAGTTCATTACAGGCTCCCACCCAGATTATTTCTCAGTAAGATTATTTTAAGTTAAGTCTAGGCCTCTCCTGGTGCAGAAGCACTTAGTAAATCAAAACTCTCACTTTAATTAGAACTGGAAGAGACTGGAATATCTTCAGAATATGTGGTCTGTTACATAGTACATTCAGGCAATAAAACCAATTATACTGAAGGAATGTTTACTACTCGTTATTGATGTGTTGTACAATCCAATATTAATGGAAACAAAATTAATGCAAAACTAAGACAGAAAATAAGGAACTAAGAGTGTCTTCACCTTGGGCAGGAACATCACTGGGAGGAAACAAACCCCTCTGAGACAAAGGCACTTGGTTAGTGAGTGATCTCTGCTCTGGCTGCTCAGGTTGCTTTGTCAGGAGACTGGAGGAGGGCACAGGACTCTGCTGGAGCCCACGTGTGTTCACTGCAGAGCTGAGGAGATGAGACTAAGAGACAAAATGACAGAGTATTCCTGAGATATGCTTTCATTTCCCCAAGGAAAAATCTAAGCATGAATAAATACTTGCCATGAAATCATGTTAAGTGGATTTTGACATTCTATTTGGGAGAAAAGTCATTTACAACAACCTCAGAATGCAGACAGGCTTGGACATTATTCTACCCTTCAAAAAGCACACAGGGCTTTTAAATATAACTTACTTTTTTAATTTTGCTACTTATTAAATAGAAGTTTCCTCAACTAACAAAGATCTAAACAATTTCTCAGAGGGAATGAGAACATTTCACAGTTTTTGCATTTACTTTCCACAGACACAAAAATTAGGGAGAAGGGGGAAGGAGATATCTGGGACAGAACAAGAAATAAAACTTTTCCCAAAAGCTCTAAACTCCCGAGCTGGCCACTGGATCCTTCTTTCTTCCTAATACTAAGACATAATCCAAATTATTACAATCTTAACACTGAGATACAGAAGAAATGATTAAGCTAAAGCTTCTGTATTGTGACTTAAGATACCTGAATATTCATTTGCTGCTCCTGTAGCTTTTCCAGATGCTGAATCCGCTGCACCATGAAAGCATTCATTTGTTTTTCCAGCTCACTGACTCTGTGGTGACAGTGGGGCTTCTCCTGTTGAGCCCTCAGATGGGTTTGCTGTTCAGCCACACGTTGCAGGTGTCTGTCTGTCTCCTGCAGCTTATTAAGTAATGCTGAAACTGAGTTCACTTTGGCTTCCAAATCATTTTGGACCTGCAAGAGAGGATTAAAAAAAAAAAAGGAAAAGGAAGGGGTAAAAAACCCACATCTTACTGGAGAAGTGGTGCAATCCAGAATCCTGGATTTGCTTCCCAAAAGACATAATTAAAATCCTTGTTAGCCCTAATGTTTGGTGGCTCAGCAATATTATGAATTTTTAAAGGTAAATCAAATGGTCTCTGTCCTTTGCCCATTCAGCCAAATCCAAAGGAGTTCCCTCTGGTGTGAGATCACAAACACACAGAAAACAGGGAGCAGACACATTCAGGCTCTCTGGAGCTGCTACAAACAATCTGAGGCTTGTTTGGAACATCTGCTATTTTTAGTGGACAAAGAACTAACACTCCCACAAGCCACTTACTCACCTTGAGGAGTGGGGCTGTGCTGGCAATGGCAGCAGCAGTGGCTGCTGCAATGGTTGTTGCAGAGTCCACTTCCCTGGGTGCTGACCCGGGGTCATGTCCAACACCTTCCCTTCTTTCCGTGGAGGCATTTCCCAGGAGCTGCACCTTCACCTCCTTAAGTACAGGAGTATTCTGAGCTCTATAAAAACAAGAGCCTGTCAATAGCATTGTTTTCTCCATATCCCCTCCAAGCAAATGATTTCCCATCCGTAGCACTGACATCACTATAAAAGCTTTTCTCCTTGAAGCTTTCAGCACACGTGAAACAAATTTACTCTCACCTTTTAGGATGACATGAGAAATGTCTCAGGTTTATGTTACAGTTCCTAATATAAAAGGCATTTTCCTGTAACCACAACAAAGAATGTGTCTGCAGTTTGTGTTTTGTGAAGTTCAATATTCCAGGTTGGATGGGGCCTGGAGCAACCTGGTCCAGTGGAAAGTGTTGGAAGGGGGTTGGAACGAGATGGTCTTTAAGGTCCCTTCCAACCCAAACCATTCTGTGATTTTGTGATTCCAGTAGCCAAGTCCAACTAAATTTTTGATCCTCAGAATTTCCAGTCTATAGATAAACAGCATGTGTCCTTATCTGTCTCTTAAAATGTTACATGGTTTTGGCACAAGGTGAATTATCTTGCCTGAGTCTTCTATCATGAAATCATTAATTCCAGTAGTCTAAAGGTGTTCTCAAAAATACACAAAATAAACAAGATACTCCAGTGAATGATAAAATAAACTGAAAACACCTTCACAGACAGAAAAAGAATAGTAACAGAGAACAGCAAATAATACTTTTTTCCTTGCCAGCTAAACATTTTGGCAAAAACTGAAGGGGTATAATTGGACATCTTTAGAGAAACAGAACAGCTGAGCCACCACCAACAGCACATACTTACTTTTGCTTTAACACTGCTCTCAGAGCCTCCTTCTGCCCAGTAGCATATTGAGAAATAAAGACATCATCTGTGGGGAAGGATATAAACACACTTTGTGGAGCTAACTGACACAAAATGTCTATTTTACAGGTAGAAACAAAGTATAATTTCAATACATATAGTTTTGCTGTGAAGAATCTGCTGCCCGCACAAACCACATCATCTGCTGCAGTAACCAATTGTTTCCCTTCACTGAATTAACAGACTTAAGTAATGATGAGAGTAAGGGAAGGCTTCATTTAACACAACTTTATATAATATTGAATGTTGGTACCAATGAAATCTAATAATTGGAAGTAAAGTCTAAAGGGTAACGAGCTCAGACAAATCAATCCATAAAATGCTGCAAATTCTAACTTGAAAAAAAGTAATTAAAAAAAAAGGACTGTGACGTATTTCCCTACAGTCAGAGGACACTAAAATATTGAATTTTGGCCTTAAATAGGGTATTGATTTGTGTTTCTTTCCTCTACATAGCCCCAGATATCCAAGAAACCTGTAAAAGTGTATTTTCTTCAAAAAGTCTTCCCTTCCATAAATCTGATTGGAGCTGGCAGATTCAGAAACGTAAGACATTGGCATTGTGATTTCTTAAGGTTCTTAACTATTAAAAATATACTTTTAGGGTATAGGCTGCTGTAGAAAAATATGTCTTTGTAGTACAATTATTCACAACAGGAAAATGCATCCAAGCAAGCCCTTCCCCAAATTCTCTATTCAGAGACATGAATAGTTTGATCAGCAAAAAGAATCTCAACATTCTGGTGAACTTGTAGAAGTCCCACTCAGTTAATCACAAGAGCTACTGCAATGCCAGCAAGAATGAGGCAAATTTTGCAAAATTTAAGACTGTAAATTACAATGATCATCTTTTTATCAAAGAAAAATTTTAATATTTTCCCTCAAGAGTTTTCATAATGAAGAAAAATAAATACCTAAGATAAAACTAAAGCTCCCTTTTCTTCTAATTAATCAGTTTTCTCACAAAAAAAGGGGCTATATCAGCAGATTGATGTGTCTTACCTTCAGGTTCTCTGCTGTCCTCCAGTAGCAGTGAAGGATCTTCCTGCACTGCAGCTTCTCTAGGAAAATCCTTCAGAAGAGCAGAAAAGGCAACATCACAGCCTTTGCTTTCAGTGGCCAAAATTTTAGAAGTAGATGGAATTGTACAAATTATTACACAAATGGAATCACACCCACACACTAATACAAGGTCTTGGCACAAAACTTGTTACAATCTCCACCAGAGAATCATCTGGACTTGGTAGTCAAGAACTCACATGGCATTTTAGGGACTAAAACCTTAGAAGCACAATTCAGATTAAAGCTATATATTTTAAGTGCTGATTAAGTGTATTCTCCTCATTTATGGCCAAAGAAGTAGTAGTGGAACTATACTTGTTTAAGTTTAGCCAAATTGCTAATCTCAAACAATTCAGGATTGCCCCCACACAGAGAATTAAGTATTAAAGAATTCCACATAAACTAATGCCCATTTCTTTCCCTATGATATGAAGAGAAAAAAAAAAGTTTTACGGTTTTAACAAATATTGTGTCATGTGCACCCACCTTTTCAAAGGAAGAATTACACCAGAATTTAAAAACGAGCCTTGGTATTAATTATGCAACGGGCAGTACAGCAAATAAAACCCCTCCAGACACCTCAGCATTAATATCACGTTGGCAGGAGAAGCAACTGCAAAGTTGTTGTGCAAAGTCTGAGCCAAACATTTGTGATGCTACAGCTACAGCTTTTTGAGGAAAATGCTATTCATTCTCTTATTTCAGGATTGCAGGAAGCAACAGCAACTTTTCTTACCATTTGGGATAAAAACATGGGCTCTGCATCTTCCACTGGAAGCAGAAGTTCTGGATATCCCGTAGTGCTGAGGACTCCTAAAAATAAAAGCAGTTTTACTGTGGTCATAATCACCTTTTGTGCATTTTCACTACAGCTTGACTGACCCAGATCTCCACATCCCCCTTCTCTTTGAATCCCTAAACATCGTGACTTTCAAAACAGAAGCAACAGTGGACTTGGAGCTGAAGTTTATAAACATCAACGAGTTCTGATAGCCTGGATGAGAGACTTGCTTTACAGCATGTGAAAAAGTCTCTGAAAAACAGATTATTAAACATCCTTTAAACAGGGATGTTTAACAGAGAATAAACAGGGATGTTTAACAGGGAATAAACATCCCTGCCCCCATGGACAGGGACACCTTTCACTAGACCAGGGTGCTCCAAGCCCCATCCAACCTGGCCTTGAACACTCACAGGGATAGGGCATCCAGAACTTCTCCGGACAACCTGTGCCAGTGTTTTACCACCCTGCACAACTCGGCTTTTACGTGCAAAACAGTCTGGGAAAACAAGGAGTGCTGACATTTGCGGGAGGAGAATACAAAGATGCCTTTAAGTCCTATATGGCTGCAAACACTTCTCAGGGGTTCCAGCACCAGCCCGAGCTGCCCCTGGCTGTACCTTATGGTAAATGAAGGTAAATGATGGTGAGCGATGGTAAGTGACGCACCTGGAGCGGCGCTGCGGGGGGTCCCTGCCCCGCACGGGGCGGCTCCGTGTGCGGCCGAACCCGCCCCGGGGGCCGGGCACGGACAGAGCCCCTCACGGAGCTTCTGCACCGCCAGCCTCGCCGCCCTCCCGGGGGGCTTCTCCCCGCGGGGCCCCGTGGAGCGGATCAGCACATCGCCCGCCGTGAGGCTGACCGGGGAATCCCGGCTGGAGCCGGAGCCGCTTTGCGCTTCGGGGGGGGGGGGGGGGTGGGGGGGGGGGGGGGGATCTCACACAGTGGCGGCCTGAGGGCTCCGGGGCGCGGCTCCCTCGCAGGTCGCGGGCGCGGGCGCCGTGCCTGGCGGGCAGAGAGCCCAGTTCCAGCCCCGTTCCAGCCCCGCTCCAGCCGCTCCGCCTCAGCCGCTCCCGCCGGCGGCGCGGGCTGCCATGGCCACCGGCGTTCCTTCCCCGAAGAGCGTCCGGCGGGAAACGCCGCGCCCGGCGGGAGAAGGGGGAGCGGGGAACCTCGGCCGATTCGTCAATTCTTGTGGCGAATCTGCGGGGGCCTGTGCGGGGCCGCGGCCCTTCGCGTGCGCCCCTCCCCGCCCCGCGGCGAATCTGCGGGGCCGCGGCGCGCGTGGGGCCGGTGAGTGCTCGGGGGGGACCGAGAGTGTTCCTGAGGGACCAGGAGAAGCCGGGAGGGACCGGGAGTGTTCCTCAGGGACAGGGAGGTGTGCTGAGGGACCGGGAGAGTTCCTGAGGGTCCGGGAGTGCCCGTGAGGGCGTGGGAGTGTGTCTGAGGGTCCGGAAGGGCTCCTGAGGGACAGGGAGCGCCCTTGAGGGGCCGGGAGTGCTCCTGAGGTGCCGGGAGAGCCCATAAGGGGCCCAGAGTGTTCCTGTGCGGCGGGCAGGGCTCCTGAGGGGCCGGGAGCATTCCCGAGGGACCTGGAGAGCCCGTGAGGGATGGGGAGAGCTCGGGAGGGCTCCTGAAGGCCCGGGAGAGCCCGTGACGGACAGAGAGTGTTCCTCAGGAACGGGGAAGGCTTCTGAGGGACAGAGAGTGCCCGTGAAGGTCTGTGAGTGTTTCCGAGGGACCAGGAGGGCTCCTGAAAGCGTGGAAGGGTTCCTGAGGGACAGGAGCGCCCTTGAGGGACCGGGAGGTGTCCTGAGGGACCAGGAGAGCCCGTAAGGGGCCCAGAGTGTTCCCGAGGGCCCAGATGTGTTCCTGAGGGCCGCGGATCGCTCGTGAGAGGCCGGGAGCGTTCCCTGAAGGACCGGGGCGCTCCCTGAGGGGCCCGAAAGGGAAAGGCCGTCCCTGCCCGGAGGTTTTCCCGGCGGGGAGAAGGGCGCTCCGTGCCCGGGGTTGTGCCGGGGTTTGGGTGAGCAGGGGGAACCCAAGGTGCCCTTGGAAGGGGGAGCTGGAGGATGGAGTGAAAGGAAAAAAAAATAATCGATGCGGAGTTATCTCCAGCTTTTGATTTTGTAGGGTCAGAAGTGTTAGCCAGGTCTGATCTAACTTAAATAGGAGACGCTTATGGGAAAAGGCGTGTTTCCTCCCAGGACAGGCCCTCCCACGTGTTCGGTGTGTTCAGAGAGGCTCTCGGGGCTCTGATTTAGCACTGACTGTGGTAACTCACCTTTCGTGTCAGATTTCTACAATTCATTTCTTTTCCTTCAGGGTCCAGCCCAAATCCAAGAGACTGTGGGTTAGAATAACCTGTGCACCAGGTACAGCTGCTTATCCAGCCTCCTTCTGATCAGCCCCTTTCTCACCTCACCATGTGATTCTCACTTCTTTAAAGGCCCTTGGCCTCTTAAAATCAATTACTTTGGGTTTTTAAAAATCTAATATCAGTCAGCTTTTAGCCTAATGATCCCCAGCAATAAAGAGAACTTTATAGGCTGCGGGGGCTTTATCTTGATATAGTTCTTTGCATCTGTATTTTTATTCTTTATCTTGACACAAGTTTTTGACTCAATATTTTTATTCCTCTTTATTTTGACACATTTCTTTGACTTGATGTTTTTGTTCTTCCTTGTCCTTTTCAGAAACACTCACGTGGTGTTCACTGTGTACAACTGGAAGCAAAGGCTTAAAAAGATATTTATCTTTATCTTGATAAAGTTTTATCTTGATAAAGTAGGTGTTTACCTACATGTAATTCAGATCTTAATCAGGATAACAAGCATGATGGATTTATGGTGTCTCTCCACCACCTCTCTCCCCAGGAAAATGCAGCTCCTCACAAAAAGGTGGAAAAAATCCACCCCAAACACAGGGCTTGTTTGGCTTCCATGGGAAAGGATTCTCCTGACTCCAGATTAGGTCATGGACAGGAATGGTGGTTACTTGGGTGGAAAAGAAACTTCCTCCAAGTGCTTCACCTGTAATAACTCCAGGCTGGTGATGCAGGGAGGCTTTTTGGTCACCCAGCAGTACAGTAATTACAATTAAAAGTTGTGTTCCAATTATTAGCACTTAGGAGTTAAGATCATGATCCCCCTGCCTCCAAAGGTCTGGAGACACAGCTCATTCCCACAGATCAGAAGTTTTAGAAGAGTTCTGACATCTGTAGTTCTGGCTCCTGTTCCTCCTGCCGTGCTCAGGATCCTTCACCTAATCCCTGGTTTCAGTTACAAACCAGCTTTTCCTTAGGAAGTGGACTGTGTTTATGTTTCCATGGCAATGGGAGTGGCAGCCACAGCAGAAGCAAATATTAGAAGCATTTTCCAGATTCTAAAACTGAGCTGGGAGCTGGGGTGGATCTTGCACAGAGAACAGGTTTGAATGGGCTAAAGGCTGCATTTGTTGAAAAAGGATGGAAAACCCATAATGCCTAAGTAAGAGAAACCAAAACCTCAGGTTATCCTTAACTGCTTATTTTACTCAGAAGGACTTGTCTTAATGTCTCTTTAGAACATCAAAACATATTTGGAACTGCTCCAGGGCCTTTCCAGAAGGGAGATTTCTCAGGCTTGCTCCTTTCCTGGTGACCCAGCACACCTGGACCACGTGGCCCTTGCAGCCGGGGTTTATTCAGAGATCTGCTTCCCTCCGTGTGACTTGTTTAAAAGTGCGGTCCCGAATTTCCAAATCACATTTAGCCCAGCGGAAAGTCAATCCAGGCTCTCTAGGATTAAACCTGAGCACTCTGGAGTGGTGTGAGCAGCTCTGTAGGGAGCTCTGAGGGGGGTTAGTCGAGATGCCAAGCTCTGGAATGGGCTCTGTCATCCCTGTTTTCTAAGCTTTTTTTCAGAAGTTGGAAGGGAAAGGGAGAAACAGCAGGAAAGCTTGAAATGATACATTTACCAGACATTAGAGCAAACCAGATATGCACATTCCTGGGAATGTCCAGGTAGCACATTTTTAGGTGTTCAGGCCTGTGATTTACAGCTAAAGGTGCAGCAGAGCTGTGGGATTTCACTGCTGGGCTGTGGAACGTGTGAAACACCTGCATCAGAACAAGGGCTGCAGACACTGACAATCAGATGGTGCCTTTGTGCTGATGTGAATCAGAGTCTTTCCCAGGTGTCAGAGCTTTGTGAAGCTGCAGTTTCGATCTGCAGTTCTGAATCTTGCCAAACTAGTCCAGAAAAACAGACCAAGTTTGCTATAAACAGAAATTATGAAGCAACACTGAGTGTGAGAAGATGGCACTGACTGTTGAAGCTTTGAGCTTCCTGTGCTTGGCAGAGGCAAAAGTCTTTCCTGCGGTTTCTGTCTCTTTAATTATCTACCTGCACTGACCTGGGAGAATTGTCACTGCCCTTATTTTCTAAGAGGCTGAGAAATGAGAGTGGAGTTGCCATCCCTTTTCACCAGTTGTTGTCCCCCATAACAGTCATGTCCTAAAACAAGTTAGAGGTTTATGATGGAGAAGGAAGACTGGAGAGGGACTTTGGACAAGGGCCTGGAGTGACAGGACAAGAGGGAATGGCTTCACACTGACAGGGGGCAGGGATTGGATACTAGAAAGAAATTCTTGGCTGTGAGGGTGGTGAGGCCCTGGCACAGGTTGCCTAGAGAAGCTCTGGCTGCTCCATCCATGGAAGTGTTCAAGGCCAGGTTGGACAGGGCTTGGAGCAACCTGGGCTAGTGGAAGGTGTCCCTGCCCATGGCAGGGGGCTGGAACTGGATAATCTTTAAGATCCCTTCCAACCCAAAGCAGTCTGTGATTCAGTGACAACCTGAATAACATCTTGTTTCCTCTTAATCACCATATTCTGTAGATTCTCCTTCAGAATAACCTGTGTGCCCATGAGGAGTTCTTGGTTGTGGGGATGTCCATCTTAAATCCAAGAATCATATGTGCACTTGACCTCCAATCCCTGAATTGGCTCCCTGTGCAGGGACAGTGTGATGTTAAGAGGCAGATGTCGTAATTCCTGTGCTGCTGGGAAGGGGTGTAGGGAGAGTTCATCCTTCTGAGAGCTCCCTGGTGCTGTTTTTAGTGCTTAGTTTTCTTTCTGTTGTAGAAATAATTGTTACTGTCTCTTTGTTCTTGTTCAGGCAGCTTGGGTACCCCTTCCCTTCCCCCTGCTGAGAGACTGGAATAGTTAAAGCTTTCTAAAACATGAATATCTTGCCCAAAATTTGGCAAAGCATAACAGAAGATTAACTGTGAGGAGCCCTTGCTAAAGGGCTAAATGAAGTTTTTTTCCACAAAGTGATTACACTTCAGTGCTCATTTTTCTTCCTCAAGTTGATATGAATTAGACTGAAGGAGCTTCTTCTCATCAACATGTGATATTAGTTTGCATTGTCATCTGTGATAGGCCTTAGATAATATGGAAATTAAGGGAAAAGGAAGACTAGGTTTCAGTATTCCTCCAGGAAATGTGCAGGGATGCTTTCAAGCCTTAACTTGTTTAGCGTGCTGGATTAGGAATGTGAGTCTTCCTTGAGGATGCTTGCTTAAATTCTTGGATCCATGTTTCTTTGTTTCTTTTCCTTTAAGGCCATTCTCATTTTTCTGTGTTTTCTTGCATTTAATTCACTCCAGTCAAGGACCAGAACATTTGCTGTAGTTTTAAGTGCTTGGTGCAGCTACACAGAAACCAGGCCCTGCTGCTCTGAGTCAGCCTGGCTTGTGCTGCATTTATTCAGAGGGGCTGCCAGTTTATATTTGCCTTTCTTCCTTACTTTTCACAGATGGCATCTAAAGTCACTGAAACTCTAAAGGCCAGAAAATGTTATGGCTTTGCTTCTCCCCCAGCTCCTGCCCTAGTTTTACTTTATGAGTTTGACAGCACTTAAAAAACATAAATAAGGTATTTTATAAGTTACTTTAGCTGTTTGAAATGCCTTAAAGTGTTTCAAGGACAGCAATTAACAGGTGGATCTGGGAAGGTTTTGTACCTGGAATTATCGTGGATGTTCTTTTCACTGAATACATTTCAAATAGGTAACTCCCCTTTGAGTGAATGGCTGGGAAGTTTGCCAGCAAAGTGCCATTTAAACACACTTCAAGGATGTATAAAATTCCATTCTGATGTAAATGTTGCAGTTCATATTTATGCTTTTTGTGTGAAACTCGTCTTTTGTCTCCAGAACAGGTGACTGAGCCGTAGGTGGTGGAATATGGCTGGACAAATATCAGAATCTGACCAGATCAAGCAGGTGAGATGTAGTTGTGAGTGGTGGCTTTGAAGACCTTTTACTACTTTGTCACATTGAGTGACAGGTGTAGGGCATGGGGAGGAAATGTAAGTTATCATCTGAGTTAAGACTAGTTCTGTAGCAACCAAGATTTAAACATTTGGCTGTTGACAAGCACAGTTTAGTATCTGATTCAAGTAGGGGCAGCATTTCATGCTGAAATCTTCTAACCAATAGTAAATTTTTCTAGTGACTTATCCTTTGGTATCAGTGTCACCAGCTGGGCCAGGCAGGTGTGTGTAAGAAAAATTAACACAGAATTTGTTTTTAATACTCATTGTCCAGTTTTTATTTACAGTTCAAGGAATTTCTTGGCACATACAATAAACTTACAGAAAACTGCTTCCTGGATTGCATAAAGGATTTCACCAGCAGAGATGTGAAACCAGAAGAGGTAGGTAATTGCTTCTTAATGACCCTTTTGTAGAATTGCTGTTTAACATTCCAATTTCAGAAGCAACATGGGAGAGTTTTGATCTTTCCAGTGGCTAAAAACCCAGGCAGGAGGTTCTGCAGTTGAGAATGGGGGCCTGGCATGTTGCTTCCAAGTGAGTGTCCCATCCCTAGAAGGGTCCTAGGCCAGGTTGGATGGGGCTTGGAGCAACCTGGGCTAGTGGAAGGTGTGTCTGCACGTGGCAGGGGGTGGAACGAGATGATCTTTAAGGTCCCTTTCCACCAACCCATTCCAGGAGTAGGTTGTTGGTGCTACACACACAGGAACCTGCCCCATCTCTGTTGAGTACTGGCTGCTCATTGCAGTTGTGTCATTCCCTGAGCTGTCAGTGGAGGTTCTTGTGCCCCACCTTCTGATGGATGGTGACTCCATGGACATGGAAGTTGCCTGCCTCCAGCACATCTCAATCCTTGAACAATCCCCCTGAAATAGTTGTTTACTCACCCACATTCCTGCATTGCAGTGTGTCCTGGGAACATGGGCCTGCACAGCTCTGGCTGTTAAATCCACTGCTCTGCACTGCAGGGAGCTCCATCACGGAGTCACCTGCAGAAAACATTAAGCTCTCAATGAGATTAGTTGCATGTTTTTGCTTCTGCTCCTGTTGAGAGGCTGTTTCAGAGTTAATCATTTTGTTGGTTAAAAGTTTAATAACCTTTGTTTGACTCCACTGGAAGGGAAAAAACCCCTGAAGTTATAAACCAACCATTGTTTTTGAGCATTTTCTGCCTCCTTGGAGTTCAACTCCTCAGTGCAGGCAGAAATCATGTCTCCTTTCAGCTCTGGTTCTCCTGCTCTGGACAAAGCTCTCTTACTTCCAAAGACAGATTTCTTTCCCTGATCTTCTCTGCATCTGCTTTAGTGGAATTCTATTACAGGTCATAATTATTCTGAACTAAAGATTATTTAGGTCCAAAACATATTCTTAGATTCTCTGAGCAACCTGGTCTAGTGGAAGGTGTCCTTGCCCATGGCAGGGGGTTGGAATGAGATGAGCTTTAAGGTCCCTTCCAACCCAAACCACCCTGTGATTCTGATCTGCCTTTTTTTGGTTCTGTGAGTTGCAGAGGGTCCATGTCTGGTAGTGCAGGAGCCATCTGTTAACAGGGGAACTAGGAAGAAACTTTCTTGTGGGAAGTTTTGTCCATAATTAGCCATTATGGGATTTCTTGCAGAGCACGTGTCTCTGGCCCCTGCTGCGAACAGGACACTGGTCTAGCTGGGACCACTGCTCTGATCTGGTGTGGAAATTCCCGTGTTCCTCTTTAAAGTCGTAGTTTTTTATTAAATACTTGAGATTAATACCTCCAGGCATCTCCTTTGGGATTCTGTACTTGAATAAACAGCTCCTGACCTCTTTCCCTGCAGCAAGTCTCCGCTGCAAGTCTAGACTTCCCAGGCACGGTGTCACAAATACCACTCCCTCTGGGAGCACAGGCTTGGGGTAGTTCCAGAATGTGTTTCCTTGTGAGACTTCACTCCTGCTCAGCAGGTTTTGCTGCAGCTGATGCCAGGCCAAGGTGTAGCTGTGTGGGGTTTGGTCTTGTTCATTTTCATCCCTTCTGCTTTTCACATCTCTTTGTACTGAGCAGAACCAAAGCAGTTTTCTGGTTTTCTAAGTCATCAAGGAAAGTGTTTGGCTTTCCTTTCTGTCCTCCTGCAGTGGCAGCAAGGTTTTGAACCCTGGCACGGAATTGGTAGAACTGGTGCTCAGAAAGAATCTCACAGCTCTTTATCTACACTTCAAGAAAGGAAAAAAAAACACTTTAAATTTTAAAAATTCTATGGATGGGTATTTACTGGTATTTACTGGTATTTACTTCCCTGTCCAGCAGACTGATGTGCTCTGGTTGTTTTGCTCAAGGGTAACCAAGCAGGTACTAGAAAATTAATAGAGCTAAGTGGGAACAAGGTTAAAAAAAGGTTAAGCTGAGCTTGCAGAGTCTGGACCATAAAACAGTTATGTGTTTGTAAACAGAATTAAAACAAAATATATTAATTCAATAGATTTATGATTTATTGCAAAATATACAGTTTAATTTCACAAGAGGAGCCCAAGGATGAAATGGTAATATATCCTAGATCCTAAATGTTTTCCATGGAGACTTTCATATGAGAATGAATACTAAAAGATGTTTCAGGCATCCCTCAAAAACTAAACTTCACAATTAAAATTCCCATTTTCTACTGCCCTCATCTTGAGGTTTAACAGTATGAGATGTGCTCACCTCACTGTTTGTCCCTGTATGTGATGATACTTTGGGTCCTGGCTGGGGAAGTGTTTTAAGTATTGTTTGAAGCCTTCTGTCTCCCTCTTCCTCCAGATGACCTGCTCAGACAACTGCCTGCAGAAGTATTTAAAGATGACACAGAGGATCTCCATGAGATTCCAGGAGTACCACATCCAGCAGAACGAGGCTCTGGCAGCCAAGGCAGGACTGCTCAGCCAACCTCGTTAGAGGAGAGCCCTGTGCTCAGACTTACCAAGCTGTGCCAGAACACAGATGGGATTTCCTACTGCTGGGATGTGTGTCCAGCAGCTTGGAACAGAGTTCCAGGTACTGCTCAGACAGTGGGATCCATGAAGGGTTAAACAGGAAGTCAGTCATGGTGGCCTGGCCATGGAGTCTGTCTCCGAGGTCCTTTTCACTCCACAGTGATGTGGATACAACCCCTCCCAGGGCCCACAGACTGGTGTGTTTGAATTCCAAGGGTGGTGGGAGGGTTAAACTGCCTTTTGCTGGGACTGGTTGAGATGAATCAATGGAATATGGGAAATACACTTTTTTATTTAATTCAAATAAAATCAGTGGGAGCCGGACACGGGTTTGTATGTTTTTTCCAAAGATCCATTTTTGGGACACTGGGAGCAGTTGTGTTTGCTGGGGGCTCTTTGCTCAGCTCCTACAGAGTCATGTTCCTTTAGTGCTGCTTCAGGGTGCTGACAGATCCCAGAGAGGGCTCAGGCAGGGCTGCTCTGCCAGCTTTCCCCCAGGGTATCTTTGTCTCCTACTTCACTCTGTCATTCCCAGGGACACAGGGTGTCATTAACATCACTCGTGCCCCAGGCAATGCCTGTGCACTCCTTGTGTCCCTCAGGGAACCCCACAGGGTCCTCCAAACCCAGTCCTGGCATGAGGCACTCCAAGCACTGAGCCTGCTGGCAGCTTTCCCACTGCTGGATGAGTCCAGGGAAGTTTGGGTTAGGAGACACCCCAGTGCTTTGAAAGGACCCTGATAGCTGCAGTCCCTCCCTCAGGCCATGGGTGCAGGGGAATGGTGGTGAACAGGACATTGTGCTTCAGTTCTAACTCACAAAACACAGGGACAAAGGGAACTGAACATCAGCATCACCAGTTCTGAGATTCCAGGTGATGAAGACTGAACCAAAGCTGTTCCACATCACCTGCCTGGTTCTGTTTGTAGAGAGGCAACACAAGGAACAGAAGTGGCAGGAACAGTCCACAGGCTTTTGTGGTGTTCCCTCCTCCAGCTCATTTCCAGCAGCAGTTTGAATTAATACTTTCCTCCCTGTTTATTCCTTCTCAAACTCTCAGCTGTCCAGGCTGTGGATTGCAGGCCCCTGACGGCAGCACAGTGCACCTGCCCCTTCCACCAGACACTGGTGTTTAAAACTGCCCCAGCTCTCCATGGAATTCTGTTCCTGTGCCTTCCAAAGGTGGAAGAAACCAGGATGATCCCACAGTCTCACACACCTGTGTTTTGTCCTCACTGTAGCACAGCTTTTCCTTGTTACCTTGGAGATGGCCAAGAGCTCACTCTGAAATAGTGAAGCCTAAAAACCAGCCCAAATAAGGCAGCAAGTCTCCAATATCCTGGTTTTTAATGGAATAATGGGCTAACAATGTCCAGATTGTTTGCTGCAATCAGGCCACAAATGTTATGGCCATTAGAATCAATAGATCCATAGTAAAGGGTGAAGGCTTTCCTTAAAGCTGGCATTTGTTAAACATTTGAAAGTAATCCATGATGGAGAATTTCCATTTGATCTTTATGTGCAAAAGGTGCTCAGAAAAGTGACTAAAGAGGTTAAGTGATGGAATTGGAGGATTTTCATGTCTCCTGGGCAAAGTGCCTTGAGGCTGAATTTAGAGGAGTTAAAAAAAAATTATGGTTTTCCCTCATTCCAGTATTTGGGGGTAGGAAAATAGTTAAATATTTATCAATACAGCTTTCCTGTACAAAAAGTTAAGAAAGTGTTAGAGAGACTGAGTTAATAAATTACTCACTTTCCGGTCTGCATAACTAGTTTTGTCCAAGCTCTGTTTCACTCCAAAAGTGTTGCAATCTTTCAAATCCAAGTGACTGGTTGAATACAGATGATACAAATACATTTCAGCTTGGAAATAAAGTGCATCCATGTAACTAAAGCATCCATGTGGTGCAGGAAGCAACAGGGAAAACTTCCTTAACAGATTAACTTGCTTTGCTGAGGTTTAACTTCCCTTTGCTTCCATGACAAGTTGGCACATCCTGATGGCCGCCTCAAATTGTGTCATTGGAAAAGACCTCCCAGTACCTGTGTTTTCTCTCCCAGTGGTACATTCCAACCTCCATGACATGGCTCCATCCCTCTCCACTGACTGGTTTGGGTTGGAAGGGACCTTAAAGCTCATCTCATTCCAACCCCCTGCCATGGGCAGGGACACCTTCCACTAGACCGGGTTGCTTCAAACCCCATCCAACCTGGCCTGGAAAAATTCCAGGGATGCTCTTCTGAAATAGCCTCAAGTTCACATGGCATAATGAAGTGCACAGCCAAAATCAGAATAAAAATGGGATTATGGGTTAGTGTCTGGATCCTGAGGGAAAGGCTGCAGCATTGCAGCTGAGGTGTGTGGGGAGGAGGTGAATCAGCACTCCTGAGGTGCAGGAATGGAACCAATTCTGAAGGAAGGAGGAGCAAAGGGTGAGAAACAGTCTTGCTGAGGAAGGAATGCTGAGAAAGCTGTGGAAAAAGTGAGCCAGAGGGGAGGTGGGAGGGGAGGGAACGGGAGGGCAGCCTGCCAGAAACTGGCTGGATGAAAGTGAGCTGGTAAACAGACACTCACTGGGAGCTGTTCACTGCAGCAGAGACAGGAACACGGATCCTTCCTTCCCAAAGGAGTGTCTGCACCCAAAGGCTGCAAACACACGCAATTCCTGTCAGCCCACAGAGAGCAGAACCATTCCAGCAGGAAGGGTCAAACCAGAGCCTTGTTCCAGAGTGCCCCGGACATCAGCAGTGCCGCCAGAGCCATCGGATCAATCAGCTGGAAGATTATAATAGAGGCTCCTTGGATTCTGTCCAGGATAAAAGCAAAGCCCGAATTTATGTCATCCCCTGCTGAGAGGCTGCAACGGCTGAGCTCTGTTGGGAGGCAGGAAAAGGAGCTGCTGCAGCCCCCTGTGAGGGAGTGTGGGTGAAACCCCAGCGTGGCTGTGCTTCAGTGCGGGGAGGCAAATCCCTGCTCTCAGACATACCTGGCTCAGAGAACTGGAGCTCAGCAACAGCTCTTTTTTCAGCATTTCTCTTAGCTGGGTTAGGAAGTCAGCACATGGCATTTAAGGAATCTTGTTAACTCTTGGGAAGTCCATTAAGCTCAGCTCCCAAATTCCTTGAATGAGTGTGGCCCAAACTCTAAAACCTGTAAAAGCAATTAGAGCTTGTGACACTTAAACCCGAGCCTGCACCCTGAGTTTCCAGCAGAGAGCATGGAAAGAATTCAACAAAGTTACAATTCTGCTTTATCTTAGAATGTTTTAAAAGTTGTGTGTTACCTTAACTCCACACTCCTTTATTGTTTTGGTGTCAGGCTCTGTCTGTGAACACCCAGGGAGCATTCAACATTCAAGCTTTAGTAGTTCAGGCTGTTAAATGATGGTCACATCTTTTCCCAGGATTTTTCACCCACGGAAACAGATGTAACTGAAAGACATACAAAAAGAGCCTAAATTGGTCTTAAAATAAATGTTTACACTTACACAGTGCTTGAACAGCCCGTGGTTGGTTACAGTTTTTTATCCTGTAACTCCTTTCCCTCTAATCCAAGGGAAGGTGAGAGGGCTGCAGAGGGAACTGGGCTCACTGTACGTATCCAAGGAAGTGCACCTGACATATCACCAGTTGTTTATGCAACACAACAGGGAGCTTATCTAAATTTCAAATAATTAAAGCAGAAATCCAGTTGGGGCTATTTCTGTGTTTTACAGATCCTGCCCTTGCTGGGAGATAGAACTGGATCCTCTTTCCCTCTCCTTCCACCCAAGCCCACGGGGCATTCCTGTGTGTGCTGCTGCCCCCGGGATCAGCCAGGAACTCCGAGATGTGGCTGAGGGAAATGGGTTTCAAGGCTTCGCAGCCAGGGACGGGTTAACCCCCCTAATCAGTAAGAAAGGGGTGCTGGCCACCTCTTCTGCTCTTTTTTCTGCTTGGATCTCTGGGAGAAAGTGCCTCTGTGTCCCACAGAATACTTGGATTCCCTGGGGACGGTGGCAGGGCCTGAGGAGAAGAGCTGTGGGACCTCAGTGCTATCCCCTTCTCCCTTGGGACCTAATGGCTCTTCCGGCCCCTTTGTGGGGATCCCCATCCACTGATCACCCTGTGGATTGTCCCTTCCCCTCTGGGGTCCAAATGGGAACGGTGGGTTCTTCACAATAAGTCAGGGAGAACGGACATGTACAACATTTTTACAGCAACAACTGGAATTAGATCACAGGAAATACATTATTGACTACCTTTTCAAATTAAACTGCTGTTATATTTCTGTCCAGACTGCACCAGGGTGGCCAAAAGGCACGGGGAGGTGGCTGGGTCACACCACAAGGCCCCTGAGGCACCAGGGGCAGGATCACCCTGGAGTGTTCTGAGACACGGAGACTCCTGGGGCACAAGCAAAGCTCAAAGCCTGCACTGACCTGCCCAAATGCACACAGGGCCTGCCTGAGCCTATGGAAAGGCAACAGCGAGTCCTGGGGCATCCCAAAAGGCTGCTGCTCAGCAGGGCGTTCCTTGGATGCTGCCTTGGCAGAAAAGTGATGAGACATTGGAGAGAGGTGGGTGATGGGGACTGGGCAGTGGGATGTGCCAGAGCCAGGACCAGCCAAGGCCTTGGATCAGGAACACAGAGGACAAGGACCAACAGCCCATGTGGAGAGGAAAGCTGGGCAGAAAACAAGGGGCCTCTGCCCCTTCCCCAGCCCAGGAGGCTGAGGTGGGCTTGGCCACCGGGGAGGAAACAAGGACAGACTGAGCCCCAGGGGAACAGAGCCTGCCTGAGGTCTGATTCCTGGGCTAGTGACGGTGTCCCTGCCCATGGCTGGGGGTTGGAACTACGTCATCCTTAAAGGTCCCTTCCAATCCAAACCATCCTGTGATTCTCCAGAGAGAAGAGAAGAAAATATGGGTTGATTTGGAAGAGGAGACAATACATTTCACTGCTTGCCCACACATCCCTGGGGAAGGCAGGACTTTGCAGGGGACATGTCCCTGTGTGCTGGGACATTCCAGCAACAAAGGCTTTATGTGAAACCAGCTCCAGGCTACATGTAACACCAAATGATTGTTCAAAGACAGAGATGTGTTACCCTGCAAAGTGTCTCTGAACCAAAGAGAAATCACACTCATGATAACTGTTCAGAGTTCTCCAAAGAAAAACCAGGAAACAACGAGAGCTGCAGCAGCAGCAGCAGCCAAGCCTCACTCACAAAAATCAGCCCCCTCCTGCACTGCCTGTGAATAACATTCCTATAATTATTCCCACGGGATTAAGTGGGGCTGCTCTCACAGTCTTGAGTTAAACACACTCAAGATACCTGCACAGACCAATATAAAATTTTGTTCCTTACTAGTTCCACTGCCAAAGCACTTCCCTGTCAGAGAGGGGCTCTCCTGCCCACCTCAGCCACTGCTCCTGAGCTTCTGCCCCTCCCTCCATGCCACTGGGATGGCACACAGTGGTCCTTTGCAGGGTGGGAAGCAGAGCATGAGCAGAAGGAATCAAGGGCTTGGTTTTTTTTTCATCTTCTATTTTTTCCCCCTTTTTAAATAGCTTTGCACTTTCCCCATGCACAAGGGAAGTCATTTTCAGGAAATAAAGGAGCATCAAGAGAGATGGTTTCGAGCTGCACATACACATAAACAAGTGCCTCGTTAACAAAGAAAGAAAAACCACTCTTGTGCAAAATAACAAAGTGTTCCACACAAATTCCACATCTTACCCCTCCTTATGAAACTGGCATAGCTGGCAGGAGCTTGGCAAATTAGGTCAAGCTGTACCCAGATGAGGGATTAGAGGAGGAGTTTAGAAATAGCTGAAGACACCGCCTGGGATGGGAACGTGGTCAGGGCTCCTCTGAGGAGCAGAGAGAGACATCACCAAAAACACAGCACTGTCCCTCACCAACAGGTTCCAGGAGAGAGTTAAGCACAGGAGTGATAAACCTACAGGTTTTCACAGAGCTCTGGGGCAGATCTTTCCTGGAAACATTGAAACAAGAGACAGTGAGGCTGCAAAGCTGCTGTGGTTGCTGCACTGAGGGAGCTGTGCTGGGAGTTAAGGCCAAGTGTCATCAAACAAAGACACTTTTTCATGTTTGTGAACTATTGGTACAGGAGAAGCAACAGCACAGGGGTTTTCACCCAGCAGGGAGCTGCAGCAGCACCAACCAGCACAGCCCTGCTCTGAAACAAAGCAGGGCTCCTCTGGAACGGGAAGGAGCAGGAATAGCAACATAAACAGCAAAGATAATTCAAAACAAAGACACCAGAAAAGCCCTGCTCTTAGCAAGGTCTGCTTTCACAACTGACTCTGCCTTATCTTTGCAGTTTTCCTTCAATGACCACACAGTGTTTGTCACTGGGCTGTGGCTGATCACAAAACCCACCACTCCAGGCACTAAAACCAGCACAGCTTCAGACCAGTAACACCAAAAACTGAACTTCCATATTCCTCCAAAGCAATGGATGGGACTAATAAATCCTTGTGGAATTCGGGGAACTCACAGATTTCCAAAACCCCATTAAATCCCAGATACTTAGTGGTAACTAATAAAGGTGAATAATTTTAAACTCTCACAGAGACCATTTAAAAAACCCATCCTCTTTGGTGTTAGGCAATATGGGAGAATGACAGGTTTTCTCAAAATTTGAGAGCAATAGCTTAATAGTGGGAGCTAGTTATAAAATGTCTTTTTCCTAAACCCTGGAATTACAGTGAGTCGGTCTCTGGCAACATCCCCTTTGGTTCCACTGCTTTATGATGCTCCTCTCATCTCCAGAGGTGGCCTTTATCCTGCAAATAATAAAACCCCAAGTACAGAGAAGTAAAAATAACCAAAATTTTAGTGCATAATTTCTGTAAAGGCAAGGGCACAGAACAGCTCAATAAACTTTTATTAACAGATTCATCTTTTGTCTCTGCTGCTAAATCTGGCTCTCAGCTCATGTCAGATTTGTTTCAAGCCATCAAACCAAACCTGCTCTTTTCTTAAAAAGAAGACAACAGCACTTCTCAGACTTACTCCTGTAAAAGAATTCCAGTAGATGCTGCCCAGAAAATCCATTTGGCTGCCTCAGCCATCCAAGAATATTTTTAATGGGGAAAAGAAGAACATGATATAAGAACATTCATTTTTTTTAATGTGAAATTCCACCTGGCTGACAAACCTGTCTGGAGTGAGGATTTCTCAGCAGTGGATGGTCTGACTGAGGCACAGGAGTTGACAATCCTAAGATTCAGATTCTCTTTCCAGGTCCACATCAAAGCCTTCCTGAGTAATTCTGGAAGCCTTTACTAAAAGGCCTCCTCTACATAAAACAATATGTAGCTATTTTTAAAATTTCTGTCTATTCTAATACTGCACCTTTAAAAAAATATTAGACTCAAGTGTGCACATTACCACAAAAAATGATTTAATCACCTCTTCTGCTGCTGTCCTTCAGATTAAAGATTTTCTGCTCCCACGAAGGTCAGACATGTTTTACTTCGTGAAGACACAGATTCTTTGCTCTTGTTATGTTTTCCTTTCACTGATAATTACTACTGGAAATCTGCTTAACCTCTGTTAAAATAATGGCTTGTTATTATTGTTCTGACATCTGTGCTTCTTCTGCCTCAGCTGTTCAGACAGATTAAGCAAGAGAAAGTTTCTCAGACACACGAAATCTGATGGAGGAGCCAAAACCAAGCAGAGATTTAACTGGGTGTTGCTAAACTTTCACATTAGAGAGAAAACAGAAACTCACCAGTACAACATGCAGCTGACACACTTCATGGAAAGAAAGTAAAAACCAAAATAAGTAGGAAAATAAATCTTTTCTTACCTTATACCCTTGCATGCAAAGTTTCTTCCAGCTTTCAGATATGTGCTCATATGAAACTAAGAACTCTGCCAGAAATCTGACAGTTCTTTGTATTAATTGCAGGAGGTGAGGGAAGAGTCCAATTTTCTTACAGCCCTGTTCTTTTTAACAATTTTAACAGTATTTGATACCATAATTTTGTTCTCACCTCCTAAGCAAGCTTGAAATAAAACAAGTATCATTTGGAGGAAAAATTGTAGGAGATCAGGAGGCAGGAGAACAGCACTGACACTGCCAAGAGGATGCCTGATTTTTGCTTTCTCTTGCAAACATGATACCTCAATCTCTTCTTTAAAAAAATCCCAATTCTGTATAATCATAATTCTGTGTCTTCAACAACATAAGCTTTCATCCAAGGCAGTGGAAGATGCGTTGGAATTTATTTTGTCAACAAAGCATCAATAAGGGGATTATAGTAAAGTTATAAATTATAGATCTTATTAGGGTTTCTTCCTGATTTCACCTTTAATCCAGGATAACTCAATGATACCCAGGTAATCTTCTCTTCCCTGTGTTTTTTTAAACATCACAGGAAACTACTGTAAACATCTACTGAATAAATTGGTTAACTGATATGCTCCTTCCCAGAAGGATAAAATCAGTGGAAGTCCACATTTTTGCCTGTCCACCTTTTCCTGCAGGTTTTATGTCCTGCCAGAGTAAGGATGTGAGTTGGTTTTGGGGGTGTGGGTGTTTCCATGAGACCAGTGCGAGGTGAGCAGGTGGGAAGAGCAGGAAGGAAGCAAATTCTCTATGTCAAGGTGCAACCACCCCTCGGAATGGTTTCCATGTCTTATGGAATCATACCTTCAGTCTTCCATGCAGTGTTTTAAACACTCCTAAGGGAGCAGCAGTCAGCTGGGAACACACACTGGGACGGGCTCAGCTCCTCCATCATCTGTGCTGAGCATGTGTATGTGCCTGTTTGAGATCTCACAGTGTGTAGACAGGTTAGAAATCTCCACAAGATATAATTAATCCTGTTATTTCACCGGATTTTCAATTTCCTTCTGCAAATATTAAACATGTGACCCATGTTACTTCCTTTTGAATGAGTATAGCTTTTTATTTGTAGCTATTGTAAGATTAACAGTAAAAGTTAGCTCCTTAAGAAAAAGTCTTTACAGTAATTTATGGAGATTAATTTTCCTATTTAGGTTAAGCCCAGACATTTACAAGAACAATCACTTAAATAAAAATAGAATATAAAGCCTATGTTTAAAACATGGCCTTTATTAGCGCTGTCTAGTGAGCTCCATATTTATCTTACATTGAAATAGTTCTGCTTTGCTTAAGAAAAGACAGAAAAAGTGCATTTACAAGAGTACTTTTTCTTTAATTTTCTGCGAAAATGGAAGGAATTGGAATCACAAGTTGACAAATGCTGCAAAATGAAATTTCAAGAAACATCAATTTTAGTAATGCTACGCCATCACTAGTGTTTCCTTCTGACCCTCTGCCGTGTGAACCAAATATCCTGATATACAGTCTAGAGCATCTATGGTTTTACTCTACAGCATATTAAACACAGAAAAAGGGGCTCAGACCCCCTTTCAATGTACAAACATGAATAAAAAAATCGATTAAAAAAATCACTTTTATACATAATGTATATGCAAACTGTCTTAAATACATGGTTTTTTGGAAGAGTTATTTACAAACTGCATCTGCCCGTGGGACAATCCACAGGCAGAGCACACACAGTCGCTTTTACTTTATTGTTGCATCTCAACTTTGGGAGATAAGAGATTTTTTTCGGCAGTACAGCAAACAGAAGAACTTGTGACAAAGGATCTTAAGGGCAACCCAAGAAATTTGGTTCCTCCAAACAAAGTTAAAGTACTAGGACTGCCAAAGTCTCCAAATCAAGTTTAGTTTAAGCCAGATGCCCACTGACAGATCTGTGTGGGGGAGGACACGTAGACAGACCCATTGGAAGTACAGGAATGGCTACTGGATAACTCCTCCTGAAGAGCCAGAACTGAGAAGGATGTTTTATCCAAAGAGTGAACTAACCTAGAATTTTTTTTTTTCCAATTTTATTAATATTTTAAAAAATACATAAAAATACAACATCCAATGTCTGAATAAATATATTTAACAAGTTGCAAGATACCTTATTTTACACAAAAATTTCAGCTTTAGAAATCTTGTTAAATAACTTCATTGTTGTTATATATTTCATTTTTCGTCTTTTTGTAACAAAATAAAAACTCTGAAATTACATAGAAAAAAGACAAAATATTTTTGTCAAGGGATAAGATAGTCCACTGAAAACCTATTCACAATTCCACTGTAAACATTAATAAACATTAAAATATTTGCATAATTGTGTGCTCAAAAATCCTATAAAAAGTGGAAGACTTATTACAACTGTAGTTTTCAGTCAACTACACTTCCTTTCACAATTTATTTTGTCCCATTTACACCTTTAGAACTGGGCACGTTGCTGAACACATACTTTGGCAGTTCTGTATAGCAAGTGCTTCCACGAAGAGGAACTACTCACCAAGAGTTACCTACAGCTCGGTGAAAGTGCAGCAGCTACTCAGTTCTTTTGGGTAATTAATACTCTGATGTCTGCTTGGTGCACTTGCTTTTTTAAGATCACCCTAGAACACCTGAATGCTTCATTGGACATAACTTTTCAAATTTGATAAGTGCCCTTTCTCTGCGTTAAGAAAAAAAAAACAAACAAACAAGAAACAAAAAAAACCAAAAAACAAACACAATGACAAGGATGTCACGTTGTGCCTACAAACCTTCAGTTACCAATGAGCTTAAGTTCTCTGAACAGTAAATTAAACAAAAGAAGAGGGTGGGAGGGGAGAACAGGTACAGTCCAGCAGTGGAAGTGTGTACAGGATATACTTGGCAATGTCAGACCAGTTGAGTGCTTTCTGTGGCTGAATTTCAGGATTTATGTCCATGGCAGCAAGTTGCTGGCAAGGCAGAGAAATGTGTATCACCTGCATTCGACAGCGAGCACGTTCTGGGGAGGAGAGGAGGAGGATGGACTCATTCCAGTGTCTGAGGAGGCAGATGACATGGATGCTCCTGTATGTGACACTGAACACACAAAACAACCCATCAGCAGGAGATTATCAAAGTACAGCTCACAATGATGGTTCCCTTGGTCATTATGTTGTTTAAAAAGAAACAGTACAATCACAGAACACAGATTTTTTTGTCAACTGCTTTCACTGCTCTATTCGCAGAAACTGGATTAACCTCAATCATCTACTGAGAAATAACTCTGACTGAACACTCAGACCAGGCTTGCACTAGGAGTCCAATCTTCTAATTTGCAGTTATAAAACAGTCAGTAAATATTTCTGTAGGGTTCAAGTTGTGAAAAGCCACAAATGTTCTTTCTAAATATGTATACAAACAGCTTATAACACTTTTTTGAAAAATGTTATCATTTAACCTCCAGTTGCATTGACTTGTCATGCAAAGCACAAAGCAAATCTCAGTTACTTTCTCTGTCTTTCTTTTTCATGCAAAGCACAAAGCAAATCTCAAAGTTACCTTCTCTGTCTTTCTTTTTCAATCTTTTCCTTCTCCTGTCTATGGTTGCTACTTCTGACTTCAAGGACATGTAGTATTTTCGTATCTCCTGCAGTTTTTCTTGTAAGAAGGAGATCCTTTCAGTGCTGCTCATATTATCCAGTTCATCTAAAAGTGGGAAGAAAAAATAGCTTTATTAAGGCCATTTTAAACAGATCTTAAGTGGATGTAAGCCACAGCAGGAGAGGCAACACATTTCCATGGCTATGCCATAAAAAGCCCACACCTAATTTAGAATCCCAAAATGTGCACGTTTTTCTTTCAGAACAAATTTTCTTCTAAACACCTTCTAATTCAAGTAATTTAAAGAATTCTTACTGAGCTGGAAACTCCACTTGTACACTCTGGGTGAAGCATTCTGGTGGTGGTGCTTCTCCCTGTGTTTATCCTTCTCCCCATCTTTGATGTGAGGGGAAATCACTCTGGCAGGAGACCGAGAAATCTTCTGTGGTTTGGCTGCGTTGAGGTGTTTTACAGGAGTACATTTACTGGAACTGTCCAGCACAGGAAGGTCTTCACTGTCACTACTTTGTCCTGCAATGAGAAGAATTTAATTTGGACTTAAAAAAAAACCCCTATCTTGACATTTTAAAAATAGTGGTTATAGTAAAAAGCAATGATTAAGGACAAAAAAGCTGCTTCTTGCTCAGAAGATCCCAGAGTGCACCCAAGGGAAAACCATCCCAGATTCCAGGTGTAACATCAGACACAACATGCACTGAACTCCCAAGTGTGCAGGAGAATTGGGCTGACTAGGCCTAGTTAAAAAGTGAAAGTCTAATTTCTTCACATAAATAGTTAATAAACTCATCAAAATTAGAATATTAGAGCACTGATAACCTATCTTAAATCACCTATTTTGGCTTTCTAACATAAAGCAAACACTAGAATTCCTTTCTTAAAGATCACCCCTGCATTACTAAAGGCAGGTAGCAAGTGATTGTAAATAGTGACCAAATTGCTTTACACATCTAAAAGAACAGTTCTGAAACAAGACTAAAAGCATAGAAGTTTAACATGTAATAGAGAATTCTAAGCTGATATATTCAAATATTTTAGATCCCCACACTAATTGCCAGGTTTTCCACAGGCATGTCAAATATGTCTGAATATTGTATGTCAAATAATTAATATTTTAGTTTGATATTTAAAAATATAACAATGCTGTCACGAGGGCTAAAAACATTGACTCACTCATACAACCATCACCAAAAATTCTGTGACAGGACAAGGGGGAATGGCCTTAAGCTGAAGGAGGGCAGGGTTAGGTTGGATATTGGGAAGAAATTGTTGGCTGTGAGGGTGGTGAGGCCCTGGCACAGGTTGCCCAGAGAAGTTGTGGTTGCCCCATCCCTGGGAGTGTCCAAGGCCAGGTTGGATGGGGCTTGGAGCAACCTGGGATGGTGGAAGGTGTCCCTGCCCATGGCAGGGGGTGGAACTGGAGGATCTTTAAAGTCCTTTCCACCCCAAATCATGGAATGTGATTCTGTGATTCTGATATTAACAGCAAAATGTTTTTCTGCATTGGAATATTTTAAGTGGCTCCTTTTCCCAAAAGTTACCCAATTTCCCAGTAAAGTTACCCAGGGGGTTGGAATGAGATGATCTTTAAGGTCCCTTCCAACCCAAACCAGTCTGTGAATCTATGGAAAATGAGCTACAGAACCATAAAAATTCACATTTCTATAGCAAGTTAGAAAATAATCACATCCTTGAAAGAAAAATTTCCTTTGGCTGAAAAGCTGTTCTTTAGCATCAAACATTTTTCTGTACTTCATAAATGGCAATTTTTTTCCCCCCACTAGAAACATGTATTGTAAGACTTCAAAGTTACTCTCTCCCAAAATTCATAACCAATCTAATACATAAAAATCAGCATAATGGTAAATATTTAGTAACTGCTAATATACACAATTAGTAATTTTTCCGAAGTAATATAAAATAGCCAAGAGATTCCCAGTAACTCTGCTACCACAGAGCTCGAAGTTCCCTCCAGCTGTTCATCATCAATAATCTTGATGAATAAAAATGAAAATCCCCCTGGCAGGGAAGTCCCATTCACTGCAAACAGTGGGTAACAGTGAGAACAGTGGGCTCTTATCCATGTTTACAGGTCAGGAGAACCTTTCCCCTCCTCCCCCTCCAGGAATGTACCTGTTCCATTCTTTTCATTTTTGGCTGCAGCGCTGGTTCGCTTTGGAGTTCGCTTTTGTTTCTTTGCCAGTGTTCCACTGTTGCTGTCACTGGGTCTTTTTTGACCTACATGAGAAGGGAAAAAAACAAACCAAAAAAACCAAAAACAAAACACAAGACAACTCAAATTATTTCTGCTTCTAACAAGCTCTTTTTATAAGCAAGAAAGAGAAATTTAAAACCAGACAGGATAAGACAGTTGGGGTTGTTCAGTTTGGAGAAGAGAAGGCTCTGGGGAGAGCCCCTTCCAGTGCCTAAAGGGGCTCCAAGAGAGCTGGAGAGGGACTTGGGACAAGGGCCTGGAGGGACAGGACAAGGGGGAATGACTTCCCACTGACAGGGTTAGATGGGATATTGGGAAGAAATTGTTGGCTGTGAGGGTGGTGAGGCCCTGGCACAGGTTGCCCAGAGAAGCTGTGGCTGCCCCATCCCTGGAAGTGTCCAAGGCCAAGTTGGACGGGGCTTGGAGTAACCTGGGATAATGGGAGGTGTCCCTGTCCATGGCAGGGGGGTGGAACTGGATGGGCTTTAAGGTCCCTCCCAACCCAAACCATTCTGTGATTCTATAACCAGAAGATAAAAACAAGCAACAACTTTTAGCACAGTGACACCAGACTTAAGACAACTCTGGTAATGATTACAGCAGGGAGTGACTTTTCCCAGGAACGCTCACCTTTCTCTCCCATCTCTCTCTCTTGCACAGCAATACTACAATTGCTTGATGTGGTGCTGGCTTCAAACCCATTGACGGACTCACTCTCACAGAGCCCCTCCTGGGACTCCTCAGCCACACTGTCCACCTCGATGGTCACGTCGCTCTCGCTCTTGACGCTCCGCGACTCGTCCTGGCTGAGGGCCAGGGGAGAGGCCACCGGGAATCCCGAGGGGACCGTGGGGGGTAAGGCAGAGGGGTGGGAGTTCGGAGCATTGGGGTCTGGCTTTTCTGCTATTGTGTCTTCACTGCTCTTCTCCTTCTCGTCCAAGTCGTCCAAGTCCACCTCGTGGCACAGCAAAGTCTCAGGACCGATCTGGGGCATCGTGTCGTCCTCGTCCTTTAAGGGAACGTTCTCCATGGCTTCAGTGGGACGTTGGAAGTTGTCGCTCCTCAGTTCCTGACCGCGCGGAGCTGATTCCGCCACCAGGGATGGCATCTCCTCATGTCCAGTTCTGAGGGACTCCTCAGCATTCATCCCTCTACATTCCTCTGCTCCAGTACATTCATTGGTCCTCTCTTCAGATACAATATTTGGCACTTCCATCTCACTCTCCCGCCGATTTCTCTTCTCAGGTGATGCCTGTTCCAGAGTTTTCCTTTTCAAAAGCTTCTTATCTTTTGTAGAAGGTTCTGTCTCACTTTCAGTAGTGCTGGAACTTTCTTTACAGTCCAAGGAAGACCCATCTAACCTTTCAGGTTCTGTAAGGGATTCATTTGCTGCCTCTTCTTGGCCTCCTGGAGCAATCTTTGCATTCTCTAGAGAGGGATCTTTTGTCTTGCTCCTTCTCCCTTTTCCCTTGGGTGATTTTTCAGCCTCTCTTTTGATTTCTTCGATTTGATCCGTTTTATTTCCAAAAATCTGAACTATTTGTTCACTTTCCTCAACTTCCAGTTTCAGTGTTTCTAGTGGCTGCACTTGAGTCCTGTCATTTTCTTTCATTGCATGAGGGATCTTTGGGTTTTCTTCATCAAGCTTCTCATCACGGAGTTTTTCGCCTTTTTCCAGTTCTGAAGTTTCTGGAGAAAATTCTTCATTCAAATTCTTTTCAGATGACTCATCTGCTTCACTGTCAGATGTGCCAGAGTCTAAAGAAATTTCAAAAAGAAGCAAACAGCACCCTAAATAATTAATTACAACACAATTTCTCATTTGAACCACACAAAACCCCCTCTCTTTTCAGTAATCTAGGGAGATACATCAGTTTAAAAAATCCTGCATTATTCAACACACTTGCTACAGTTCTTATTTTTACCTAAAATTTCTATGAAACTGCAATAGTAGTGGTACTGTCAGAGTTCAAGGAGCACCTGGATGATGATTTTAGTCATATGATTTAGTTCATGTCTATAATTCTCCTGCTACTATTTTCCAGATAAGCCAATATAAATGAATTACAGTTTATAGTAGTGAAAATAGTTTTACAGATTCCCACAACCTGTGGATGTTGCCTCCCCCATCTGAGATTACAAAACCAAAAATCAGTACGACTTCCTTCCATGCAGCCCCAAACAGAAAAAATAAAAACCAAAATCAAAAACAAAATCCTTCTAATAATATGGACATTTCATTGCTAAACTTATGTACAGGTGCACCACACACAGAGCAAGCATTGCTACATTACCAGAAGATTATTCAGGGACCTGCACCAACAGTGATTTCACCTGAGTTCTTGCTCAGAGAGGCTTAGAAATATCAAAAATGTTGCTGCCATTTGTGTATAATTAACAACTCTGCTGGATGATGCAGCACTGAGGTTGAGAACTTAATTACCACAACACAGACTATCATTATAGCATTGGGTTTGGCCTGTTCAATATCAGGACTGAAAGGCTCTGGCTGAAGAATATGGAATGATTTGCACAGTCATTTCTGTGCCACAGCTCTCCTGTGAGCAAACCGTGCCCCTCAGCAGCGTCAGCTCAGCTACTTCCTCAAGAAAGTTCACAAGGAGAAAGAAAAAAACAACAACAAAAAAAAACAACCAAAAAAAAAGGTAAAAAAAAAAAATCAAACTTCTTTTGAGAATGGTACTGAAAAAACCTCCAAAGTATACACAGGACTGAGATCACTCACCGTTTGATCCTCTATCAGAATCAAACATTCCTGAGCTACGTCTCGTCTGCCTGCGAGGTGTTGCTAAAATTAAAATCGAAAGGATTAATTTTTATGGAGTCATGTCTGCACCAAAAATCTGCTTTCTCACAGTGCTGGTGCACTGCCTGGTTAAGCAGGACTGGGAGGCTCTGACAGGGCAGTGCCAGCACCGCTCACATGCACCTCCACGCCAGAACACGAGTGCACAGATGTACCTTCGGTTCCGTTTGGGAATGGGGGGGATTGGACAAGTTGTTCCGTGCACCTCTGGCTCCGGATTTACCTTCACTGTTGGCTGTTTTGGATAAGCTGCAAGACGTGTTGGATGGAAGAGTAGATTTCAGAGGGGGCCGCCCACGCTTGGACTTTTGTTTCTCCTCATCCTTCTTCTCGTCCTTTTCACCGTCTTCTTTGCTCTGAGGGGAAAACAAGGAATTTTTATTAAAGTTTCACTGCTGATCATCAGAACCTTTTTCCTTCTCCTCTATTAAAAATCTAAACCGTGGACTGAATTTTTTTTTTTTTAATTTTTTTGTTAATGTTTTTTCACTGTTGTGATCATCAAAACTTTCCTCCTTCTGCTCCATTAAAAAACTAGACCGTGGACTGAATAACCTTTTTCTTTTTTTTTTTTTAATAACCTTTTTTTTCCCCCAAGTCATTAAATATTGTAGTACAAAAAACTTATTGAGATAATTACTTTTGTTTTTTTCTTCTGTTTTCTCTTTGGTCCTCCTTTGTCCACAGGCCAGATAATTCGATCAGCTTTCACCCACTCATCGTATCTAGAAGGGAATAACAACATGCTGTTATCACTGATATCACAGAAAGATGTTGTCTGAATATGAGGATTAAAAGACTAAATTAAAGAAGATATTTATTATTGAGAGGTAGGGAAAATTCAAGGCCAGGCTGGATGGGGTTTGGAGCAAACTGGGCTAGTGGAAGGTGTGTCCATGGCAGGAGGGTGGAACTGGCTGGGGTTGAAGGTCCCTTCCAACCCAAACCATTCCATGAGAGCAGAGCATGGATTTACCAACACATGCAGGATCTGGCATTAGAAAGATGAATTAGATTTCTAGCCCATAAAAAAGAAATAAATTATGGGAGGGATGGGGGAATGAAGGTAGAAACTTCCCTGTCTCTTGCAGCACAGCACTGGAACTCAGGGGACTGAGTCAGCTCTGAAGTGTGGCAGTTATTTCACATATTTGGGACACCTTAAGTTAAATACCAGAAGTGCTGTATTTTTAAAAAGTACCAATTTTGTGGTATTTTTGTCTACATAATCACAATGGTCTTAATATCAACAGCACAATAATCCATTTCTACAGCAGTGTTGCATATAGATTGGCTGCCAGAAGCATTTGATATATTTTTTCTGCAGTTCTTTGCTGCTTTGCCCTCTCCTCCTCTCTGTACTCTTTACAACCACAGTTAAATTTCAGTACAAGAATATATTTTGTTGCCAAAATTCCAGTGCTTCATACACTTAATTGTAGATGCTTTCACCATTATCAATGACCCCCTTAAATAAAAAAGTCTGATAGTGCTGACACAATAAAATTCAGGGATACTCCTGTAAGGAGTGAGGATTACTAAGGTGGGTGGAAACTTGGAAACACAGAAGTATATACTGATATTTTAGTGCAATACCACAAACAAAATCATTAACACTGAAAAGTGCAATAGAGTCAGAGCCTGTATTGTTGATAATTCAATTTTGAGCCACATCACTGATCATCTTTCCCTTTATTTTCTTAAAAACAAACATTTCTTTTGAAAATAAGCCTTTCAACAAAGAAATGAAAGGCAATTTGTTCTCCTCACCTTACATTCCAACCATAGTAGTGAACTAAATATAAAACTTCTCCATCATCAATTTCTGTGCTTTTAATACTGGCTTCATAAATTTTTTGAGTCTTTCCACGTCCATATTTTACTTTCACTTTGGTTCCAGTCAGGCAGGGTTCTGTGTCCTCCTCATCCTCTTCACCTTCTGATTCTCCTTTGTTCTCAAGTTCCTCCCTGCAGTAAAATGTATTTAAAATGCCCACTAATTAGTGACAATGATGTTTTAACATTTAATGAGTGTAGCCAAGCTACTACAAAGAAAAAGGCTGCAAGTAAAATTCCTTTTCTGCACCCTGCACTGCCTCTGAAGCTGGCCTGGACCGAGGGTGAGTACCAAAAATATCCAGAAAATGGTAATTTAAACGCAATTTATTAGATGTACGACAACCTCAAGGCCTAAAGATTATTTTTTAAATTAACATTTTGATAATACATAGAGGAATAAGTTAACTCAGCATTTGGCTCCTCAGTAAGACATTAAGAATTAGCTTCAGTTTTTAAAGTAGGTTTGATTTTGACACAGTTTGCTTGACTGCAGAAGTTACAGTTACACTTTACAAACTGTACATAAGTTTAGACTGCCATCATAGTGATCCTCTCATAGATACAAACATCACTCCACTGGAAAAGAGTTGTTTATAAGAGTGTTTAGCCAAGACTAGAAGTGACTACACAGCTCCTATTACACCTACAGCTAATATTTATATATTACACTTAAACATATTTGCAAGAATTAAAATTAACCTATTTTTACCTATAATTATTTCCCTATTTTAGGGCGAATTTATCATAAAGTAGAAGTTAAACTACAAAAAAGTCACCAAGAAAGAAAATACTCAAAAAAACTACGGGTTTGTTTTTAATGAAATGTTTTTGCTGGCCTTCAGTGAAAGATCAACTATAGTGTTGTGGCAAATAAGAGAAGTAACATCCACACTGCTTAAAGAAAACTTCTTGATGCCTTGCTCATCTGCCATACAATAAAAACAAGGATCCTGGATCTTCAGGAGACATCAGGAAACAAACAAAAGCAGAGGAGAAGAGGGATTTGCCCTTTATACTTTGACTGCCCAGAAAAGCGTCCCCAAAGTGCTCCCCACCCACACAGCACCTGGCACTGGCACAGCCGTGCTGGCTGGAGGTACCAGTGTGATAAAACACCAGCACAACCTTGCCAAATAAAATGACAGGGAAAAACACTGTCTGGCATCTACCAGAAAAGGTGCTTCCATGAAGGACAGCTGGCTCTGTTTTACTGGAAATAAAATGTACCCATCCCTGCCCGGCTGAGTGAATTAGGTCCCCAATTCCCACACGTCAGGAAGGTCTCCAGCTCTGTGTATCCTCCTGCTTGGAGCACAGCTCCATCATGGCACAAACAAACCCAAAGGAAGGTGATACAAGCCAGTGTTTACCTCTCTCTCTGCCTCTCTTCCTCTTCATCCGACTCTTTGTCAGAGTCCTCCTGTTTTTTGATTTTTTTCTCTTTTTGCTTTGGTGTACTTTTCCTCCCTAGTGGAGTTTCGTTTTCTTTCTTTTCTGCATTCTCAGGTGTTTCCTCTGTATCTTTGTTTTCTTTGTTACTGTCTTTTAGTTTGTCTGGTGTTTTATCCTCTTCACCATCTTTTTTAGCAGGGGTTGCATCACGGGCAAGTCTCCTTCGTCCCTAAAACAGAAACATCAGTTTAATGACTCCTGGCAATTGTTTTCTCTATAACCTCTCCAAATCTCAGCAGAAAAAGTGAGATTTACAACAGAAAAAAGGCTGGAGATAACACAAAAAAAAAAAAAAGGCAAAATGTTCTAAAATATTAAGATGAAAGATTTTGTTAATCTCTTCATTTGGAATGAAGAAGATGAGTTTCTGAATAATTGCTGGAGGATTTCAGGACATTTGGTTGGACCTGTGAGGTTTGTTGCTCTGACAGAAAAGGCCAAAATGTCTGATGCAACTGATTTTTGGGGATCTAGTACAGGTTCATCATTTTGTTTATTAAAAGACTCTTCATAGGATCATTGCTTTTCAATCAGAACATTTAAAATACATTATGAATGCAAGATTAATTATCTGAAGGGCATCCAAAGATGACAGTAGTGAAGGCACTATAATAATTACAATTCACAGCAGTAGAACAGCAAATACTTTGGAAAAATAGTAATTAATGAATAGCTGGTGACTGGATTAAAAAATAATAAAATATATAACCAAATATTTAATAATTGCTAAATTAACAAAAGACAGTCAATGATAAAAAAGACCAAAAAATTTTACCATTTCTTTATTATCATCTTACCAGTTTTCTCAAAAAAACCCTCAAAAATAAATGAACACTCTAAAAACAAAGCTAATGCCATGGCAGGAATTTCACTGGGGCTGATACAGCCTGGAAAAACCACCTGCAGTCAGGCAGAGATCTCAACTTGTGTTCACACCGTGTCTTTCTTTTCACGCATTAATTTAAAAGGCCAACATTTGCTTGAAAAGCTGGTTTTCAGGAGGTACTTTCCCAGAATTACATTTTAGTTGAACAGAACCCTTACAAGTTGAACAATTAAAAAGGAATAATTCCTTGTCCTTCAGCAGTCATGTTCTAAGGAACACAAAATGTCCTTTTGACAGAATTAACATGAGTTCTACAGAGTCATATTCCAACAGCTCCAAAGTACTGTTTGCATTCTCCCTGGTGTTCAGTATCCTCATATCTATGTAGCTACTAATACAACCCTCACCTCTGCAGCATTTAAGGACAAATGAAGACTAAACTTAAGTGTTTCTCCCTCTGCTTTTGCCTGTATATTGTAAAATTGGAGTGTTTCTTTTGTTAGAAGAAGTGAGACTGTGATTAAAAACCAAGTCAGATAAACGAGTCTTCCTTTGATTCTTAAAGCCATAGCAGGCCTTTGGTGTTCCTGCTTCTTGCCAGAGAGCTCCAGGTTCCATGTGCCTGTGGAAATCCTCACCTACAACCAAGACTGTCCTGCTGTGTTTCCCTGTTCTGATGATCCACAGCTCTCAGGAGCTCCCGACCCATCCCTGAATCAAAACACATCTGACACCCAACACAGCCTGAGAAATCCCATGGATGGGGTGGAATACAAGGAAATAATCAAACCCAGCTCCATTTACAGGTAGAACATAACTGAGAGTTAACACTCACAGAACCCACCCTTGTACAAGAACACCAATTTCAAAGTGCAATCGAGCCCCAGGGAAAACCCACCATGGAAACTGTTCACCATACAAAGGGCTTTTGTTAAGGACTAAACAGGAATCAGTGCAAACCACTCACCCTGGGGGATCTTAGTTCTACTTCTTCTTTTTCACTTTCACTGCTGGAATAATTTTCTTCTGCTTCTTTTTTAACTTCTGTTGGGGGCATTTTTTGTTCCTCTTTTACACTTTCCTCCATTGGTTCCACGTGTTTCTGGGTGTCTTCTACCACTTTTGGCTCATTGTGGTGGATGGTCCTGAACTGAATGTTTGCAGAGCGACAGTACTCCTCAAAACCATACAGATACCTGCAGACAAATTAGGTTCCATTTATATTGCAAGGTTTATTTTCTATTTATTCAAGTGCATAAAACCTATTTTCCTGCTCACTAACTTCGGGAAAGAAAAAAAAATAATAGTGGCAACTAAAGAAATCCAAATAAACAAAATTAAAAAGCCAGAGAAGATTTTGAAATGAAACAATTTTGCACACAAGTCAAGTGGTGAGAAAGAATACACACAGGTGCTTCCCACATATTTAACTTCATCCCCATCCAGTTAAGAATTCCTGACAGTAAAGCCATGCATGAGCTTCTTCATATAACTGCCTGTGCACACTCTAATCCAGTTACAGGTGAGAGAGAGATTAATTAGCTTATTCCTCAATGAATAAATATGCAAGTTACAACACACTATCATGTGTCCAAACAACATTATTGTTATTTCCACTGTAACAGCAACCTAGTACACAGTTACCAATTATTCTTTTTATGATAAACACTCTTCTTTGTAAAATACAGACCTTAAACATGTGCCCAGTTCAAATCCCACTGAAGATGTCTGAATATTTTCATCTTCATTAACATTAACATGAGTTGAGTCAATAGTCATCCCTATTTCCAAATTTCCTTAGGTTCGAGGCAAGAGAACCTCATTCTCTCCTTTTACTCAAAAAGCCCAATTGTTTCTTGTCAAACTTCCAGGAGAATAAATAATGAAAATAATTTTCATTTAGAAAATGAGCTTGAAAAACGTCATTCCTAGAAGGTTTCCATTTCAAAAGTTAAAACACAACTGAAAACCAAAGGTCAGAAGAAAAAGATTTATGTATTTGTTCATTACAAGTAATGATTTTACTATTTACTGCCATATGCACACAGTAATGCCCTAAAGCCATTGTTCTACAAATTCTGCAAAGATTATATTTAAATACCCAATCTGAAACATGTCCTTTTTCAATCAGCATTCTTCAGGAAGTTAAAGAAACTGGTATAAAATTCTCCTCACTGCTCAAAGCACCTCCAGAATGACGACAGTACGTTCTTGGTAATCGCCGCAACCTGCAAAGCTGAATTTGCCAAAGCTTATTCTATAAATTTCTTTGTTGTATTCTGAAATAGCACCTCAGATGCTGAAAGGGAATGTTTCTTGATGGAAAACGAGCAGACTTCTCATGTACTGGAGCAAGAGGAACTCAGGCAGCCCTGAGCAATCCCTCCCTTCCTCCACCATTTCAACTCTCAGCACTGTTCCTTAACTGAAGGATCGCAACTGTTGTTTCACTGAACTATCAAAAATTGCTTGAATGTTGTACATGCTACTAAAAACATGGAAAGACATTTTCACCATTACACAATATGAGAACTTACTTTCTATAAGCAGTTTTTACATTGTAGGAAGCAGCCGAGTTCAAAATAGGAATGCCAAGGTCCATATAAATTTGCTTCCATACAGCACCACTCTCAATCTTTGAGGGGGAAAAAAGAAAGAGAACAGGAAATTTTCAGTTTTTCTTAACCAAGAACATTAAGGAATTATGTCTAACACAGTCACAAGCCACAGTCTTTTAGAATCATAGAACAGTTTGGGTTGGAAGGGACCTTAAAGAACATCCACAATTCCAACCCCCCTGCCATGACACCTTCCACTACACCAGGTTGCTCAGAGCTACATCCAACCTGGACTGGAACACTTCCAGGAATGGGGCAGCCACAGCTTCCCTGGACAACTATTTATGGACATATTTAGTTCAGGGAACATCCAACACTTACATTGTCACACCCACCCTGCTGATAAACCAGTCTAAAAAGTTTGAAGAGATTAAGGTCCTTGTAGCCCAGAACTGGTGGTTTATTGATAGGAGTACCTGGATAAAACAAACCAGAAACAAGAGGTTATCCTAAAGAACAGCAAATTGCCTCTTCCAATGCTTCAGCACAAAGTTGATGACAAATATCTTTCTGCATTTTAATTTAATAGTTTAAGGTATGTCACAAGTCAGGAGTTTCCAATCACCAATTAAGGCTTCACCCTCTTGAGTGATCACTCAGCTCTGGGTGCTTTATTAGCCACCCAAATTTATTAATAATCCCTATCCAACTGGCTGCATCCCACTGCTGCTCTCCTGAGTGTGGAGGACACAGCCAGAGCTGCAGGAAGCACCACAGAACACCTGAGGAATGCTGGAATACAGTAATGTGTGAAGAGATTAACTCAAAACACAGTGGGCTGAAAGGAATGAGGAAGAAGCAGAAACGTTGGATCAGGAAGAGTCATACAGGCAAATTGTCAGAATGGGAAAAAGCACAAAGCCCTGAGTGGATGTGAGTATTTGGGACAGTTCCAGGGAAAAGAAAGAACTCAAATCAGATGAGTGGTAATGACATCAAGAACAATAATTATTTATAAAAGGAGAAACCAAAAGTGACTTGGGGCAAATGGCTGCATCCGTAGACAATAATCCTCCCAGCAAGGAAGAATATCAAACCTCTCCCCTGCTGCTTCTTATCTTCCTTCATCTTCATGCAATTATATTTGGAATCATTAAAATAATTTTACGGGACTTTGGGAATACTGTCATGATTACATGAATCAAAACACTCAGACTGAGAGACCAGAATGTAGAACAAATGTGGTGGGAACAAAAATCTTGCTTTAAGGACAGAGGAGAAAAAAAAAAAGGAAACAGAAAGGGGCAAAGGCCCAGTCCTGAAAAAGTCCTTCCTGCACATTGCTCAATCCATGTATGGCTTAGAGAGTATTTCCTGGACTGAGTCTCCAAAAATGCTTTCTTCTTTTGCCTTCACAAGGCCCTGACATGGTCCCTACTTGGTTTGTAGTCTAAGAGTTTAGGAAAGGGACTGAGGAAGGAGGAAAGCAGAAAAAGGGGAAGAATCAGGCTACCTGAGAAGAAAACTGGGGATCAGCCCAGCAGCAGAGGGAGGTTTTTTCCCAGCCCAATTTAGACTTTTATTCCCCTAAAGCAGGTTATTCTCCAGAAACACTGGTTATACACAGGAGGTCTCAAAACTGTATTGGATGAGCTCCAGAACTCTTTGCTATAACACAAAATCAATTACTGAACCTGTGATAAGAACTGGAAATACTGAACAGACTTGGAACTGTTCTTTTATGATTCTGTGGCTTAGAATACACCTCATTAGAAGGGATGCAGACCCTCTTTTACAAAGGCAACTTGATTTCCCCATTAATTTTAAAACAAAAAAAAAGGCAGGGGGTAAATTAGCACTTCATGTTTTACTCTCAGCTCTGGTTATTTAAAATTCAAATACCTCAACGTTTGCTGTAGTATGCTGCTATGGAAATATCACATTCAGGTCACTTTTGCCAAGGAAAAATGAAGGAAAAATAGTAAAATGGCAGTAAATGCATTTGTAATTTACCTCCACCAAGGCTACTGCAGGATAAACACACACAGTATTTGAATTGAAATGGTGACTTCATGAGTAAAATTAATAAAATGAAAACAGTCTAAACCACAAAACTTTTCAGGTTTGAATATACTTTAGAAAAAAAGGGGGGAGGTATGAGAGGAGCTAAGGAACAGAAAAACCTTCCATTTTAGTGTCAGTCTCATCACAACTGCAAATGCAAATGTCTTATGCAACAGCAGCTCTCCCAAGTCAGCAGGTACATCCTGCTCTCTCACAGGCACTGTTGAGATCTGTCTTATGCCAAGACTTCAACTATTCTAATTTATTAAATCTCCCTTAATTCTGCAAAGACAGACATTTAAAATCACACTGTTTTCTTGTTCTAGCTACAGAATAAAGCAGAGTCATTCCAGTTGCCTGTTCAGGTATCACTGCAACATCTCTGCATGATCAGGGCAGCTCTGCAAGGAGACCTGACCATGGCACATCTCCCACTCTCTCCTGGTTGGATTTCACCAGCCATGAAGAGGCTCCTCAGGTTCCAGCCTGAGATTACCAGCAGCAGAATTCCCAGCCAGGCTGTCACGACAAGGAAGCAACCAAGAGCTTATTTAATAGGGAGTGCTGACATAAAAAAGGCTCTGTGAAAGCAAAACAAAACCAAAACACCTCAGGGAGGATTTGAGTTTCCTTTGAGTGCTGTGCCATTAAAAAAGTGGACTAGAGATAAGAAAAGAGAGAAAATTCAGTGTTACCTCTGTCTTCCATAAACTTGTAAAGCTGTTGGAGGAAGTTGTCCCTCTCTTCAGGATCGAGCTCTTCCTCAGGCTGTGAAAACAAACGCAGTCAGAAATGAAAACAGCAAACGTGCAAAGTAACCATTTATTTGTGCAAAAGCCTAAGAGCAAGAACTAAACCCAAACCACTTTCCATCTGGCTCTGCACCCACGGAATGGTGAAATATGCAGAAAACAAAATTTACTGAGGAGACTGAAGCGGTACCTCAGGAGGAGAAAAAGGAAATGCAGGTCAGGGAAGGCATCAGTCCATGACAGAAGGAATGTGTGAGCCTCACAACGAAAACACCAACACACTTCACATACTTCTCTCACACAGAAGAGGTCTGTTATTTACAAGGCTGAAACAATTCCCAGGAACTCAAAGGGAGTTTTGGGTTGGGTTCTTTGCTTGTTTGGGGCTTTTTTGCTTAACTCATCTTTCTAGCCCAATTTTAGCTCAGGCTGCAGAACAATCCTTTCTCCAATCATTCCTGGCTTTGATGCTCCAGACAGTATTTGGTTTGTAATTAAGCTGCAATGCTTGATTTCAGCTCATATTTGGAAACACTTTTAGAGTCATTTCTATAATTTATTATTATAAATTCCTTAGTTTTATCCTTACAACTTAAAGCCTCAAAGAGATAAACACTTACAAGCTTGATGGGAACCCATAAATGAAATTAAGCTTTTCTTTTATTCAAGTGAAAATCATTAAAATAAAGGCAATTTATTGGTGGGTGGGAGGGGCAGGGAGGGGAAATAACATCTACGTATCTTCATGTAATTTTGAGCTTCTAGCAGAGACCAGAAAAAAAAAAAAGTAATAAACCCTTTTCCCTGCAATGCTTTCTGGATGGCACTTTCTTCCTGCCAGCCTGGCAGTTTGCACAAGCAGGACTGCAGCTGCCTCAGAGGAAAGACGTACAGTACGTGTCAAAAAACCTTATCATTCCATTATTAAAAATAACAGGCAAGTGACAAGCAGTTCCAGAAGGAAACCAGAAGAGCAATTTACATTTCAGTTGTCTCTGCATTCTGTAAACTTTAAGCTTCAAGGCAGGAAAGCAGGCAGGGAAATGGGAATGTATGCGCTGCTGGCTTGCTAAGCAGAAAGCAATCTGCCCAGCATCAGAATGAATCCAGCCCTGCCTGGTTCACTGAATCCTTCTAAGCCCAACAGGGCTCACCTACAATCAGGCAGAGGCAGTATCTGTGTCTTACTTTCCTATTTTTATTTGGGAAATAACTGGAGGAAATTAAATGTGTAATCACAACATTGTACAGCATCAGTTACCACTTGCTCAAGGCACATTACAGGGATTATATAAGGAAAAGCAGTTATCTATAGAATTAGTATGTTCTTCCAGGTTATCAAGTGAAGTATTGCTATAGAAACCACAGCTCTTTTCTCTCCATCTAAACTGCAAACCCACTCCAAGATCGAGAAATTTCTACCATCTCCTGTGATGTTTACTGGTTAAAGGCAATATGGCTCAAACTGTGCAAACTAAATACATGCAAATAACAGTAAATCTTCAGAAATACTTCTGAATAGTTGAATTAAAGCCATTTCTTTCATGTGGGCACAGTTCCAAACCAGAACTCCAGGTCAGAGCAGCAGAAATGTAGGTTAGAAATAGCACCCTTGCAGTCAGAATTTAACCATTTCACTGAGATGAAGGATTTTCACCCGAAGAAAAGCAAAAGGGAAAGATCAAAAGCTTTCCCATAGGGTGGGGACATAAAACCTGGCTGCAATATTCATCCACCTGTGTAAGACCCCCCCAAATCCTGCACCTGTTTCTCCCTGTTGTTGGTGTGTGAGCCCCTTGGCCAAGGAAGCCTGAACTGTGCTGGTATCAACACCAGAACAGACACCAAATCCTCCTCAGAAGCCACTTGAATAAGACCTGAATAACTGTCACCACCATCAGCTATTTTTTTGCTGCTGGCCAAAATGAGAAAGACCAACCCCTCATGGATATGTTTATTGCAATCCATTTGGATATATGGATTTTTATGAGAGGTCATTTTTTTAACAGGGTTATCTGTTTGCAACTGGGCATAATGAATTCCCAGAAGCGTCTACTGTTTTGAGTTATTTAAATACATCAACCATCAGCAACCTCAAATCTGCACCCCAAGTCAAGGAAACACCTGAGAAATGTTGGTGCCACATCCTGTGATCACCATCAGTGAGGGACTGGAGAGCTAAAATTCCCAGCACAGATTTCCAGCAGGAACCAGGGTGACTCTGCTACCCTCCAAAACTCACTGTTCCTACCCAGACATTTATGCCCATTTTAGACTGGCCATAAGTAAGTTCACAGTGACAACTGTTCAAAATCAGTTTAAGAGAGTTCTGTCTCTCCATTTCATTTCTTTCCCATACAGATGTTGCAAAAAAGGGGAGACTGGAGCCAAAGGTAAGTCCAAATGAGATGCAAAACAACACAAAAATTTTAAGTGGCAGGAGCTCAAAACTGAGACCTTTCTGCTGTTCATCCAATAACCACAACTAAATGCAACATGAGAAAATCTTTTTAACTACAAGATGAGAGGTTGAATTTCATTTAAATAAAAACAAATAAAAATATCCAAGATGCCTTTTTTCTAATTGGAAGGTTGAAATTTTATGGGTTTGAGATGTTTTCCCTCCTTTCTGATTAGCAGGTCACATCAGTTACAGAATTCTGGAAGCAGGAAAACAATAAAATCAACCATGATCACACATTATATCTATAAAGGACATACTCCTTTCCCAACTCCATTCCTTATTGCCTTCCAAGCAACACTAACAGTGTTCACGTATTTTCTAAAATTATTTTGAGAGTAACAACCAGCAAATAACACAACATAAACCACACAGAAACATGTAGAAAACTTGTAACTGGCTTTGCTTCATTTCGTTTCCAGCCACTTAATTCACCCTGAGCTTTGCCTCTGTCCTTGGCATGATTCTAACCAAGAATGTGGCTCTGTTACCCTGACTCATCATTTACTCTCCAGAAGGATGTTAAAACCTTCTGTGGGTGCCAACCTTCAGAGCTGAGTGGGAGCACAAAGGATGAAAGAGTTTCTTCTACAAAAGGAAGAATGAATCTCTACCTACGAGCACGTTCACCATAAACTCAGTCAATACGAGGTGAGGCTACCAGGGACTGATCTGCCTTTTATGTTACAAATAGACTGACAAGACCATAAACTCCTCAGTGGAATAAATGGAAGTTAAGAGGAAGAACAGTGCATACAGGATTTGGAGTTCAGAGCAGTATATGATCAAGACAATCTGCCAGAATTAATGTAATTTTGTTGTTTCAAAGTACTTCGATGCGTTTTCATCGCTGGCACATTTGCTTTCTGACGCCAAGTTTGAACACCAATTAAGGAAATGAAAAGAATTAAACTGATTGCAACAAGTTAACAGCTTTACACCATGTGGAGACGAGAGTGGTCTTAAAAATGTTAATTTCTACCAACAAGAAGTAGGAATTCAACCATCCTCAGCAATGACTCACTCCGAGCTGCGCCTCAGCCTTCAGCTCTCCTGCTCCTCTTTGAGGGACATTCTGAGAATGCCTGTGAGCAACAACGTCTTTGAGGAACATTTGGGCATGGGATGATGCAGGCTGTGCTTCCCGGCAGCCACAACTACAAAGGCACGGATGCGTGAGAAGGAGGATTAACTAATCAATGTTCAGCTATTTTTAAAGGCTATTCTGTGCATTACACGTCACAGCTGCTTTGGGGGTTTTATAGACGTAAATCATAGAATCACAGATTGGTTTGGGTTGGAAAGGACCTTAAAGACCATCTTGTACCACTCCCCTGCCACGGGCAGGGACATCTCCCACTATCCCAGGTTGCTCCAAGCCCTTGAACACTTCCAGGGATGAGGCAGCCACAGCTTCTCTGGGCAACCTGTGCCAGGGCCTCACCACCCTCACAGCCAAGAATTTCTTCCTAATATCTAATAAACCACTTCTTTCCTGACACCAAGCTTCATTAACTTAGAAATTACTGTTTTCCTGTATTTAACTTTTAAGAGTCAGCTTTTTAATGTTATTTTAAAATATAAACAGGTTGCAACAGACATGGATGATCTGGGTATCATTTTATGTGATCTCCCACAGTCACTCAGAGAAAAGCCTACATGGGAAACAACAACTATTTTGAAGCAAAATGTCAGTATTTTAATGGTTGACTATTGATTATTTGTAGGAATCTTGAGCCTCCTAAAATACATTATGGATTTCTGATCCTTCCTTTATGAGCTCAGCGCTAATAAAATATATGGTAATGACTTATCATGAGAACTGAAATCCTTGCAGAAAAGGAATATTGGAAAATGCCTCTGGCACCTTCCCTTTTCAACAATGTAAAGCAACTGTGACTGATGTTTCTTGATGCTGCTGTGATGCAAGAACCCTAAAAACATGAGATGAATGCCCCTATTAAACATGCCACACACACATCCTCCAGGTGACCCTCAAAACTAAGCCTTAAAGGAAATCCCCCAAAGCAAACGCCTGGAGGTGCAATAACTCTTCCCTCAAAGAGCTGTGGGGACCAGCTTGCTGGAGGATTTCTCTGAACAAATTCCTCACCTTTCCTTCTACCTTAAATGAATATATCTATTAAGAACTCATACTGAAAAGGTATTTCAAATAAGTGCAGGTTAAAATCTTCATTCTGCTGGAATCAGAGTGGCCCACAGGGAGATCGAGAGCCAAAAGCAAATGTTGCCTGCACGTTCCTCTGCAAAATGGGGAGTATTTGACTATTTGAACTTGAGAAACAAATAGGATGGTTCCAATGGATTCTACAGCTTCTCCTCCCACTACATTTACCTGTCTGGAATCCTTTGCTTCACTGCTCTACATTTAGATTATTCTTTCTTCTTCCCCAATAAAACAACTTAAATACAAACAAATACAGCAGTAGATATAATCTGTTTCTAATAAAAATCAGGTAATGATCAAAAAACTTTCTATTTCTATGTGGAGATACTGGAGTTAAGACTTTCTCTTTCCTTTTAGCTGCAGTGCATTCCTTGACTGCCAAATGTACCCTCCAAACACAGTTAATTCTCTTCTTCTGACATGCTGAAAACTGGGTGAGAACCAAAAGCAATATCCAGATTTTTATCAGGATTCAAACTAATTGAGTGATTCTTTTAATCTTCATTTGATACAGACTTTTTTCCTACAGTCCCTCGGATTTTTTTACTTTTTATGACACGAGTTATTAAAAACCCTTACATTTTAAAGAAAAATAATCCAGAGATTCACCATCTATTGCCAAAATTCCAGCAATTTGAACATGCTGAGCAACTCTGTGTAATGCAATCCCTGTTGAAGTCAATGACAAGCATTTTCCACACTGTCCTCCTTCCTAGTCAAGTCTGGACCACACAAGTCACTTCCCACTGATGAGGAGGAGGAGCATCTCACCAACACCATATTTGTTCCCACTCCTCAGCTTACAAAAGCCACCAAAGAACAGCTCTGGAGAGCCTGGAAACCTGGTTGTACCAATTCTACCACCTCTTTAAGATGTCATCAAAGGCAACACAATTAGAAAGACTCTGTCAAAACGAAGTTACAGATTTTTAACCCAGCTACTGGAAAAATGGTAGGATCTCTTATCACCAGCTACAGCAGATCTCTCTGCCCCGTTACCATTATAAAAGATCCTACTTCAGAAAAATAAGATCCTTTCCATTCCAGAATTAGACTCTTCTGACTGACTTTATCCTGTGATTATATATGAAGTAGGCCTGTGTCCTTTTGATTATTTAATGAAGGCCTATCAGGTTGGGCAGCAGCTGGATAGGCCCTGACAGCAAAGCTGCTCTGCAGTTTAGAACATGGGAGTGGGAAAAAAAAAAGGTATTTTTAAAAATCTCACTCCCATATAACCAACTGCTGCTCTAAAACAAAAAAGTCCACTGAGAATATTCTGGGAGAGGATGGACAGAAGCTATTTTTGACCTTGATTAATACAGGAGGAACTCTATGAAATGTAAAATTTTAGCACTTGAGATCTGTATTCAAATACAGGCAAGGAAAAAAGATCATTCACTTGTCGATTCTCTCTGCATTTCTGCCTTTCTAAGGGAAAAGAAAAAAGGAATGATGATAAATTCCCTAAATGCTGTCTAATTGCAATATCTAGCATGGCCCACTATTAAAATATGTATTCTCACAGCTGAATCAGGAATTGGATTTAATGGGCTGTCATGACAGTTCTACTCTGACATAATCTATAAAGATTCATATGTATCCTCTGCTACACAGCTTCTGTGAGATGAAGATGCTCACCTTATTTTTACAAGCCTAGTTGTCACCTGGAAATAATGGATTCCACAGCTTCTCCTATCAGCACATCCACCTGTCTCAAATCCTTTACTCCTCCACTTCACATTAACATCATTCTTTAAAAAATAACTGCAATTTCTTTTACAGGAATGTCTTTTTTTTGAATTTTTTTTTAAACCACCAAGCTTCCCCCTCCCCCTTCTTTGTTTGAAACACACAGCTTTTTATGCAATAGGCATGAAAAAATGATAATAAAAATGGATACTCGAAAACTGGTACAGGAATCCTTGATATTTAGTGACTGATACTCTGTAATTTAAGGAGTGTTAATACAGGCAAACCAATACAGACTGCAACAGTTCACACCCTGCAAAATGTGGCCTATTCAGTCTTTTTCACTGCAAACTGAAGAAAAAAACCCTGAGGATTTTACATTCTGCACACATTTATCTCAGATTTATCTAATCATAGCATTCTTCTCAGATAGACATTTACTCCATTTTCCCAAACACTGTTATGAAGGCATAAAATCCACACCTAAAAATAGATTCTTATTGTCTTTTTTTTTTTTTTACCTGGCTGCAAAGCTCCACCAGCCACTTCCCAGCTCAGAAACCCAAGTCAAACCCCCATCCTCAACCCCCCCCACGTTCACATTCCCAGATTAAAGCCCACAATCCTTACCTAGGAGCCGCATTCTTTCAAACGTAAAATGGTTTGACTTCCTCTCTATCTAACGCTCCCACTGCCCGCACATATTCCAGCCCGGCTTCCAGATATCTGCTCGCGCTCTCTCTCCCAGCGCGGCGCCCGCAGTTAACCGGCATTACTTACATTCTCTTCCATATAAAAAAAATAATTGTTAAATAGTAATAAGGACGCTAAAGCCCCGAGGCGCGAGATGAAAGGCAGGGGAAGGGCCAGCCCATCTCCGAGCCCCCGGCCAGCCCCGGTCCCGCGGCCGCTCCCCGCGCCTGCGCCGCCACCCGAGCGCGTTGCCCTGGGAACGCCGAGGCCGCCGCCAAGCGCCATCGGCCATTCCGTGTGGGAAGGGAAGGGAAGGGAAAGGAAAGGAAGGGGAAATCTGACCTCCCTCGCAACGCAAACCGCACTCCGGGTTTTGCTGCGTTTCCCGGTGTACCGTGAAAATCAGTGGGAAAATAAATAAGCGAATCTCAACACCCGCCCCCCCGCGCCCCCCCACTCCCGCTGCTAAATCCAACACCCGGGGTACAGCCAGGGAGCAGGGACAGGAGGGAATTCTTGAAATACAGTTTAGAAACTGGGTAACTTTATGGAAAAGGAGCCACTTAAAATATTCCAATGCAGAAAAACACTTTGTTGTTAATATCAGAATCACAGAATCACGCTCCATGATCTGGGGTGGAAAGGACTTCAAAGATATTCCAGTTCCACCCCCTGCCATGGGCAGGGTCAACTTCCACTAGACCAGATTGCTCCATGCCCTGTCCAACCTGGCCTTGAACACTTCCAGGGATGAGGCAGCCACAGCTTCTCTGGGCAACCTGTACTAGGGCCTCCCCACCCTCACAGCCAACAATTTCTTACCAGTATCTAACATAAATCTCCCTCTGTCACTTTGAAGCCATTCCCATTGTCCTGTCACTCAAGGTCCCTGTCCAAGGTCCCTCTCCAGCTCTCTTGGAGCCCTTTAGGCACTGGAAGGTGCTCTAGGGTCTAACTGGAGCCTTCTCCTCTCCAGGCTGAACAGCCCCAGCTCTCCCAGCCTGTCTCCAGAGCCGAGGGGCTCCAGACCTCACAGCAAATTCGTGGCCTTATCTGGACTGACTTCCAACAGATCCACATCTTTCCTGTGCTGAGGACCCCAGAGTAGGACACAGAGCTCTGGGTTCGGGTATCACCAGAGCAGTGTAAAGGGGAGAACCCCCTCCTTGGACCTGCTGCCCTCTCCCCTTGTGATGCAGCCCAGAACAGTTGGCTGGCTGGGCTCCAGCACACATTGCCAGGTCCAGCTTTTCACCCATGAGAACCCCCCTGCCCTTCTCCACACAGAGCTGCTCTCAGTGGCTTCTCCCAGTCTGTTCTCAGGTCCAGGACTGGACATGAGTTCAGAGATCACCCCAACAAGTTAAGACACAGTCCTTTCACACCATAGCCCGGGATTCTCCGATTCCCAGCCGAACACTTTCACAGTTCAGTCCTGCACTGCTCTGAAGCATCTCAGGCACCAAAGAGCTTCAGCAGGCCCTGTGCATCAGCTCATACTTTCAGTCAACCTACTGCTTTTGCTTCAATAGTTTGTCTTTTTTTTTAAAAATCAATCTACTATTTTCAGAAACAAGTTACTTTTTATATATAACCTACATATAAAGAAATATACAAAGAAAAGAAAGAAAAATAAAAAGTTACTTGTATTTAAGGTTGTATTACTACCACTAGGCTTAGTATAAATTTTTTGGGTTTGCCTTTCCTTTGGATCCAGAATCTTTCACTCTTCTCTGCCTTGAATTCTTAATTTCTGAGATTTGTCTCCGATTTCTCCACTGGATAACTGGAGGAACCTGCCACTGCTCACAAATCCCAGTAAATGCAACTGTAACAGGGAAAATGAACAGGACTGAAAAGACGTTGAAGTCTGACAGTGAAGTGTTGGAAAGTGCAGGATTTTCAGACAGGCACGTTACTAAATTATCTCTGAAGAATGACTGAAATTGCCCAGACTCACCGCTACTTCTTCAGTTTTCTCTTCTCTTTTTTCTTCCTCTTCATCGGTTTCTGCAGCAGCTCCATCTTCCTCATCACTGCTGGAGGACTCCAAGATTTCACTGATGTCCATTTTCCAGTTCCTAGGAACACCCTTGGTGCTGAGAAACGTAGTTGCCTCCTGTAGCCCTACAGAAGAAAGGGCCCTGGCTTTACCTCATCCACAGCATGCAGTCACAAAGCATTTTTAATTTCCTTTTCATCACATTCTTGTAAATCACAACCCTAACTGAAATGGCACCACGACTTACTTTGCTCTTTTCAAAATATCATCACGTCTTAGACTGCAAAAAAATGAAGAGCATTTCCCAAAGAGATGTGACATCAGTGCTTGGAACAGAGGAAAAACACACCAGTGAGGAAGGGAGTGATGGGACAGGCTGGAGTCACACTTGTACAATGGAAATACCTTGAATTCTTTTGCTCGAAGAGGTGCTCCAAGGGGGAAACAACAGAGCAAAACAAACTCAGATAACCCTAAAATTTGCCCCTCAGTCACAGAAAGAGACTTTGATAAAGGAATCAGAAGAATACCCAGAAGAGGGACACACTGCAATGAACCATTCAGTGCTGCTGGAGAAGAAAAGGCACCAGTTTTTAACAGCTGCTGATAGAAAATCCTCCAGACATTGGTCTCAACTCTCTTTTTTATTTTTTGAAACCATTAGTACCTTTGGTTCCAAAATATTCCCTCGTGGCAAGAAATGTCACAACCCAATTATGTTCTGCACAGGAAAAAAGTCCCTTTCTTCAATTTATCTCAAACCTGGCATCTGATCTTTTCTTTGGCTGTTCTAAAGCTCTTGTACTGTGAAACAGCTATTAAGGAGAAAGTAGAAATCATTATGAGTTACACTAATCAATCAAAACCACCTCAAGCTCTCATTTGCAGCATGTTAAAGCTTTACTTGTTAAGGAGCTGTTCCACACCTTTACTCAAACCAGAGGAACTGCTGTTGGTGAGGGGTTTTTTTTGTTGCTGGGTGGGGTTTCTTATTATAATTTTTAATAAATACATTTTAAATATTTCTCTTTAACAAATTTCATATCCAAAGTTTCTCTAATTTATCCCATTTAAAATTATTCACAAAATATCCAAGAGCAACTATCAGAAATAAGAGGTCGTCACTTATCTATAAATGTTAAAAGTACTATTGTATGAAATTATTTCTTTTAATTTACCTTTCTTAGGAGAGGACTCAGATTTTGGTAAGTTTTGAAGATCTAATTCTTTGATGTCTTTTCTTGCTATTGAGTAACTGTAAAAGAATAAGGTTTTGTTATTATTTTTAAAGCACAGAAAAGCAAGCATTTGACTTAGAAAAACAGCAATTTCTAAAATTTTCAAGATTTAGCATCCACCTGCAGGGTCCTTTCTAACAGCTAAATGCATAACACGCTTGTTATTGTAGTGGAATACAAGAGCAAGTTATCCAGAATAAGTTTCCAATCCTTCTTTGAGATTCAGACATTAAAGTATCCTTAAATAATTAAGAAAAGTTTGTAAAGCTTCTTTATTTTCGACGCTTAACCTGCACAAACTTGCAAAGGTAAAACACAAAGGCAAAAATCGTTTTCTAAACTGAAAATATTCACAGGAATCAACAGCTGCTCTCCAAAGAGGAATCCAGCTAAGAGGGAAAGAACAGGTCCTCTATTTTCAAAATGCATTTCTAGGAACACAGAATAACAGTGAAGCCAATTCCCAGATCTGCACTGAAAAACAGTTGATTTTGATTTTTAAATTACACAGCACAACATATGGAAGTTGCTCTGTTCTAAGGTTAAACTGAATATATTTATTTTTCTTCTTTCATTATTTCACAAAATCTGGAGAAAAAACCTCAGGAATTAGAAGCTGCCATTTTCTGAAGTTAAAGCCATAATACCATGGGGAAAAAAAGTCAAACAGAGCAAGAGTAGATGTTTTACCAGCAGCATTCCACCTTCAGTAGATAAAAGAGCCAGGCTTATCTAGAAGGCTGATGGGAAGTGTCTACATTAAGAGGCCAAAATGAATTAAGTCTTCAGGCACTTGGAATACATTTCAGTAATCATGTACTCACAACCTACTCAAAATCGTGGCTCTTAAACAAAATCACAAATTGTTCACTTTGAAAGGAGAGAAAGAGGGTGGCAGCTGGCCTTTGGCAGGGAAGTTTTTAGTTACAATATGTTGAGACACATGCAATGCAAGTAACAATGAAAAGAAATAAAGGGAAACAGCTTTAAAAAAAAAGTCTTCATACTCTTATAAATATATTATTCCTTAACTAAGACACACATCTCTGTCTCTCCCTGTCCTTTTGGAGCAGAGGATGGACCAATAGGATCTTCCTTTCTTTTTGCTGCAGTCTTGTTCAGATTCTGTAAATATTTTAATTAACAAGTCTCTTTAAATTCTCTTCTTTATTGGATTAAGCCCTTCAAAGCTTTGCTGTTTCAACAGCAATGGACATCATGGCACTGGAGGTAATGAGTCCATCAGATATCCAAACTACTACAACAGACACCCATATAGATAGTAATTAAGACATTAATGAAAATAATTAAAATCAAAACTCACACTTCAAAGGACAGAAATGATCTAAAGAGTAAACACTCCTGGATGTTTTAGATTTTTTTTTCTTAAGTTGTTGGTATTTTTAAATGAAGCACCAAAAACTTTACTGATTCAAGGAATACTCATCATTCCACACAATGGAAAGAAGGGTGAGGAAGCACAGAAGGAGATGGCTGGAAACAGACTGTGAAGCCAAATGTGTCCATCCAACATTACAGAACATTGTACCCTTTCCATTGGGAAGAAATAATGTCTTCAGTAGCAATATGTAATTAGTCTCCCATTTTCTCCCATATATCTCTAATAAAAGTGAGCAATCACTTACAATTTGGAATCTGCAAAGGATCGAACTAAACACTGGTCCTTTTTCACGGTGACATCGTCGTTGCAGCTCGGTGACACCACCTGAAGGGTCAAACAAAACACTTTTTTATTGAAAAAAAAAAAAAGCTGATCTTCCAAGGAAAGAAAGACAGTGGGAAAACTGCTGTTTTCCTGTTCATTATAATTTCCAGTTCTGGGAAAACAAACCTACTCTAATTTATACTACTAAGGTCGATAGTAACAAATTTCAAGAAGTAATTTACCCCAAACTATTGACTTGATATGTACAAGCCAAAAAAGCTTAAAATTTCATTTGTAAACTCAAAACTTATCTACTGAGGTTCCATCATGGGATCCTGTTCATTCACTCTGCTTTTTAATTCTTGTTCACACAAAACCTGACTTAAGCATCTATTTAAAAAGTCACAAACCTACTTATTTTATACCAGTTTCTGATGTTTGGCATTTAAACTGAGACATAAGTTGGTTTTTTGGTTTGCTTGGGTTTGGGGTTTTTTTTGAGGTGTGGATAACATAAACTAGTGTGAAATCCAGCACATCCTTCCACAGAAGTATTATCTCTAAGTCTAAAAAAAGTCATAAAAATGTATTTGTATTACCAAAACCAGAACAAGTTTACATTTTGCTCTAGACCATATACAAACAGAAAATGTTACATGCAAATACATGGCCTCCAGTAACTTAATCCCCTAGTTAAGAACCATGTTAAATTAAAATCTGTCATTAATAAAAGGATATACAACAGTCAGAACATGTACAAAACCACATTTTATACACAGCTGGATAAGCCAGTGTCAACTATTCACCCCACATTACACCTCAATGTTCTCTCTAGAAGGGAAGACACCTGGAGTCACACAGGCAAACACAACCTTAAACTAAGTTAAAAGATTTTAACAACTGAGTTTGTTCCCTTAAGACTCAAAATAAAGGAGTACAGAGTTCAGTAAATAAAATCTGCAAGATTTAACAAACCAAATCTGTGTGTTTAATGCTCCAAAATACTTTTTTTTAAGCAAACACTCTAATGGATAACAGAGGATGTGTATTGAGCCTGTCTGACAATACAAAACAGTTTACTACAGAAAGCAACTTTTAACATGTATATGTGTTTCTGTGCATATGAACAATCTGCAGAGTGTCTACTTTTACAGCACAAGTCTACTTGGATTTATTTAATATGTATTTATTTCAGCAGTGGCAATGAACAGCTGTACTGACAGTGAAATAAAAAGAACCACCAACGTGTACTGCCAGAGTAACTGGCCACTGGTGCAAATGAAAGCATGAAAGAAAGGAGAATTCCACAAAACTGAAAGTCAAATGAAATCTAACTGCTCTTAAATTGCCTGGGAGTGCAAGTCCTAACACATCTCATTTTTAGAAGAAAAACATCATCCCATACTGATCATCTCACATGCAGTTTGAAAGACTTTAAAGCCATAAAACTGCAGCTTATACAAAAGTGTTAATCTTTGCTTTCCTACTCTCCACAGATACTGGAAAACATTTGTATTTTTAGCAAATATGGGAGCAGAGCTGAGCCTGACAACGTTCCCAGCTTTGCTGGAAAAGGAACTTACCAAAGCTGGATACCAGTCTGCCTTCTCTGAATTACAAGTCACACTCACAACCTTGCCAAGCAATTCATCGTTGAGGCGCCTTTTATCTTCATCCTCTTCTTCACTACTTTCTTCTTCCTTTTCATCTTCAGTGCTAAAATATCAAAATGTACAAGATTTTTAAAGTGTGTGTCTGAAGTCACTACTTGAGAGCAAAACCAGCTTACAAACAGATTTTTCTTCCTATTTTGCAAAGCTTCAAGGAAATAAAGAATTTTAAGAGCTGAAATTGCTTGAAATACACTTAAATATTAAGTGTTCTTAGTAAGAGGAATTTTGTAGAAATTCTTTCCAAGTATTAGTATTTTACAGCAGCATCATGCTGGAATTGGAGACTTGAATCAGGTTTTGACTGTGCACAGACATGAAACAAAGAGAAATGGTCTCTACTCCAGAAATTTAAAAGCACTTTTTTTCCACTTTGTGCAGTGTAAAGGTTAAAAATCCTCCATTTCTTATTAGATGAAAGAAGCAGAAATGTTCTTAAGAAAAAACCCTTCAATCTGATAATATTGCCAACATATGATCATGTCTGCAGTACTCAAGTCCATAAGGTGTGCACACAACTCATGTGCTGGAGCATTCAGAGCTCTGCAGCTGCAATGGTGCTGCTTCAGTGACAGCAAAGGACATTAAAGGAAAGGCAAAACTCACACAGGAAGAGAAGATCTTCTCCCTCTATTAGATTTCTTTCCAATAACTGGAGTTCCAAAGTGCTCTGGGTTGGTTAGTGGCAGTTGGTCAAGTGTCTACATGGAAAAAAAAGGGGGAAAAATTAGTTTGCAATATCTTTTTTTTAAAAAAAAAAAAAAAGTGAATTAACTACTTAATTTTTATTCCATGTCCATCACTGTCTTACCTCACTTTCTGCAAAGTGCCTTTCTCCCTTCAAGCATAATGAAGTTCGTCTCAAGGTCCTTTCATCTCCATCATCAAAAACTAGGAGGAAGCCAAGGAAACACATCAGCACAAGATGATCAGATCTCAGTCCCAACTCTGCTGTTTATCTCACAATCAAGAACATTCTCTAACACTGGACTTTCAGATCTCCATCTGCTCATTCTTTAGTTCACAAGCAAAATGAAGGTCAGTACTCAATATTCAGCCTAAGAATGGATTTTCACACAGAGTTTGAAGCCATTGAAAACAAGGGTTTTGGGTGCAATAGTCTAACTTGGACATTCTTCTTATCAAAACACTGCACATTTCAAACCACAGCCACTGGCTGCACACCAGTCACTATTATCTAACCATCTTTGGGGTTTGCCTGGGTTTGTTGGGATTTTTCTCACCCTATCCATTTATTTCTTACTTAGACTACTGTTTAATATTGTACCTTTTCATCCTCCCTCTTCCCACAAGCAATCCCACAGAAAGACAAAGGAATGAAAAGAAAAACAACTGTGGGATAGTTTTTGCTACACTATCAATATTGTCTTACAAACACACCAGGACACTGGAAATGTGAAACTCTAAGTCTGACAAAATCATAAGGAAAACTTAGCAGACATCCCATTAAATCTCATGTATAAGTGACAGGAAAGCTCCACTGATTTCCATCAATATACAGCAGAAGAATTTTGGCACATTTCCATTAACAAAACCCCCAAACAACAAAAATCTCTTGAGCCAGTATGAATATCAAATATAATATTTGTCAACTAACTACGACATTCACATTCTCACACTTTTAGATTAAAACCATAGACTGCAAAAATAACTTTATAAATAGGTATGAATATAAAATTAATTAAGCTTGATAAGATAAGCTTTAAGGTCCTGAATCTTCAGAGTAGATACTGCTGGGATATGTTCCACTATTGAATTAGTTTAATGGCCTCTGTTGTAACACTTATACACACAAAGCAGCTCACTCTTCCCCCTCCAAAAATCTCAAACTACTAAACTTCCACAAATAATCATTTTAGGGGACAAATGGCTGGTGATTGGCAACAGGTAACTTTATTGAAAAAAAGTAAACAGAACCTGATACTTGACCGTAAATAAATAGAAAGAACCAGGCTGGTTTATCTCCAATTTTGGAAGTTCTACCCATTTATTTCAAACTAGTACAGCAGAGGGATGAATCAAGCAAACCATTCATAAACCAGATGATATACACCAGTTTTTCATCCATAAAGGATAAAATGTTATAAATACTGAGGGTTGAGTAAAATACCCTCAGCAAAGTACACTGAAATTAAGACACATAAGGAAATTATGACAATTAAGAGCTGTGTGAGATATTTTTCTTTCCTCTACTATAAAATGCTAATTAACCTAAGAAATCACATAATTAGATATTCCTGATCAATAACAGGCAATGATAGATTGCAAAAGCTGTAACTGCAATTGCAGAAGTGTCAACTTCATAAATTTATATTTCATTTCCATGGACAAAACATGGAAGAAAAAATAATTTATGCTGAAAAAATAAGTTTTCCTAATCATTCCTCAGACCAGAGACACTGAAGTGTGAGTATCCTTTCAGAGCCTGGCAGTCAGGCTTTCAGTCCTATTCCCAGTTTCCTACCTGAATTCAGACAAGTCTATCCCATGCCTTTTCCTGTTACTTCTCTCAGTTTTTTTCCAGCTGAAGGTACAGAACTGGTCTGTTCTAACAAAAACTGCTTGTCCCTTGCCATACAGGGCAAAAGTGCTGGGCTGCTCTGCATTTTCCAGAGCTAAAACAGGCAGATTATACAAAAAAACCCAAAATCCCACCTGAAATCTCTCTCCTAGCACTAAAAGGAAAGTCACTATGTCTTTATTGATATGAGAGGCCACAGAACTTCAGGAAAGGAAGGTGGAGAAGCACAAATTCTCAGATGCAGGCCAAGGAATTGGCATCACCACTGAATGAAAGTGTAGAAAAATCTGTCTGTTGAGCAGCCACAGGGAGAAGGAAATGCACAGCAGAGTGTAAGAGTATGGGATTCCTTCCAAGTAATAAACTCCATGTTCCATTTTACCTTGGAAATTTTCTTCCAGGACTAAAGTTTCTCTCTGCCCCACCTCTCATTCAGGTTAAAAGAATGAACAGAGTCAAAGTATCCAACCCCACAAGAGTCTCATGTAAATATATATTAGTGCTGCTCTGTAGGAGGAAACCCCACAGGACTATCACTTCTTTAACATACTTTGCCTTTTTTAAAAGATTAATAGAAAAGTGACAGTAAAATTTTGATTTTCTATCTTGCTGGGAACAAGTAGGGGCAGAGGTGAAAGGACCACAAGGGGCTGTAACAGAAGTCACTGATATTTTTGGTATTTTAAAGACATTTCACTGCTTCAAGGATAAACCCAAACTTTCTTTGAGCAGGTAAGAGGTTTTGGATATTGTCACTCTGTACAAATTTGTGTTGTGGAAATGTGGAAAGCACCTGCAACTCACAGTGCAGCTGCACAACTTGGAGCAAAACATCTTTGCAGAACAACAAAGTGCAAGAGAACAGCATAATTAAAACTATTTCCTCAGTTAAATTAGTGACCACTTGATAAATTCTCAATTCAGGAAAGATGGTACCGTTTTTCATACAAAAATATTCAATTATTTGAATTACTAAGCTGAGGCCAAGTAAGAAATCTCTCCAATAAATCACAACGCATCAAGTATTTTGTAACTGTAGCAACTTTGAACTTGCTTCTCCTCTAGGGGAAATACTTGATTGTGCCTCACTGAAAGAGTAATCAGAAACCTCACTGATAAACTCAGCAGCTTCAAAACTATAAACTAAGGAGGCCTTGTGGTCTCCATCTCACTTTTAAGAAAAATCTGCTTCACTAAAGTACTTTTCATGTTAGTGTGCCCTGTGCATGACTTTTTAATGCCAGTCCTAGAGGTTTTAGGGGAATATCTTTTCCAAGTACAGCATCACATCCTAAGGATTCTGTAAACATGAGCAGTGGAGCAGAAGGCAGAGTTTTTGGCTCTGTGACACTCTGAAGCTGAGATAGCAAATGTGTCAGGAGAACTTAATACACTTTAAGCTGCAAATTCATTCCTCTTTTTAATCTCATCCAGAAGTAAGGCTGTTTAGTTAAAGTGCCAAGTGCTAACAAACAAACTGAAAAAACCTTTCAGATTAATGCTGAGTAACTTGTATTAATTATTTCATTCCTTCAATAGGGTATTGCTACAACTCCAAATTCTCCAATGGCTGTAGAGGTTGTATTCCATGAGAATGATAAAACTCAGTGAATCCTGTCATGTTCAAGAGGCAGGAAACAAGAATGGAAGGCAGGGAGATCTCTCCCATACACATGGAGTGAAGTCAGCAAGAGATGTGTTTACAGTGCCATGCTGCTCCTCTTGGGGGAAATTACAGTCCTGTCCTTCCAAAGGAACAAGTGTGAAAAAGCAGAAGCCCTTTAAGTTCTACTATTTCCTCATCTCGTAGTGGGCAGGGACTTTTTGGAGAAACAGGGTGCAGGAGCTGAGTGCTGATTCCTGGGAATCCAGGATCCAAACCAGGCAGGGAACTCCACACACCATTTAACAGTCAATGGAACAACATAAGGAATGATGAAAGAAAAGCACCATTTCTGCTGGGCACAGGCCTTTCTTCCAAATGTGCTCCCTAATGATGAGCACTGACAGAAGGGGAAAGGAGATGACTAAGCAGCACAACCTGGAGGAGCAGCTCTGTTACAAAGCTTGTTCTAGTCCCAGGAACAGAGTCCAATATGTTCCATACAGAGCATTTTAAAACAGTGACAATAAAACAGAAATGTACAGAATTTTGCTGCATCCCAATCTCGTCAATAATGACAGGAAAGAAAAAGAATTGATTTTTTTTTTGTTTGTGGAAATCTCTACAACCCCAGTGTATGACAGAAAAATAAAAACAAACTTCCTAGTGGTAATCAATGCAGGTTTTCTCAAGAATTAGGAAAAGAACTCTCTTGATTAAAAACTTGAGTGCCTCAAAAATGCACTAAAAAGTGCAACTTTAAACTCACTATTGATGAGCAGGTATCTTCCATTCCCTGACTGCTGCAGACCCATTTATGCCATTAACAAAAATAATACTAACCCTGTCCTCACAAAACCAGTCTCAACATCAGTTTTCACTCATATTAAGTATCATTACTATTTACTATTAACAATATTAAATGTTTATATAAATATTAACAAGTGGACTAATCCAAATCACTTTTAGGAACTGTGAAGAAACTTGACACAAAATACTGCAGATCAGTTTAACTACAACTTGTTTATAAATATCTCCAAGATTGAGGGGAAAAAAAAAAAGAAGACAGAAAAAGGAGAACAGAGCAGAAACATCCTCATAGTAGTTATGGTATGACTTACACACAGAGCAACCAGTGTTACCAGAACAAGGCAGTTCTGTGACAGACAAGTGAGCAGGGAAAACAACCCTCAAGGCTGCATCTTGCTAACTTCAAATCCAACAAGTTACGTTCCCAGTGCTGCCCAAACGAGGACAGATTCTATACTGCACAAAAAGGAAACGTTTCTTCTCGTTCCCCATCCCATTCTGGAACTTTTAAACCCACCGAGACAACAAAAGTCCGTAGCACGAATAAAAGCTGTTCCAGTGTCACTGTGTACACTGAATTATTTTCACCACTGCCTGACAAAGCAGTGATTTGTGAACTACCAGAGATGCTGTCTATAAATGTCTCAGTAAATGCGTGCAAGTTTAGCAGACATTCGGGTTTCAGCAGTGGGAAAAACATGGGAAGTCCCAAGAGTTGTGCAGCACTTGTTGAACAACCTTGTAGCCAAGGGCTGTAGCACTGATTCATCCTGGAAGAGCAAGATACTGCAGTGGATTGTGCTACTGAGAGACTACACAACTCGGATTTATTGTTTTGTAAACAATTTTAAGTGAGCTTCAGTTCCTCTCACACAAATATATCTGAACTATGCCTGAAAATACAGAAGTGTGGTCTTTGAGTCTACACATAGAAAA